AGGGCCGCCCTGCAGTCTTCACGTTTCGTTCCTGGTGCCAAACTCCAGGCAGCATTTCAGACCCACCTGCCTTATGGCCGGGGCTGGTCTCCACCGGGGAGTGGGGCGCTGGGCTGGCAGGCCCGCGGCCATTGGCAGAACCTGGGGCTTGATAGAAACAGATGGACCTTGCTGTTGAATGTGCTGTTTTCTCCATAACACATGGAGGAAAAGACACCACTTGGAGAATGTCTTGATTTTTCCGCCGTTGTCAGAGGCGTGGGTGGCCATGGGAGTGGGGGTGGGGCATGTTCCCTTGTCCTTGTGGGGAGGGGACCTGAGGCCCCTGGAATGTTCCAGCCCAGCCTCCACTAAGAGCTTAGAGACTGCTAATGGCTCCCAGACACTGGGGGGAAGGTGTCTCTGTTCCTAAATAAATTGTAATTAACACCACTTAGCAGGAGAACGTCCAGCCACTGCCCTCATGTGGGACCCCACTGCACAGCTTCTGTGCAGGGCACAGGGGGGTGGAGTCAGCTTGCCCGATGCAGGGGGAGGAGAAGCTGGCCAAGCTGCTGGAGGGGACCCATGGCGGGACTGCCCAGTCCCCGCTGGGATCACAGATGGTGGGGGTCTGCGGGGAAGCTGCATTATGGGCAGCATTTTCCCCACTGTCTTCGCCCACGAGGCACCAGGTCGGGGCGACGCTGGGGCTGTGCCAGGCTAGTGAGGCTGATCCCAGAGACCCCGGCTCCAAGGCTGATCTGCTGCTCACCAGCTCCCGCCTCCGTCTGCACTTGCTCAGCGTGAACTGGAGCTGAAGGGTCGCGCCTGCCTCTAGGGGTGATGGCTCAGAATGAACACACAGAGTTCGGGGCTCCCTGGAGCGTTCCAGGGCTCGCCGTCCCCCATGGAAGCTCGCGTGCGCCTCAGCCTGCAGGGGCCCATGTTCACGCTGCAGCTCAGCGAGGCCCCTGCGTCACCTTCTCTGCTTCTCGGCCCCTGGACCCTGAGCAAGGGGGGGAGATGCTGAGGCAGTGGCCAGCCAGCAGGAGGCCCGGTGGTCACAGGCCTGGGTGAGCCCTGGCGAGGAGGGCAGAGGGACCCGTCACTGTTATGACCATTGACCTACCTTCCGTGCTGGTGCCACAAGGCCCGGCTCTGCTGCTGAGGCCCTTGTTCCCTCCAGACCAGCGGCAGCGGCTTCCGCACGCAGAGGCGCAGTCCTGTCGGGTCCTGCCAGAGCCACGCAGCTGGGGCGGGAATGAAAGGGCCGAGCTGCGGGTTAATAAAGCTTTATTTATAAAGCCCAATGGGGGCGATTTGGCCCCTGGGCCATGGCCACCAGCTCTGCTTCAAGCAGTCCCTCTGGAAAGGTCCCCAGGGGGAAGCCCTCTGAGCACCCCAGTTAGAAAGAGGGCGAGGGGACCCGTCCCCGTCACGCTCGCCGCCAAGCCTGGGACCCAGGGGGCCCCGCTGCTGTGGGGCTGCAGACGAGGCTGTGCCCGGGGTCCGGCCTGTGCCCTCCACGGCTCGTGTCCCGTTCACGGGGCCTGACCCCGGGATCTTCCCGTTTGCCCCCTTGTTCCCTTCCCCTTCACGGGCTTCTCCCCTCTGGCTCCAGCGCAGACCGCTCTGTGCTCCGGGGGCCTCGGGGGACACGGGAGTGAGTCCCTGAGGTCGCAAATAAAACCCATAAGCCGGAGCCGCTGCCAGCGGCGTCACTCGCTGGGTCTCCCTCAGCGGGGGCCCCTGGGGCCTGGCCTCGCGGGCTTCCCGCCACGGCCCGGAGAGGTGGAGAGAGGGGGGATGGCGAGGGGGCAGAAAGGGCCGACATCGCTCGGGTGCCAGGGAAGCCTCCACCGTAGCCCCCTGAGCTCCCGCAGGCGCAGGGGCCCCGGGATACGCGCCGGTGACGACCAGAGGGCGCCGCTCCTGCCCGCATGGAACTTCGGTCCCTGCGGGAAAGACAGATGACCCCACAAGGACGCGTGCCGGGCGACCTCCTGCAGGGACGGGGGCGCAGGAGTGGGGGTGTGGGGCCGCACCACGCGGACGTCTGCCCGTGAGCTCGGCCACGCGGGCGGCTCCTTCCCGCCGAGACCGGGGCCCGCCTTGCGGGTTTTCAGGTGGGACACGGGAGGTGGGTGGGGCGGGGGCCCGAGACCAGCGTCTGCCTGCCCCGAGCCCACGGAGGGGGGGGCTGGCGCTGTCTGGGGGTGCAGACACCCCGGCTCCCGTGTCTGTGCTGCCTGCCCGCCCTCCGGCACTTGGGAACCGCAGGGCCCTGCTGTGTGGCTGCAGGTGCCTCTTGCTCACACGATGTGGGAAATGTTTCCGCTAATTAGCTGCTAATTCCTCACAGGCGGAGGCGCCCTGGCACGGGCGCTGCCCTGCTCTCCGGAGGCCCAGGGCCCGCTCACGTGCTGCACCCGGGCGCCCTCCGCGGCAGGGAGGGGGCCCTCGCAGCCCCAGAGACCCCAGAGACACCCAGCTGGGGTTGGAGGGAAGCATCTGGGTGCGCCCACCCTCTTCTCTGTGGGTGCCTACGCACAGGGCCCCCTCTCTCCTCATACACCCCTGCCCCTCACACCCGCTCTCGCTCACTGCACCCATGTGCACGGCGAGGCACCCCTGCCCCTCCCTTGGGTGTCTCCCTGTCACCCAAGAGACCTTGATTGGAGGTTTCTGAGGTGCAAGTCAGCTCCATGGGCTGCCGAGCCCTGTGTCCCATCACTTGGACACAGGTGTTGGGGGGCAGGTGCTCCCCCCGGGGCACTGGAGGTGCAAACGTCAGACCCTGGGGGTCTGTGGCCTCTGGGCCTGGGCTCTTGGCCCCTGGTGACAGCAGTCTCCTGGGGCGTCGCTCCTGGCCCAGCACAAGGGACAATTGGTAAGAGACAAAGCAGGTCTCTGAGCTGGGGTTCCACTGGGCTCCCTGCTGGACGTGCAGCCACGTGTGCGCGGCTGGTGTCTGCACGTGCTGGTGTGCGCACAGCGGGGCAAGAGGAAGGGGGCGAGGAGTGGAGTCCCCGGGTGGGGGCTGTTTGGGGCCAGGTGATGAGCAGCGCAGCTTCTTAATTCACACCTGCAGCTGCAGCGCCTCCCACGCCAGGTGGGCTCTGCTGCTCAGCTCTGTCCCTCTGCACTGGGGCCGTCTTGGCACCTGCTTGGCATCATAAAGGCGTGACTCGGTGACTCGGTGGCCCAGTGAACGGCTGACTAGATTCTTGAGTGGATTCTCGAGGCGAGAGAGCCGCAGCTGCTCAGTGGCCCAGCGCCCCCATGAGCCAGGCTGTGCTGAGGACACCCGTGGGCTCAGCATGGGTGGGGACCCCATAGTGGCGTCTCCTCTGGGCAGGGCTTAGCCGTTGACCGTGATCCCACCCAGACTCGCCTCTTGGGCTTCCCTCCGGCTCCCTTCGCCTGCAGGCGTGCTTCCGGGGACCGCGGCTCCCGGCGGGCCGAGGCAGCTCAGAGCAGTGAGTGACCCTCAGCCCGCTCAGCATCGGGACCTTCGGCTTCATCTTCAGACGAGCTGCAGGCGTGGGGAGACCCGGCCAGTTCCTTCTCTTTTGTGCCAGCGTCGCCTCCCGGACCCCGGCTTTCCTGGGGCCGCGCGGCTCTGGCTTCCCGCTGCCATCTGGCCCCGTGGGCGGGGGGAGGGGGCGAGGACAGGAACACGGCCCGAAGCGTCTGGAGGAAAGGCCATCCGTGCCTGCAGCCTGCAGGGGGCTGTGAGCGCTGGGGGGCCCGTGCGGCTGCCGCTGCCCCCCGCTTCCTCACTCGCCCCCCCGCCCCCGGGTGCTGGGCCGTGGGTGACCGTGGGACCCCCCCGGACACAGCCCCTGGACAGTTAATAGGGGGGTAGCCCCGGGTGCTGCCTCTCGTGTTCCCCGGGCTGTGTCCTGGCCTGGGTGGTGAATGGGCACGGTCGCCCCAAGGCGGCTCAGCAGAGCGGGGGCTCCGGAGCTGGCTGGCGAGGCCGCCCCACTCCCTTCCTTGCTCCGGGAGCCCAGGAAACAGCTCACGGTGCTGAGCCTCAGCTCGCTTGTCTGTAAACGGGGCACACAGACAGTTTCTGCCCCATAACTATGGAGGATGAAACCAGACGCCCCCAGCCAGTGCCTGGCCCGGGCCAGCGGCGACTGCCCCGGCCCCCACCCTGCAGGAGAAACCACCAGGGAAGTTTCTGCCAGAGCCGCCCGCCCTGACCAGTGAGCCAGAGAGGCCAGCCGGCCGAGGCCGTGCGCCCCTGGGCTGTGCGTGCGCCTCTGAGCCGCACGTCTCCCCGCGCCCGACTTCCTCTCAGCCCCAGCTCCCGGTGTCCGGACCCGAACTGTGGGAGTGGAGGCCTCGGGCTGTGGACAGCACCTCGGACTTGCCTGGAGGCTGCAGCCAGGCTGCCATCCCGGGGTGTCCCGGGCTCCTGAGGCATCACTCCCACGGCTCTTGAGAGGCCTGAGCACGGCGGGGCCGGGATCCAGATGCGGCTACATCGGGCCTCCTTGGGGAAGCAGGGACAAGGGGACCCGGCGTCCTCTGCCGCTGGCAGCCCCGTCCTTCCCCTGGGGCCCTCCTGGTACCTGCTGCTCCTCCGGTACCCTCGAGGGGCTCCCGGGGTCATCTAAACTCACTGAGTCCCCCCCACGCCCCCCACAGGCAGCAGCGGGGCCGGTCACCCAGCGGGCTGCTGTGGGTGGGTGTCCCGGCTGAGGGGCAGCAGCTGTGCCGGGGGCAGGCCAGGTCCGAGCACATGCACCCGCCGCCCTCGGGTGGCAGCCGAGAGCCTGTGGTGCTGGGTCCCGCCGGGCTGCCGCCACGTGGGCCTGTTCCGGCTCCACACACCCAGGAGCTGGCAGGGGTCCCCCTGAGCGCCCCAGTTGGAGCGACCCTCAGGGCCTCCGCCCCTGAGGACCCTGTGACCCGGCCTCGAGTGTGGCTGGTGCCGCTCAGGGGGGCGCTGGGCCAGGCAGTGGGGGCCTGGTGGGCTCTGAGTGTCCCTGGTTTTCCACTTGCAGATGAGATGGACCAGACCCCCCCAGGGCGCCCCGAATATCTGGTCTCAGGGATCCGCACCCCCCCTGTGAGGAGGAACAGCAAGCTGGCCACGCTGGGCAGGATCTTCAAGCCCTGGAAATGGAGGAAAAAGAAAAACGAGAAGCTGAAGCAGACGACGTCCGGTGAGCAGGGTGGGGCCTGGTTGGGGGGGCCTGGGCTGGTGGGGCCTGGGCTGGTGGGGCCTGGGCTGGTCAGGGCCTGGCCGGGGCCTTCCCATCCGCAGTCGAGCAGTTCCCTGCCCCGCAGGCCACTGTGCTCTGGGGCCTCGGACCCCAGCGCCTTCCTCTCTGCAGCCCCTCCTCGGGGGCTGTCCACACACCCGTGACCCCCCAGCGCCCTTCGCTCACACACACGTGGCCTTGTTAGGATACATCTGCGTCCGCCAGGTGGAGATCCCGGCTCATCACGGATCGGGCCAACCCCCGCTCCGGCACCTGCAACCTCACCTTGACCACCCAGGGTCTGGACCCCTCCAGAAATCTGGGACTAGGCAGCCTGGGTGGGGGCCTGGGGGCCGTCCCCGGGAGCCCCCGGGTGCTGTGGAGGCTCCAGTCCCCCAGCTTGGCCCTTGCACCTAAGGCCTCCTCGCTAGGGGACCCGGCCTGTGCCCCGCCAGAGGATCCAGACGGTTCCCCACTGTAAGGCAGGAATGACACTGAGCAGGTTTTACTAGGATCCAGCAGAACAGGTAAAGGAGGAGTCAGAGTCCTCAGTGGTTTTTTGCAGGCCTTTTATTGGGATTCCCAGGCACACGGCAGGCAGGGGTGCTGGGGGGCCAGGAGGCTGGCAGGCCTCCCGGCCCCCAGCAGGTCTTCACTCTCTCTGGGCTCTCCGGCCTTCTCTGCTTCTCTTTCAACTTCTGTTCGTTCTCGGCTTCTCCTGGCGTCCCCGTGACGCCGCCCTTAAAAGCCCAGTCTCAGCCCAGGTGAATCGCGTCTACCTGTGCCCACACCCTCCTCCAGGTGCCGCCATCAGGCATGATTCAGGACCGCAGGGATACATCATCTGTCCTCATGGCGGGAGGGCAGAAAAGCCTGACATTTTCTTTACCCTACAGTCCACCCCCTCAGGGTTTTCTGCATGTAGTTCTCATATATACAATTTTCTTAGCAAATATAAACACTGCAGCCATGGCCCACGAAAGCAAATACATCACACTATAACAACAGAATACAACAGAACACAAATAAGGCCAGGCAGGGCCCCATCCTAGTGCAAAAGACAGTTATTGGCACCAGCAGATGAGCCACCACATCCGCTGCCGAAGGCACCGCTCACACGAGGGAGGGGAACCACTCACGGCGTCTACTGTGACACGCCAGGAGCCGTCAGGCTTCCCGGCCTTCTCTGGCTGTGGTCTCGGCCACAAGGCACACACAGCATCCACCCCCAGGACGCACTTGCTCTGGGACTGGCGGTTCTATTCTGTTGGGGGTCATCGCCCACCCTCGGGGTTTCTGTCTGCAGTCGCTCCAGCACTCGGCCTTCACAGCCACCCACGCGACTCGCAGGCCCCTGCACTCAGGCCAGCCCACTGCACAAGCACATGGGTCAGGATCCAAACTCTACATGCGGCTTGGGCTCCACCCCAAGCCACGTTCCCCACCCGTCCCCCAAGGACGGGATCCTCAGCTCCTCACCCTCACCCAACAACGAGCAGGGCGTCCCCCGCAGGTGATTTTGCGAGACTCCCAGGGCTTCAGCACACCCAGGCTGCTTCACAGCCGCTCAGGGCTTCCCAACTTAGCATCAGCACCAGCTTTTGCCTTCCCAGTTGGCTTTTCTCCTCCGCCTGGCTGCTGGGCACACACAGGCTGCTTTTGGCCGCCAAGGCCCACTGGCCACCCCCAGATTCCCAAAAAACATAACCTGCCAAGGTCCTCCGCCTTCTGGGATTGTCAGTCCATCAGTCCGAGTCCATCAGTCCAAGTCCATTCGGCCAAGTCCGTTGGCCCCTCCCTGCATCAGCCCCGGCGAGCTCCGAACCGTGGTCCTCTCTTCGCCGGCGATTCTGCTGCCTCAGGGGTCGTTGGCTGGTCCTCTCGGGCGTCTCCTCCTCCAGGCGTGCTCTTATCCCGTAGCTCCCGGACCTTGTCCACCAGCCCCTCCAGGTCTTCGGAGGGCTCCACACCCGTCTGCATGGATCATCTTGCACACTTACGCCAATTGTAGGGGCAGGACAGGCCACAGTGCAGGTTTTCTAGGATGCAGCGATAAACACAGCCCTCCCTGTGCCCTCTCCTCCCATCCCCGGGCGGGGGCTCGCCTGCTGGGCACTCTTCTGCGCCCACTGTCCACACACGATCTGCCCGCAGCAGGATGGGCTTCCAGACACAGCTGTGGCACGCGGCCAGCCGCGTGGGCCCAGGGGCCCGTCCTCGAGCCCTCCGGCCGGGGCTGCAGCGGGAACGTCATGTCAGCCTAGCGGCAAACCGGCAGGCAGCGGCCGTGCGAGTGTTTAATTCGTTTCAGGATGGCCACTGAGCACCCGCTGTGTGCCCAGCGCCGAGCCAGCCCCGGGAGCCACCTGGGAGGGGACGGGGGCTGACGTGACGGGGGATCCAGCTGCTCAGAGCTGTGAAACTGCCGAGCACCTACTGTGTGCCGGCCCGGAGCTGCCAGCGTGATTGGGATGGTCGGCGCCCCCAGGCCCAGGCCCAGGGAGGACAAGATGAACAGGGGTGACAGGCTTGTTCTGGAGCGAGCCGGAGCCCGAGGGCACGGGGGGCGTCCCTGAGTGGCAGGGGAAGAGGAAACCCAAGCGTACAGGGAGAAGGTTCTCAGGCCAGGGGACGGGGCTTCGTCCTGGAGAGCCCGGCAGTCACCCTCGACGCCAGAGCTGGATGAGACTAGACTGGAACCCCGCGGGGCGGCGGGGGGCGTGGTACAGAGGCTCCCTCCAGCCTAAGAAACAGGGGAGCAGGACAAGGGGCAGCCTGAGCCAGAACACGCCCCACAAGCCCCCGGCAGCTTGGTGCGACGGGCCGGGTGACCAGGAAGCCAGTGACCAGGAGGCCAGGTTGGCCCTTTGGGGCTCCCTGCCGGTTCATCGGGGGGCTTCAGAAGCGCTGGCCTGGGCTTGTTGGAGGCCCGTCAGGGACGGGTGCACAGCGGCTCCTCAACAGGTGGGGGCATCAGGCTGGCCCTGGAGAGGCTGCTGGGGTAGCGGAGTCCCCCGCGCAGGGCAGAGGAGGCTGGTTCCTTGGCCAGAGGGTTGAGGAGCACCAGGGGGGACGGGCAGCATGGCTCTAGAGGGGGTCGCCGCCCGACGAGTCATGCGTAGAGCTCCACGCGCCTCTCTCGGGTCCTGCTTGGTGTAGGGGCGCAGCCGACCGCCTGGCGAGATAACGGGGTGTTCCTGAACAAAGCCTGCCCTGCCGTGGCCGGGCCCCCACCCACAGCCCCCGCTGCCCGCTGCCTCCTCTGGCAGCGGGGCCGGCTCTCGCCGCGGCGGGGCGGGTGGGCCAAACCCGGCACTGACCAGACGTTGTGTCCTGCAGCCTTGGAGAAGAAGATGGCGGGCAGGCAAGGCCGAGAGGAGCTCATCAAGAAGGGGCTGCTGGAGATGATGGAGCAGGGTAAGTGCCGCCAGGCCGGGGGGCGGCGTGGGCATCGCGCTTGAGCCCAGAGATCGGAGGGGCCCCCGTCCAGGTGTGCTCGCTGCACCCAGGAGCCCTGGAGGGCGCACCTGAGGGAGGAGCCCCGGGCCGGGCAACCCCCGCTGCTTCCCGCGAGAGGCGTCCGGGCTGCTCGCGCATCGCATCGCGGCACTTGGTCCGGGAGTGACGTTCCCTCCCGGCCCTGCCGCGGGCAGCTGCTCTCTGCCGGCTGTGCCCGCTCGCCCTTCCTCCGCGGTGTCCTTGGGCGCCACCTCCGGTCACCCCCAGGGTGCGGGAGGAAGGGAGGGCCCGGAGGTGACGGATGCACAGACAAGCCGGCCGGCGATGGGAGCGCCCCACACCCCCGCTGGGTCTCGGGGAGCAGGAGGCCGCAGGTAGGCCGCCCGCCTTGGACATCATCTTTGGTGACTGAGGACTCAGACCTGGGCTTGTCCCTGTCAAACATAAAGCGACGGTTGACTAGAAAAGAGAAGCTTCTGGAAGCACAGCCGGCCTTTCCTGGTCCTGAATTGCTGGAAAACAATCCTGAGGGATGAGCTGAGAGCTGAGGCGCAGGCATAATGTTCAGCAGCCAACAAGGGGACGGCCTCAGCTGACCCAGCGTGAGACAGAGGTGCCTGCTTGCCCCGGGGTCACGTGTGGGGGGCAGGAGCCCGGGGGTCACGCGGTGGAGGGGGCAGGAGCCCTGGGGTCATGCGGTGGAGGGGGCAGGAGTCCTGGGGTCACGCGGTGGACGGGGAAGGAGCCTTGGGGTCACGCCAGGGAGGCCAGGCACCCCAGGGTCATACCATGGGAGCCAGGAGCCCTGGGGTCACGCGGGGTTGGGGCCAGGAGCCCCGGGGTCACACCAGGGGTCCAGGAGCCCCTGGGGCACACTAGCGGAGACCATGGGGTCACACCTGAGCAGGCCAGGGGCCTTTTCCAGCATGAGTCAGGTGTATGTGGCCTGTTTTGGGGGACCAAGCGGCTCCCCTCTGCTGGGTGGAGCTGGGCCGCGCCGGCACCTCTGCGGGTCTGGAAATCAGAACTCCATGACTTCCACCTGCTGTGCATTGTGGTTTTTCCTTGGAGCTTTTCACCCTCTTCAGGGTGTTAGCGCATCTCGGGGGGGTCTGGGGGGTCGCAGCTCCCTCATCCTCCCTCTTGCGAAGTGCTCACGGCCCAGGAACTAGGGGCGCCAGGGCTCAGCTCTTCCCTGGGAGCCGAAGCGCACCCCGCAGAGCGCTGGGGCCCGCGGGCGCCGCCCAGGTCGCAGGTGCACCTACTCAGGCCCGAACGAGAACTGGGCCCGAGAACTGGGCCGGGAACGCGAACTGGGCGGGCCGGCCCCGGGGGCCTTCCTGAGAGGGCGGGAGCTCTGGGCCCGCCCTGACTGGGGACCCCCCTCAGCTGCGCGGGCGCCCAGGCCCGCCGCCTGGGGCAGACCCGGCAGAGCCGCGGGCACGGCCACATCTCCCACGGGCGCCCCCCGAGGGCCCGGTGCAGGTGGGTGCCTGCAGGGAGCGCACGGGGGCGCTGGGCCTCCTCTCCAGCGGCCCGGAGCTGCCCCGCCGGGTGCTGGGGACATGGGGTGTCGAGGGGCTGTGGAGCCTGCGTGGGGGGCAGGCGAGGCTGTGCCTCTGGGGGCCCGAGGGGGCGTCGTGCGAGGGCCTGGGCCTGCTCCCCTCTCCCCTCGGCCAAGACGCTTCGCCTCCTCCCGCCTGTTCCTGGAAGTTGGGCCGCGCCCCAGCTCTGCCGGGCACCTCTGCGGGGTGAGGCGGCCCCCCTCCCTGCCCTCCTTGAGGGAGTCGGGGGTCTCCAGCGCCATCACTGGACACAGGCAGCCCCGCGTGGTGCCCGTGCCCAGGGTGCCTCCGGGCAGGGCGGGCGGCTGTGGGCGTGAGCCGCGGGGCCCACCTCAGGCCACCCAGGGCCGGGGCTGGCGCAGGTGCTGTGGGTGCTCTGGTCAGGCGCCGGCTGTCGGGGAGCAGGCCCCAGAGGCCCAGCGTGGCCATGGCCCCGGCCGGCTCTCCTGGCCTGCCCCGCTCCTGCTCACTCACTGGCTCCGGGCCGCCCGCCCAGCCCTGCCCTATGGTGATATGGCTCCCGAGCTAACAGTGGCTTTTGAACTTAATGGTTTTTGTAAAAGTTAAAAATCCAGCTGCACAGCACAGCCCACAGGGCCCACAGGGCCCAACCCCGGCGCCTGCTCTGCCCAGGAAGGACGCCCCCCACCCCAGGGTACAGGCTGGGCCCTCGGCCAGGCCCGGGGTCTGACTGCCCCCAGGACACGGCGCAGGGGCAGGAAGTGTCGGACGAGCTCACCAGCACAGTCCCTGGAGGCCCTGCGCCACCCGGCGGGGCCCTCGGGCAGTCTGGCCTGCGGCTGCTGTCCCCACAGGACACAGGGGCCGGCCCGGCCGCCAGACCAGCGAGCGCCCCCGTCACGCTCTCCTTGTCAGAAACTCTTGTCCCGATAGCAGTAATAGTGGCGGTCGCCCTTGAATCCTCTCTGCCAGGGACACCCCGAAACTTCCTCACGCAACTCTCAGGCTGGTGCCCCAAAGCCAGCACCCAGGCTCCACCACCCCACGTTGTAGATGAGGGTCGAGGCCCCAAGAGGCGGGCAGGGAGCGGGCGGGAGCGGGGAGGCCGGCTGGAACTTCTGTCCATCCAGGGTCTTTGGGGTGGGAAGGACACTGGGGGGACACAGGGCAACGGGTCAGCATCAGGACCGACAGGGCCCTGGGGTCCCCGACTCTGAAGAGTCTCTCCTCCACCCGACTGTGTCCGGCCGCGTGGACGGGCGTGGGTGGTGACCGCCCAGGGCGAGGGGCCGTGCGGCGCTCCCTGCGGCTGTGGCCGCGTCTCGGGATGATGACCGCGCGCCGGCTGAGCCTCCCAGCCTGCCCTGTCCTCCCGCCTGCGTGGCTCGTGGCCGGGGTGGCGAGTAGCCTCCTCGGGGGGCCCTCCTCAGGGTCGGTCAGCCGAAGACCTGGCCGCAGGGCTCCTGCACCCAGCCCTGGCTTGAAGCTGGTGCTCCCCAGACCTGTGGACAGGCTCGGGCAGGGGCAGGGCGGGGGCCACAGACGCATGGACGGGGAGTCTCCGGTCTGTGCCCCTGGGGTGCGGGAGCGAGAGCACACAGGCCAGCGGCCGTGGGGTGCTGGGCTGCTCTGAGCTCCCTTAGGGGGCGGCCCGTGGAGCGGGACTCTGAGGCGTGCGGCAGGGCTCGGGGCGCAGCTGACAGCCGCTCTCTCGCAGACGCTGAGAGCAAAGCGGGCACCCCTGACGGCGGCCCCCGGGCGGCGCGGAGTGAGCAGGAGCCGCCGGCGTCGGAAGAAGGCCCACCCGGAAGCCCCTTGGCCCCTGGGACAGACCGGGCACCCCCGGACAAGCCGCTGTCCTCGGACACCCAAGCGGACGATGCAGGTATTGACCGGGGACCCTGCGGGGCGAGCTGCTGCCTGGGCCACCAGCTGGGGTGAAGCCGGGTCCCGGGGGCAGGTCCGAGCGGGCAGAGGCCGGTCCTCGGAGGCTCGGCTGGCCGCACACGCGGCGTGTGGCCAAGGCCGGAGGTCGGGAAGCTGTTCCCCGCCGCTGCCGGGGAAGGAAACTCACCCAGCTGGCTTGGGGCCCCGAGACACCCTTCCTGGGACAGCCCAGGGGTTCACTGGGAGCCCAGCGGAACCGGCGCCTGCTGGGGGCGCCTTAGCTGACCCCACCGCCAGCGCAGGGTCTGAGCCACCGCAGGTGCCGCCGCCTCCGGGACCGGGCTGCGGGGCTCCCTGGGGCTGGGAGCACAGGTGCTCGCCGACCCCTCGAGGCTCTTCCTGCGTCTCCATCCGGGCTCTCAGCGCATGTCCCCGGCTGCTAAGTGGGTACGGTGAAGGCCCCGTGGGGCGTCGCGTGGGTGTCGTGAGGTTCCCGGCGGTGGTGCTGGGGGCCGTGGTGGCAGCCGTGTCGGGTCCTTGTTCTGTGCTGAGGGGGCCAGGAGAGCTGGCAGGCTTGGGGACTGGGGAGGCGCTGGGGGGAGGCTGGGGAGGAAGAAAAACTGGACCCCCCTTTGAGAAGTCCCGCCGCCCTCTGGGGTTTTCCGTAGAAACCGCTGGAGATGTCCAGCCGGAGCCTGTTCTCTTGTGAATAGCCGGGTGCAGCAGGGCAGGGGCGTGTGGAACGCGTCCTGTGTCCCCACCTGTGGAGAGTAGGGTTTGGGGCCATGTGGACAGGTCCAGGGGTGTCTGTGGCTTCTGCTTCAGAGCTGGGTGGCTTCTGTCTCTGGGGTGGCTGCTGCCTAACGGGGGGACCCTGCACGTTTCGCCGCCACCCTCCACGCCTTCCTGCAGTGACAGCTGGCACCTGCCGGGAGGGGCCCTCCCAGGGTGGCCATGCCTCTCCACTCACCTGGTTTGGGGACCCCATAGCAGTCTGGGGTTTGAACGTGGGGCCATCCTGGTGATGCCCTCGAGGGCTTGTCCACTCAGCAGGTGCTTGTGCAGGGCTTCCCCATCCTGGAGGCTGGGGCACCCGCTGAGCTGGGCCTGAGGGCTGAGGGGGTGGGCTTCATGGTCAGCGCTCAGGGCAGCGCCCACCTCTGCCGCATGGCCTGCCCAGAAGCCAACACGGGCCGTGCCTGCAGGCCTTCCAGAAGGTGCCGTTGCCGGCTCGGCTTGGTTGTGGTCACTTTGGGGGAGGGAAGGACTTGGACTTTGGCAGGACTTGGGGAGGCCGGAGAGAGCGTGGGGCTGAGGGGGGCCCTCCCGCCAGCCCTGTGGTCAGTTGGGTCCCCACCCCTGACAAGGCACAGGTTTGCTGTGGGAGCAGCAGGTGTGCAGAGTGGGCCAGGCCTGGGGGGGCTGAGCCCAGCACCCTGGGCAGGGATGTGGAGGTAGGCCCGACCCCCCCCTTCCCCCCTCCCCCCTGCCCGCCTGCCCACCTCCTGGCCCCTCCCCGCCTGGCACAGGAGGCTGGGCCGAGGTGACCTGGGGGGTCCTCTCTGTCCTCCGTCAGGACAGAGACTGAGTAGTGACAGCGACTTCCTTTTCTGAATACAGAGAAACAAGAAGTGGTTTTACTTAAAACAAAATGTAGCAAAAAAAGCAGAGGCGGCGCCAGTCTCCGCAGGGCTGGAAAGGCCCATCCACCTCCGGGGGTGCGGGGAGCAGGCAGGCAGCTCCCCGGCTGCAGCTCCGGTCTGCCCCTCTGTCAGCTGTGCCTGGCCTCTCCGGGGACAGCGGGGAGGGCCCTGGGCGGGGTGTCAGCCGGTCCTGCCTGTACCAGAGTCTGTTACGTCCCGCCCCTGGCCGAGGCCGGAGGCTGCGCCGATTGGGCTGGGGAGCAGCGACCTCTGCTGGTCAGGCCGTGGCAGGGCCGCAGGGCAGCGAAGCCGACCTTGTCCTCCGCTTTAAAAAACGGAAGGGACAGCGCTTGGTTTTAATGGATGGTCAGATCTCAGGTCTGAGATTCTGAAACGTGGAGGGAGCTGCCCCCTCGGGGGCTTAGAGGGGACGGGCCACCGGCGGGTCAGGGACGTGGCCCTGCTGAGCGTGCCTGGGCTCTGTGGGTTCAGTTTGGGGTGAGAGCAGCCAGTACGTTGGGTCCGAAGGCCCTGAGAGTACAGGGTGGGGTTCCCACATTCTAACTTGGGCCAGTGGGGTCAAAGGGCTGCCATGGGGCTCTGAGGAGCTGGCGGTCGCAGGTGCAGGGGGTGTGGGCTGCAACCCTGCCCAGAACCCCGCGCTGTCCTGTCCCCACGTGGCTATTCAAATCAAAATGACCTGAGATTTAAGGCTCAGCCCCCCAGGATTCAGCCACTGGCCACAGGTGAGCAGTGGCCATGATGGTGACCGGAGGAGGGGTCCGGCCCTCTCAGAGCGAGAGGTTCCCGCATGTCCTCTTGGGGCAGTCAGGTGAGCTTTGTGGGGTAGGTCAGCCTCCCCGCATTTCCTGCCCCCACAGGATCCTGGGACCTGCAAAGCCAATGCCCAGGGTGGAGAACACTTGCTGACCCTGGTCTGCAGAGAGGCTGCAGGGCAGGGAGGCAGGGGAGGGGCTCGGAGGCCTCCAGGAGGCCGGGCTGAGACGCGGCAGAGGCCTGGCAGCTGACCGTCGGGGACAAGCGGTGCTTCCGTCTTGGAAGCGTAGTGCTCAGGGCTTGCCCGGGAATTGGCTACGGGGCGGAGGTGCCAGCTGGAGGGGCCGGGAAGGGGGTAGCAGTTGTGACCCATCCGGCTGGACAGCTTGGGCTGACGGCTGTGAACGAGCCGCTGAGGGCGGGATCATGCAGCGCCACGTCTCCTAGGAGCTTCTGGACCTTTTGTTGTTCAGGGACACTGGGGTGCGTGGGGGAGAAGGGGAGTCTCGCAGGAGACCTGGGATGGGTTTGCGTGTTTCGTTTTGCCTGTGCGGCCTCCAGATGGCGCCAAAGTGACCAATAACACCTGCGCCTGGAGCTGAGCATAGGTCAAGGGTCAGCAGACAGGATAGCCGCTGAGGAGCAGGCCCCAGAAGGAGAGGCGGCTGGAGGGCCGGGTCCTGGGTCTGCCCAGGTGGAAGCTGTGAAGGCCACGCAGCCGGGTCAGCCCAGCTGGAGGGAGCCAGGGCAGAACCAGAGCCACCTGGTGCCTGGACCTCAGAGGCCGAGCTGGACGCTGGGAGCGCCAGGTGGGGGCCGGTGTGAGCTTGCAGAACTCCCCGCGGGCTCTGCTCCATCCTCTGGGGACCCAGCGCGTTTCCAAAGTGATGTTTTTGGGAGAGACAGCTGGCACGGGAATGGCCACCTGGCCTCGAGGACACTGGTCTCGCACCCCACCCCCTTCCTGTCGTGCTCAGCCCACTTCTAGAGGTGCAGCCTGGCTCTCCGCCCCTGCCTCGGACGTGAGATGACCCAGCGCCCCTGGCTTCTACCCGGCAGATGTCAGCAACTCTGCTGACCCCAAGCGGTCACAGGTCCAGTGCTTCCAAATGTCCTGAAAAGGACATTTCTGCTTTCACCTGTGACCGCGCAGGGAAACCACACAACTACTTCTACTTAGAAAACAAAATGTTTATTTAATGTTCTTATTAGTGCAAATCTCATTAAGTAAAATGAGAAGATTTGCTCTGGAAAGTTACAGGTTACAGATCGTGGGGCCTAATTGTCTTGGAGTCTAGGAATCTGAAAACGATGAACCAGCGCCACTCTGGAGGACGTGTTACAAACAGTAGCCCAGAAATGGCGCTGTTCTGTAGTGTCCTTGCTGGGCAGCGGGGAAGGGACGCTCGGGCGTGTCGGCTCAGCTCAGACTAATTCCTGATGCAGGGCTGAGTCTTTCTGCGGTGGGGGGGAGGGGTTCATACCTTAGACTTTGCTCTTCAGGGGCCCGGGGCGCCCGTCCTTCTGAGGCAGAGACTGCGTGTCCATGAGCGTCTCAGGACAAAGGGCCTGGCTTGAGAGGCCGCAGAGTGATACGGACGGTAGAAGAACAGAAGTGGTAGCGCCCAGCGGCGGGCACCACTCCTGAAGGCTGCTCGGAAGTTCTCAAAGGACAAAGTCCGCCTACTTTGGTGGCCTGGGGTTTTCAGCACCAAGGACAGTGGTGTTTCCGGCAGCATAGACAGCACCACCTGGGGGCGCACGGAGACACCTGCTCGCGGAGGACGAATCCCGCCCAGGCAGTGGCCGCCGGCCCATGCCGTGGACTGCCCCGGGGAGTGTGAGCCCTGTCCTTCTCGGGGGGTTGTGAGGGCAAAACCAGAGGACCTGCAGCAAGGCTGTGCCCGGGGGTGGTCCGGGGCGCTGCTGTGACAAGGCAGGGAGGGCTGGGGCCCCGGGGTGGGGACGGGGGTGGGACACTGTTAGGAGACCGCCCTAGTTGTATCGGGGGAGGAGAGAAAGGGAGTGTGGGGCTGTAGGGCTGTGTGTGAGTCAGGAATCGGGAGAGGTGGAGGGGCGTGAAGCCGGGAGCAGGAGAAAGACAGGAGGCCCGTGAAGCGCCTGCAGGATGGAGGTTGGGGCTGAGGCCAGGGAGGGTGGCGGTGCCGGGAAGACTCTGACAGGTGCTTTGTGCCACCAGCGGGTCCTGTGTCACTTGGCAGCTCCGGGAGCCAGCAGAGAGCCGTCGTCTGGGGGCGGGACTGCCCTGGATTGTGATGGGAAGGGAACGAGGCGAGGACTCGGGGGCATGGCTGAGATGGAGCTTGCAGTGCCGGTGGTGAGACTTGAGCTGCTCAGAGGAGCGAGGAATGAGGGCTGACGGCTCGGGAGAAGCAGAGGGTGGACAGTGCGGAGGGGCCCGAGGAGGGGCAGTTCTGAAGGGGACCTGAGCCGCAGTGGGAGGAGAGGGGCCCGGACTCTGGGCAGCCCGGCCCTTCCTCAAAGCCAGCCTCCGTGCTCCTCCCACCGCCGTCCTCAGCTGGCCTCGGGGGCCGGGGTCGCTGAGAACTGAACACAGAGAACCGATAGCTGCTGAAGCTGAGAGCCTGCAGCGTGGCAGCCACAATTTCAGTGTCGCTTTTTGTTTAGCGCTCGACACCAGCGCGTGAGGGACTTGCTAGGACTTGACGACCATGGTCTGAGCTGGGTGGGTCCACGCGTAAGGTTTTCTTGTCCTTTCTTGTAAACAAACAGTGTGAACTTCTGTCAATAAACATGGCACAGTCCCCCAAATGTATTCTCCTGTGATTTTGACATTTTCTCTAGTTTGCTTTACGAAAATACTGTGTACGATACGTGCATAGCACAAAATAGCACACAATACGTGAGTTGTCTTATCCGTCAGCAGAGTTCTGGTCAGCAGCAGTCAGCGGTGCAGTTTTTGGGGGGAGTTGTACCTAGATTTTCAACTGCACGGGTGGGGAGGGGTGGTGCCCCAAACTCTCATTGTTCAGGTTCAGCTCTGGCCCGATGTCGTGCGTGGAGGAACAGACGTTTAGTGACCTAACCCAGGTCAGGTGTGGGGGCTGGCGTGAGCCAGGTGCTGGGTAGGCCCCTGGGTTGTGCCGCCCCCCGGTGAGGCTGCAGCTCCGGCCCCTCCCATGGGAAGTCAAGGCTGACTGTGCGGTGACCCCTGTGTCTCTGGGTCAGCAATCCCACCCCGGTGAAGCGCCCGTCCCCTCCCTCATGCACGCCCAGGCCGAGGAACCACGCGTGTGAACTCTGTTTTGCCTTTAAACCAGCCAAGATGCCGCCAGCACCCGGCGGGGAAGCAGCAGACGCCGGCGGCCCCCCACCTGTCACGGACGAGCCCTCTGCAGCCTCGGCTGGGCCCGACGCCCTGCACAGTCCTCCCAGAGTCCCAGAGAGGTCTGCGGGCCAGCTGCCCAGCCCCCCGCTGCTGCCCACCCCGCCACCCAAGGCAGGCTCCAAGACCTCGAAAAATGTCACAGGTGGGTCCCGCCGCCCCTCCCCCGCCATGCTGGGCTCCCTCCGGGGCCTGGGCTCTGCCCTCGCTTCTGGCTTCTGCGGTGGGGCGCTGGGCAGGTCTGGGGGGCAGAGCTGGAGGCGGGAGAATGGTTCTTAGGGATGAGCTCGGGCTGGGGCGCAGACCACTCAGGTGCCCTCAGGCAAGTGGGCGCTGGGTTTGCAGGAGGGAGAGATTCCCCAGGACCCGGCGTGGGCCGCAGCCAGCCTCCAGGGCGCTCGCGCCGTCCAGGGGTCTCTCGGTTTCTTTTCTTCGTTGAGTCTGTGTCTCCTTGGTTCTCTGTGCCCCCCACTCCCTCCTCTCCCCTCACCCCCCGCATCTCCCGCGTCTCTGCCTTGCCTTCTGGCATTTCCATGTCACGTCGCCTTCCTAGCGCGCCGCATGGCGTCCTCTCAAAACCCAGTCCACACAGCCAGACTCGAGCTTGCTAGGAAGGAGCTTGCAGGGCTGCCTGGGTGAGGCTCGCCGTGAACTCGCGCCGCAGCCCCGGGAGCCGCTTGCGAGGTGCGCGGTGGACACCGGCCGCGCTGTGGGCGTGGGGCGGTGTGGAAGGACAGCGAGGGCTGAGGGCAGCCGTGGAGGAAGGGTCTGCTGGCACCTTGCGTTGGCTTCTGGCACCACCAGAGGAGAAATGCGTGTCACTCTCAGGCCCGGGGCCGGCGCTCCTGGTGTGAGGGGTTGTGCTTCCTCCACCCCACACGGCCCCGTGGGGGCTGGTCCTGCCCGCCACACCCAGTCTCGTGCCTGGTGCACAGCGGGCGCCCTTTGAAGGGGGGTGACGTGGTGGGAGGAGGCTCGCCTGCTCTCTACATCTTTCTGCGTCTCTGATTAAGTAGCCGACCGTGGGGCACCGTGGCCGTGCCAACCAGAGCAAAGTTTCGAGGCAACTCACGGTGTTTTGAATCTGGTTCGGGTCTCCGAGAGAACCCCTTGCTCGCCACTGGCATTTAGAGCCATCGGGGATTGCGGGACCAGGCCCCGTCCTCGAGCTCGTCCCGGCTGACCCGAGACTGGGCGCTCAGGGACCCGCCCGGAGGGCTCTGGGGAAATCCCCCTCAGGGGCGTGACATGGTCTCCCCGAGACTTCGCCACTTCGCCCTCGCACCCCCAGTCCTGGGCTGCTTTCTGTGACTTTTGACCTTGCAGGGCCGGGTTCCCTACCGGCGCCGGGCGGGCGGGGAGGGCACGTGTGCTCCTGCGAACACTGGGCGGCGGCAGGGCGCACCCGCCTGCCTGGACACGGGCACCGCTGAGACCCACTGGGCGCTTCCTGTGTGAGACGGGCCCCGGTGGGGGGCCCTCCCCCCGCCCCTGCAGAAGCCAGAGCCACCTGCACTCAAATCTCGCCCGCACACTAATGTGGCCGGGCCTGCGCCCCGCCGGAACCTCGGTGTGATGTGTCCACGCCTGAGAGAAGGGTCAAGCGTTCACCGCCAGTGCGCGGGAGACCCGGGGGAGGCTTGTCTCCAGGCCACCTTTCTGGCTCTTCTGAAAGACTTCGTACCTGGCAGCGCCTTCGAGGGGCTGGAGGATGGAGGTTGTACCTCCATGGAGGTGGTGCCCGCCCTTCGGCGCGACGGTGGGCGGCCCCTCGAGCTGCTGCGGTTTCTCTGCCTCGCCGCGTGGCGCTCCCTTGGCCTCTGCCGTGGCCACTTCGCCGGCCCCCGCCCCGTCCCCCACCTCCCAGAGGAGGGCCTCGAGCTGGCTGGGGACTGAATGTCCCTCCTCTGAGAACGGGGGTGTGAGAGCCCCCCACGAGGCAAGCCAGCCAGACACCTGGCAGACGCCAAGTCAGGCACCTGTGCTGTGGACATGGGGGGCGGGGTGTGGGCCCCGGGGGCTGTGGGGCCCGGGGGGGCTGCGTGAGCGCAGCAGGCACCCCCCCCGGTGTCCCGTCTGTGTAGCAGGGCTGCTCAGGCCTGCCCGTCGCTGGGCGAGGACGCAGGGACAGCCGACCACCCCGAGGGGCCGCCCAGGGGCTGGCGCAGGCGGAGGACACAGAAGCCAGCACGATCTTGGGGGCCACGCTCGGGGCTCCCCACCAAGCCTGGTGCCGCATCGTCCCTGTCTCAGTTTAAATGTCCCTCTGCTGAGAGGCCCCTGCCCCCGGCCCCCCGCGCTTGCTGCACATCTGTCTGCCTCTGGGGTCATTTTGTTTGCTTTTTGTCACCTTTTCTGTCGCCGGCTGTGTCCAGTACACGCGGGTCCACGCGTGAAGGGAGCCCAGCCGCGCGTCCTCGGCGAAGCGTAGCCGCCCCTTGAACGGCTCTTGTCGCCGCCCACAGCCCAGCGTTGTCTGCTGGAAGCTCTGGCCTGGGCTTTAGGGAGCGGGGGAGGCTGCGCTGTCTCTTTCCTGGACGTGGAGGACGCTGGCTCATCGCCTGGGTCCGGCCGGGGCCCGTCTCTCCCGCAGCATGTTGGGAGCAGAGCCTGAGGACCGAGCGGCCGGAAGACCGAGCTCCCGAGAGCTCGGGGACTTTGGGCTCTTGCGGGGACCCTGGGGCTGGAGCCGGTCTGCGCAGGGACAGGCCTCTGGGCGGGGCTTGAGCCAGATGGACAGAGGCGGTGGAGCGGGAGGGCAGCCTCGCTGCCTCAGTGGTTCGGGCAATTGCTCTGGTGTGTGGACGTGCAAACAGGTGTTTATTACACGTGTCCAGGCCCGGTCTGGGGCTCAACAGAAGCCCCCAACAAGGGTGGGGATTTGCAGGAAGGTCTCCCTGAGGAGGTGACACTGGGGCAGAGGACAGGACAAGCATTTCAGAGAGAGGGAGCAGCCTGTGCAAAGGCTCAGAGTGAGAAGAGTGCGGTGCCTTCAAGGGCGGAAAAGATCTCGCCCGCTGGGAGGACGGGAGCGTGGTCGGGGACATGGGGCCAGAGGCCGAGTGGGGTGGCCTGCGGGGCCCAGGGCGTGGTGATGGGGCCCAGGTCACGTGGGCTGGGCGTGTCAGGTCCTGGAGAGTAGCTGAGGCAGATGATACAGGGAGGCAGATGGGGGGTCTCCTGGGCAGCCTTCCAGCCTGTGATTGCTGCAGAGCCCCCAGCTTTCGGGCTCCCCACAAGGAAGAGTGCTGTGGGCAGTCACGCGTGCGCTGGAGAAACAGGAAGGCGTGTTTGCTTCTCCTGAGACTTCCAGGGGCCTGTTGGCCCTGGAGTGTGGGGCACCCAGTCCCCACAGGGCATCCTGCAGACAGAGGACAGGACAGCGGTGCCCCCTCAGCTTTGGTGGGGTTCAGGGAGTGTCCTGGGCAGAGCACGGGCCCGGCATCCACTGCATCCCGGCTCCTGCCTGCCGGCGAGGCCTCCTCCCCACCCGTCACGTGCTCCCGGTTCCTCCCACGCCCAGGCCAGCCTGTGCTCTTCCAAGGCTCCGGCGGGAAGAACAGCGACCCTCTGCTCCGAGGCCAGCTTTCCACGCCCACCGGGTCCCCGCACCTCACCACTGTCCACCGGCCGCTGCCGCCCAGCCGCGTCATTGAGGAGCTGCACCGGGCGCTGGCCACCAAGCACCGCCAGGACAGGTGAGGCCCCCTGCAGGCGCCCGCGTGCCTGGTTTCCACAAGGGGCGACCTCACGGGGTGCAGCCTGTACTGTGGGGGTGTCGCTGTCCCGCGGCCTGAAGTCTTTGCATTTCTGTTAGCAAAGCCCACGCCTGCCCTGGGCCTTTGTCCCCTGGGTCTCGTGTGCGGCAGAGAGGGGGCTGGAGGGCGGGCCAGGAGGGCTGGCGCGCGCGCGGAGGAATGTTGGCCGTAAAGTGCCCTTCTCTGTCGTCGGGGGCCCCGGGGCCGAGTGTCTCCTCCTGCCCGTTGCGGGCGAGTTTTATCGCGCGTGTGTCCGCTGTTCCAGCCAGCGCCTCCCGAAGGCCCCCGGCCGTGGACGTGTGTCCCCGCTGCTGCTCGTCCTGCGTGCTGGGCCCGGGCTGAGCAGCTGCTCGGGCCGGGGCCCGACCTCAATGTTTGTCCCCAGCCTGCGTCGAGCCTGCTGGGCTTCCAGGCGAAGGGGCTGACGTGCCGCCTGAACTGTCTTTCTGATCAGTTTTCAAGGCAGGGAAAGTAAAGGGTCCCCGAAGAAGCGGGTGGACGTCCGTCTGTCCCGGACGCCCAGCATGGAGCAGGCCAAGGAGCGGGAGGAGGCCTGGAGCCCCGACGGGGCCTCGGAGAACAAGCGGAAAGAGTCTGAGGAGAACAAGGAGAACGTGGCTGTGAACTCCGAGCTCAAGGACGACCTGCTTCTCTACCAGGACGAGGAGGCGCTCAACGACTCCGTCATCTCTGGTGAGCAGAGCAGGGCTGGGCGAGCGGGTGGCTGCGGCTCCAGGGCGGGCTCGAGGCCACAGGCTCTCGCTTCCTTCTGCTCCTTGCGCTGATGTCGTGGGCTCAGCAGGGTCTCGGCTCACACGCTCAGTGCTGCAGAGAGCGCGGCTGGGAGGGCGGATGCCCCAGTGGCCATCTCCAAAGTAGGGTCAGTGACAGTGGCCAGCTCAGGACCGCACCACGGCGCGCTGTCCCTCAGAGCCACCCAGGCTCCGTCCCAGCCTGGAGCACGGGGGCCCCGGAGCACCCCACGACCAAGGGAGAAGGCTCCGCCAGGGGCAGGAGGTGTGGGGCGAGCCCAGGGGCAGGTGTGGACGCCTCTGAGGGCTGCGAGGGCAGCCCCTGCTGCGTGGGGGGACGGGTGTGGGGAGGGGAGACTCTACGACAACCCCCTCTGGGCCTCCGTGGCCACGGTTTGGACCTCATGGTCAGGGTCTTGCCTGCGCTCGGAGACCACCTGCGGGGCCCGTGGGGATGGGGGGAGCACACCTGCCTCCAGGGCCCATCCAGGGTGACCGCGGCCCCCGAGCCCCCGCTTTTAGCGCTTTGGTTGCTGTCCACCATCCCCCCAAGTCCTAAAACAGACATCACGCTCAGAGGGAAAGGAACGGAGCCCGGGTCGTGCAGGCCGCTCTGTGCACGGTCGTCGGTCCCGGGGGCTCTCGGGGCCAGGTGTCCGCAGCCGGGAAGCCGCGCCGTCGGGACGCGCCACCCCCACCCCGCAGCTGGGCTGCTCGGACCTAGTGACCCGCCCTCCACGTCCCCTCCTGGCCGGGGACGCGTTTCTCCTACGGCCGAGTCACGCCCCGTGCCCGGAAGGGCCGCAGCTCGGGCTTCGGGCCCGTTGTTCAAAGGGAGGTGCTCCTCGAGGCCGCGCTGGGCTCCTGTGCGTGTCCACGCCGGCCCCTCGCAGCGGCGTCTTGCTAGTGTCTGCTCCCGGCCCCGGCTGGTCTCCCTCTGGACGCGCCTCCCACGGAGCAGAACTTTCCGTGAAGCCCGTCGGGTCCATTCCTTCTTGTCTGGATCCCTCTCTGCTTCTGGAGAAACAGCGCCGCGAGGAGCGTGTGGGGTTTGTTGCTGTTTCCTGGGCTTCGTCCGAGGCCTGGAGCCGGGGCCACCCGCTTGCGTGGACCGTCTACTCATCAACGTTTTGAGGGGCGTCCACGCCGCCTCCTGCGGGGCCAAGGGCCCCTCTGTGGTCCCGCCAGCAGCTGCGGGGTCTTTCTTCCAGATGTGGCCGTCCCGTGGGGGTCCTGCGTGGCGGCGACGCAGGAGGCCCAGCCGCCCCTGGTGTGAAGCGGCTCTGAAGCCAGCTAACCCACAGAGCTCGCCCACGGGCGCGGCCCAGGCGGACGGGCGGCTCCGGGGCCCCGGCCTGTGGGGAGCTCCGAGGCCTTGTGTTACTTCAACCCCATTTCACATGGGCGGAGGGTGGAAGGCGCGGGCAGTGAGTCCTCCTGTGAAGAGCCACCGCTGAGGTGAGCACTCACCTGTCCTCACAGGTGCGCTCACAGGACGCCCATCCCTTGGCTGAAGTGGGGCTCCGGCCACACGACCGGGTACCAGTAACATGCACCCCCTTGTCTACTTGCCCAAGGCTGTGACCCTGTTGGGGCCCGGCTGGCCCCGAACAGCAGAGCGGCAGCAGCACAGCCCACTGCCCCCAACCCCCGCCCCGCTCCCCCGGCCCTGCTCCCCCACGCCCGCCCCGCTTGGTCAGGCCCCGGCTGTTTCCAAACACTCCAGGGACAACAGTCCCTCCTCCTGCTTCTTCCTCCCACCCCTGTCACACACTCAGTTATTAATTCAGAAAATATTAGTCACCCTGTGTGTCAGGCCCGGGGGGGGAGCTGGCAGGGGAAGTCCTGGCCTGGGGGTGCGTCCCAGCGAGGTGGTGCCTCCCCCAGGACACTGCTGGGGCCCCGTGCACTCTGGGGGCCTGGACACGGCAGGGCCTGCTGACGCCCAGCCTTGACCAGAGGCCATGTGGCCGTCGTCCTCGGAGGGGGTGGTGCCCAGGTGAGCCACGCAGGCCTGGGGGCCTCCCCACCGCGTGGAGCTAGGGCCCCCCAGCAGAGCGGTGACCTCACAGGATGAGCTGAGATGGCAGTTCAGGGGCCCCCAGAAATCCCTGCGGAGATTCAGGCAGCCAGGCTAGGGTACACCGCGTGGGCATATTCCTCAAGACTTGGGGAGACTCTCCCCGAGAGGGGGGGCTGGCTTGACGCTGGGTGCTGGAGGAGGTGTGGGGGCTGGTCCAGACGGGGTGGGGGACCGGACGAGCTCCAGGAGGGCTGAGTCTCGGGCGAGGAGCCTGTCGTGGCGAGAGGGCCCCGGTTGGGGCCCAGAAGAGGCCTGTGGTTCTGGGAAATCTGCTCGGGGCCTTCCTTAAAGGCCGAGATGGTCTTAGCGAACGAGCAGACGGGGAGTGTAGCGAGAAGCAGAAGGTGTAACAGAACCAAAGGCAAATTGCAGAATTAGGAAGTATAGTATGGGGGTGGGGCTGCCCAGCACGTCCAGACGGCCGAGTCCTGCCTCCCGAGCTGCCTCCAGGACACAGGCCAGGCGGGCGCCCTGCCACCCCCCCCAGTACACCCCCCTCCTCCACACCAGTGCCCCGCCTCCTGCCCGGCAAGTGGGCGCCCCAACCCCGCCTCCAGGACGGCCCACGGCCAGGAAGGGCTGCCCTGGCACCGCGGGCGGCGCTCGTGGCCGCGACTCTGGTCTCTGTGGCCTGAGGATGTGTCCAGCGTGGCGCGGGCTGGATGGAGGAAAACCTCTCCCGGGAGCGCTCCAGCCTGGGCTCCAGCCCGGGCTCTGCTCCTGGGCATGCCGTCCGCGGGCCTGCTCCTCCCGAGGGCGGGGCGCCGGGTCACCGGGCAGCAGGACGGCGGCTTGCTCTCTGCTCCCCCCCAGGCCCCCGGGCACCCGCGAGCAGAGCCCCGTGGACGTGACCACGCAGGTTTTCTTTTTTATCTTGGCTCGGCGAGCTCCCGTGTAGGACTTGAGTCCATTTCAATTCACTGGACGTGGTTCCAGTCAAGAGCGGGGTCTGCCTTGGCGGCTCCTGCCGGGCCCTGCTGCTGCTGGGGGACGGTGTCCGTGAGCGGCCGGGGGCGTTGCCGGAGTCTTTCCTCTCCTGCGCCCTCACGCATTGCCCCTGCCAGCTGCTGCTTCCTGTAAGGCAAAGCTGGGCTCATGGCAAAAGCTGGGAGCAGGTACAGAAAACCAAAATGAAGGTCTAAGGCGATCCGTGGCTGCCTTTCTGAGAGAGAAGCACGTGTGAGCGACATTCGACATCCGCACGCGCCAGGCTTCTCTGCGCGGCTCCCTTGTCTGTAGTTTGCTCGGTGTGCTGGGCGCCGCCCGGGCTCTGGGGCACAGGCACACCCTCGCCCGCCCGCCCTCTGGCGGGCCAGGTCCCGGGCCCCAGGTCGTGCGTGGTGTCTGGTGCGCCGTGAGCCTGGCTGGGTGGCTCCGATGTGCCGTGTGCCGCGCCCAGTTGTGTGGGAGGCAGACTCCTGGAAGTGGGGTTTCTGGATCAAAAGACAGGACGGGGCGAGTCTGGGGTGCTTGTGGGGGCTACTTGTCCCCCTCTGTCTCTCTGCTCAGCCTCCCGGCCTCTGGGTCTGGGCCTGCTCGGGCACGTGATTAAGTCCCGCAAAGTCCTCCCTGCGTGTCTGGAAACTTCTGTCTTGACTTCTCGGCAGCCCCAGAGGCCTCGGACCCCAGGGGGCTGCCCCACAGACCCTGTAGTGAGGGGCATCTGCCCTGGGCGAAGCTACTATATGAGTCATGATCCAAGATTGGACGCTCCTGAAGGAAAAAGGGGGGGCTGTTCACAACCATCCTGGGCAGCAGGTGGACTCTCCGGGGGGTGGGACGCGTGGCCCATGCCGGCCTGAGGGGGGGGGCGGTCACTCACCTGTTGTCCACCGTCCCTGTGGAGGCGCTTTGGGCTGACCCCGTCCCCCACCAGCCCCTCGTCCAGCAGCTGCGATGCCGCACCCCCCCACCCCGCTAACCGGGTTTCCTTGTTGCCCGCCTCGGGGACTGGCCAGGAACCCTGCCCCGGAGGTGCAAGAAGGAGCTGCTGGCAGTGAAGCTGCGGAACCGGCCGAGCAAGCAGGAGCTGGAGGACAGGAACATCTTCCCGCAGAGGACAGACGAGGAGCGGCAGGAGATCCGGCAGCAGATCGAAGTGAAGCTCTCCAAGTAAGTAGCGCGTGGGCACAGCAGCGCGGCCTGCGCACCCGCCCTGCCGCCCGGCGCCTGGACACGCACGGCCAGGGCTCGCCGGCCTCCCGCCACCATTCCTGGGCCAGACGGCCCCGGTGGGGCGCCCTCATGTCACCCCCCCCCCCCCGGCACCCTGTGACCGGCCCAGATACTCACAGGCCCCGCGGGAAAGCCCAGGCCCGGGGAGCCCACAGGGGCCGGAGGAGGACGCGCCTCCTGTTGCCAGCGCCTCAGGCTTTGGGAAGAGCTGGGGTGACTGTGTGTGCGGACGGGTCAGGGAGGCCTGGGAGAGCAGGCGTGGGACCCCCAGGGCCTGGCAGCCCCTGCTTAGGAGGCAGCACAGCGCAGCCCTGGACCCCCATTCTCGCTGGGCCGGGGCTAATGTAAAGCCTCGGACTAGAGTCTCGCAGCCCCGGCGCCGCCACAGTGTGTGAAAACGGAGTCGCGGCCCAGAACTGGGGGTGGCCGCAGCCACCCCCCAACCCCTCTGGCCCCGCTGGCCTCCCCCCCCCAGAAGCCCTTTAATTGGGTCCTTTGTCTTTGCTTGGCCTCCTCGAGGAGACGCTCTGCTCGCACTTGCTGAGTAACAGCCTCCGGTTACCATGGCGACCCGCGTCCGCCAGCCCCAAAGTGCAGCTGGGGTTTGTTTCAATTTTTTTATTTCCAGACCCTTAATATTTTATCTTCCGGGTGCTCCGGGCCCCCGCTCTCGCCGCGATCACACACGAGCCCCCGGGACCCACGCACTCCCCTTGGCGCTCCCCAGCCGGGGCAGCAGCCTGGGCACAGCTCCCCGTGCGCTCTCCGAGGGGGCCGGCTCTGCCCAGCTCCTGCTGTTCAGGGCGCCCCGGGGAGGCCCCCCTCAGCACACACTCCTCAGCCGACCTGTCGCCTCCTTTCCCTGCAGTCGCCGAGTCCTCACGGAGCCCAGGAAGCCCCACTTCAGAGATGAGAAAGGGAGGCTTGGCGCGGGGGACATGCCCAGGGCCCCACCGCCAGAGGAGGCCTCCCGGGCAGGGGCTCGGGGTCCGTCAGACCCCAGCCCGGGCGCGTGGGGGCGGGGGTGGCCGGGCCCCTTCCCCTCTGGCCGCTGTGCGTGTGCGGAAACAGGTGTGGCTCCCGCCGGCTGCGTCGGGGCTCAGCCTGTGCCCTGGGCACAACGCGCTCCCGCCCTGTGCTGGGCTGTGGGCACCAGAGAGGATGCAAAAAGCCCTCAAGGTGGACAGTGAGGCGTTAGGAAATATCCAGAAAGGTCTGGGCAAACACGGGCTTTGAAGGCTGTAGCGGGGGGCACTTTGACCCCCACGGCCCTGGCAGTGCGTCCATGGCGGCTCCTCCCGGGGCCGGGGCGGCCGGGGAGGTGGCGTGGAAGGTCCCAGGTTCCTCCCTGTGAAAACACCTGCAGGAAGGTCCAGAGGCAGATGCTGTGCTGGAGGTGGCGGGTGCTCGGGCCAGGATGTCACCTGTGCGGGGACATCCCAGCAGCAGTGAGCCCACCTGTCACCAGCACCTGCGGGGCTGCGCGGGCCCAGGCGGCCTGTGGCTGCCGACGGAGGGGTGTCCTGCCTCTCATGGCTGCTGTGCCACTTGCCTGGAGTCCTGGCGCTGGGCGGGCAGCCTGAGTGATGGGGAACCCGCCGCCAGCGCTCCCCGGGCGGTGTGGACGCTCGGAGAGACTGTCAGGAGCTGGTACTCAGCGCGTCACCACCGGCACGCCGTGAGGGGGAGCCTGTCCTTGGAGCGTTTGTACATTTTGTTCCGCTGCATTCAGAACAGGCTGCTGCCACTCAGGCCTCCGTAACACACACTCCGGGAAAAAACAAAGTGGTGTGTGCCACTGCCCCCCCGCCCCGCCCCCCCCAGTAGCCTTGAAATCCACGGAATGTTAAGGCTGATGCTTGATGCTGTGAGGGGTAATGATGGCGCTGACAGCTTTGCTGCAGGACGGGCCGGCCTGCTTTCTCTGGAGCCGCCCGCGAGCTGTCTGTGCTGGAGTTCTTGGAAATGCAGAAGCCGTGCTTTTGCTGGGGCCTGCGAGTCAGCTGCTCTGCGTTCCTCAGTTATCCGGGGCTCTGCCAAGGATGCGCAGAGAGCGTGGGTTGGTTTGTGAGAAAATGCGAGCAATGAAACACAACTCCCCAGCCCCAGGAGGCCGGCGGGCAGTGGTCTCGAGGTCTCCAGGTCTCCCGGCTGGGAGCTCAGGACCGAGGGGGTCTAGGCGAGTCCCTGGATTTGTTCGCATCTGTGCATTGGGTGTGCGACGCCTGCCTGCTGAGTTCAAAGGGACAGAATGCCTTGCCCCATCTCACCCGCCTCCCAGCACAGCCTGTGCGAGTGGTAGTAAGTGTGTAACAATAAGGTGGCGCATGGACACTTGTTAAGTTCCTATCCTCGTGCTGCAATTGATCCTCCATGGCCCAGGATGGCTGCAAGAGCACCAGACATAACACTTGAGTCCCAAAGGTGACCTGAGTCAGCCCTTGGAGAAAACGCTTGCCTGAAGCTTCCAGCGTGTCTGTCTGCTGCTCCGCGGTGGTCAGAGCCTCTTCCTGTGCTTAGCTAGACAGGAGAGTACCCCAAGTGCCCCAGCTTTCGGGGGCTGATGTTGATTGGTGAGACACGCACTGTCTCTGCTACTGTGGGTGTTCAAATTTTGTTGCATAGACAGTCCGAAGGCCGAAGGGAAGGGGTGGACGAGCAACACCTGCCTCTTACGCAGCAGAGATTTCTAAAGCTGGTTGGGAGGCGGGTGCGGTGCCCCTGTGGGCGCGCAGAGTGCACCTGACTATTGACAGTCACCCACCTTCCTGACCACCCAGCTCTGGGCTGCAGCAGGGCACCGGGAAGGTGAAGGAGACAGGAACACTGAGCAGGGCCCAGGGCGACGTGGACAGATCCTGCTGCCCGCTCCTCAGGGCCCCTGGCTCTCGGGAGTGGCCGCGTGGGCGCCGGGGCCCTTGGAGAACCATGAGCCCCATTCCCTTGTGCGCTGAGCACCTTTCACCCCAACTGCTCGAGTCTATCTTTGGTTCCCTTTTGAGGCAGGATCAAGGCCGTTCATTGAGGATCCTTTCTCGTGTGACGCAGACATAGCTGTGCTGCTGCGTGTTCTCGTGTGGGTTTCTCCCAGAAGGGGGGAGTTTGCAGCAGGCGGAAGCGCCGAGGGCAGAGCCTCCCGGCGTAGTAGCATTTGTCTTTGCTGACTCCAAAGCATTCCTCTCGGCTTTCATGGAAATAGCATTTTCTTTTTATATCCCTGTAAGTCATTCAATCAACATGCATAAAGTGTAATTAAATTACCTCAATACAGAACAGCGCGCGGGGGCGGGCGCCGCCCAGGGAACAGGGTGCCGGCCTGCAGGTGCGGCGCCCGGACGGTCAGTGGCTCTGGCTTTGCAGGAGGACGGCAGCGCGCTCAGCTGCAGGCGGGGGCAAGGGGAGACCGTCGAGAGTGCCCCTTGGTGGTGCCATCCTGGTAGGCGAGCAGGACGCTGTGGCCCCCAGGCGCCAGAGAACGGGGCCGGGGCAGATGGTGGAGGCTCGCGCGGGCTGTGGGGCCGGTGCCGGGACCCCGCTGGCATGGCCCTGGGTGTGGGTGCTGCTGTCTTCTGCCTGCCTTTGCGCCTTCCTCCCGCTCTCTAACCCCTCCCCGGCCTCCCTTTGCACCCCCTCCCAGTGGACCAGGCCGCGTCCTAGCGGCTCCGGGCTCCGCCTCTGAGGTCCTTCCCACCAGGATGTTCACGAAGAGCTGGTGGCGCTGGGCAGAGAATCAAGTGCAAATTAAATTCGGGCCAAGGGGGTGGGGCACGAGACGGGTCAGAAAGTGTCGGTGAGAGCGGCTGCCGCTGGGAGATGCTGGCTGCTCGCTGCAGCAGTCTGGGTGGGCTTCCCGGAGGAGGAAACACTGACGGTGACCCCCGGGGAGCTCCGGGCCCAGCCTTGTAGACAGAGGGGGCAGCATGCACAGTCAGGGGCAGAGGCAGGCAAGGTGGGAGGAGGCGGGGGGCGAGGGGAGGCGGGGACCAGGTCAGGAGCCAGGCTGTGGGGCTCCCTGTCGGTGCATCGGTGGCCCACGAGCCTCCCTCAAGGATTCCCTGCCCAGGGCGGAGCAGGTGGCATTCGCGGGACGGTGGACCGGGCCTGGAGCGCTGGACCCCCGAGAGCCCCTGCCTGGAGCGGCGGGTGCCGGAGGGGTGGGGGGTCCAGCCCTGCCCGCCGGGGGCTCCCTGGCGACGTCACCGTCCGCACCTCTGGCTCCCCTGCCCCACTCGCACCCCAGGCCGGGGGTCCAGGGCCCTGCACACATGGGCACACGTGTGCACACACATACACACGCGCACACATGCACACAGGCTGTTTCCGTCTCGCCTGCCACACACTGCGTCCGTCGACCTCGCTCGCGCGCAGCCTCTCTCCCGCCTGCCTTTCTCCTCCGGGAACAGCTTCGACAGGCGGGGGGGTCACCGCTCCCGGCCCCCGGGCTGCCTGGCTGAGAGGAGCCCCTCGGCCGGCGTGTCTGGGCGTCTCCCGCCTGGGCCGAGCTGCAGGCCTGTGCGTGGCGGCCAGACCCTGCCCCAGGTGAGGCCTGGACACGATCGCCTTAGTGCCCGGCCCTGCGCGGGTTGCTGGGTGAGGACACGCGGGGAGGGTGGAGCTGGCCCCCGGCCGGCTCAGCTCACTCTGGGGGCCACAGGTCGGGGGGAGCACAGCATCCCGCACCGTCGGGGCTCTGCCCCCAGCCCGCCCTCCAGTCCCTTTGGCCTCAGCCCTGCGTCCCTGCGGGCGCCCCCTGCTGGCAGCCAAGGCTCAGCTCTGCCTGTGCGAGGGAGGGTGTGTGGGGGCAGCCGTGTGGGCCGGGTGTGTCCCGTGGGTGGGAGGGAGCACGCCCACGTGAGCTCGTGTCCGTGTCCTCGTGTCCAGGTGAGCGTGTCTGAGACACTCAGTGACCGGCTGGTCCAAGGAAGCTCGGAGGAGGGGCACGGAGGAGAGGCTGTGCCCTCAGATCTATGTGGACAGGGTGTGGGCAAGACCTGGGGCTGGAGGCGGCCCAAGGAAGCCGGCCTCTCTCCTCCTGCCAACCCGCAGCAGGGACGCGGCCCTCGGCCCCTACAGGCGGCACCACCCACAGGGCCTCTCCTGCCACCAAGGATGCGCATGGACACCACCCCCTGGGGCCTGAGTGGGGTTGGCAGGGGGCGGGGCCTCCCCAGATGGGCAGGCACGTGGACCCGGCGCTGAGGCCTGGCTGCCGCTGCCCCAGCCCGCAGTGGAGGTCCCTCAGGTGTCTACCAGCCCCATAAGCTCCCTAGCCCTGCTCCCCGGCGCTGCAGCGCCCACCCCACTCGCCCCGCCCCAAGACCACTTGGACTTCCCCGAGAGCTGCCTGCCGGCACTGCCCACTGCATCCCTAATGGGAAGCCGCCTGGCCTCGCCTCCTGTCCAGCACGGGGACAGAGGTGGCGCCTCCCCATGGCCGACCCCTCCTCCCCTCAGGTCTCAGCAGACCCAGTAGGTCATGGCAGCGACCTGGTGCCCATGGGCAGATGCTGTAGGAGGAGACTGTGCCACACGCACGGTGGAATACTACTCAGCGGTTAAAAAGATGGCATTGTACCTTTTGGCACAAAATGGGTGCATCTGGAGGTGACGCTCAGCAAAATGAGTCAGAGTCGGAGGCCACATGGGTTTGCCTGCGGGGCGGGAAGAGCTAAGAGGACGCCCAGCCAGCGGGAGTCAGCGGGACTCTGCCCAGGGCGGCTCCCAGAGGCCACCGAGAGGGGATGGGGCGCGGCTCCTGCCCTGGTGGAAGGAGCCTTGTGCACGTGTGGAGGCGTGAGGTCCCCAGATGTAGAGCTACATGAACAACTAACAAATGAATAAAAGCTGAAAAGTTCACTGGGAGAGAATCTGTAAACACAGAGCAGAAGGAAATGCGCCTAAATGCCCGGCTGGCTCCGCAGGTGGTGCAGGAGCCGGTCAGCCTCGCTCTGGGGTCATCCCCAAGGCTTGTCTGCCTCCTCCCTGGGCTGTGAGCCTCCCGGGTGCTGCCACCCCTTCCCGGGCTGGGCGCTGTCCCAGCACTTCCCACAGTCCTTGCCTGCGTGAGTGGCCGCGTGGCCTGTGGGCATTTTGACCAGGAACGTCACCTGGGGACATGCTGGGGACAGATCGGTGCCCCAGGGGCCCAGGCCTGGAGCTGCCAGGGGCGGGTTCAGGTCTCCCAGATGTGGGAGGGTGGGGGGCCAGCCAGGAGCCCCGGGGCAGCCTGGAGGGAGCGCAGAGCCCAGACCCGCTCTGTGCTGGGACGGGTATAAGTAGCAGACGAGCCTTTCTGGGGGCAGCGCCTTCACCGGGCCAGTGTCAGGGCCCAGGGTCCCGGTTGACCCGCAGGAGCCGCGGGACCGGGAGGGGGAAGGTGCTAGCTGGGCGCCCAGGGGCATCATTTGCTGAGAACATAATTGGGGCTGGCTGTGCCCGCCCCTCTGACAAGCCTTTTATCCGTGTGTGTATTTGCGTCCCGCGCATCCTGCACTGTCTCGGAGAAGCCCTTTGAAAGGAAGGAACCGCGGGGCTCCTGCTGGGTGCGGAGGCGGGGCGCTGGCTCTGGGGAGATCCCTCCTCTTGAGCGGCTCCCTCCGGAGCCCCAGAGAGAGAGAGGCGGGGCTCCGCTCCACTCCCCTCTGCTGGCGCCCAGCAGGTGCCCGCCCAGCAGGCAGGAGGCTGTGGCCAGGCGCTGCCCATCCCGCTGGGCTGGGGGCAGGAGACGGATTCTGCCATCGGGGACCCTGCGTGCTGACATCCCCCCGGGGCACAGCCTACTGAGGGGTGGACCCTGCGGCGGGGCTGAGCCATGGAGGCGGGCACAAGCCCCCGGGGGCCAGGATGGACCCCCGAGCAGCTCCAGGACTGAGGCTGCTCTGCTCCAGCCTGCGGGCGTGACTCGGTCGTGCTGGGGAAGGATCCGCCCGAGGACCCCTCGCTGGGGTCGGGGTGGGGCCCGATCTCTGGGCTCCCAGCGTGACCCGGACCCGCGTGTGCAGCCCCGCGGCCATGGTGCAGAATGTGATCCTGGTGTTTTTCCGCAGACGGCTCAGCCAGAGACCTGCGGTGGAGGAGCTGGAGAGGAGGAATATCTTGAAACGTGAGTACCCTGTCCCCCGTGCCCCCCACGCCCCCCGTCCTCCGTCCCCCGCCTCCTGCGCATGGGACTGTGGCGGGAATGCAGGTCCCCCTTGCTCCCTCTGCCCAAGCCTCCCTGCTCCCCGAGAGTCAGGGCAGCTGAGGAGTTCTGAGGGTGACCCCCCCAAAGGAAAGTTGATGCCCCCAGAAATTGCCTCTTTTGACATGAAAAAGCAGGCTCGCTGGCACCGCCCGCCGTGTGTGCCCGCCAGGGAAATTGATCCTTGAGCCCCGAGAACTAAGGGAAGTGGGTCCAGGGCCTGGGGCATCTGCGTGTCCAGCGCAGCGGGTGTCCCTGGGCCTCCAGCAGGTGTGGGGGGGCGGGTCACGGCACAGGCCCCAGGTAGCTGTCCCCATCCCAGCTGGGGGCCCCTGCCTGGGCCTGTGGCACCTCTGCGGCAGCTGCTCGAGGGCGGGGGACCCCCCAACACCTCCCTGTGCAGGGAGTTGGGGGTGTGGCTCTCTGTTGAACGAGGGCACCCCCAACACAGAGCACCCCTTGTGTCTCACTGATGATTCCGGGGCTAAAACCTCCATGAGTGTTTCCCGAGCTCTGTCTGGGCAGCTGGTTTTAGTTGTTGGCTTTTCACTCTCTGAAGTCACGGCCTTCCACGGCCCAGGGTTTCACGGGTTCTCAGTCCCCGCTTTCTGGGTGAGCGCAGTGGACAGGAGGGCGCCCCCTTCCTCAGGACGTGCCTGCAGGGTGCCTGGCCCAGCCGGGCTGCTGGGAGCAGGAGCCGTCGGGTCCACGCCCTCTTGGCCTTCACGGGCTGCCGAGACGGTCCCCTCCTGTGAGGCGGCCGCCCGGCCCGGGCCTGAGGCTGAGAACTCGGCTCACGTTTCAGCCGAGGCGAGCGTGAGCGGGGCCTGTGTCCGAGCAGGCGGGGTCCGGGGGGAATAAGCCCCGGTGGGGGGGACAAGCCCCAGGGGGTGCTTGAACCGGGGGCCGATCGTGTCCATCCCCGGGGACCCACGTGCTCAGCGTCCACCCCCTCAGTTGCCTCCTCTAGGTCGCCGCTGCCCGGAGGCCGTGGACGGCTCACGGGGTGGGGACCCCCTGCCCCCAGGGGCCCCCACTGCGGCTTTAGCGGCTCAGTCTCAGCAGGTGGAATTACAGGCTGAGGGTAGGACGGGGTCTGGGGAGCGGCGCTGGCGAGCGGTGGCCGGAAGCGACCGTGACCGCACTCGCTTCCCGGGGGGACGGGACGGCAGTGCCTGGGCCGGCCGCGTGGCCGCCGGGCCGTCAGGTGGGCCGTGGCGCGGAGGCTTCTCAAGCGCCAAGTGTGTGGCGGGTGGCGGCGCCTCCGTCCTGGGCGTCTGGGCGTCCTGGGGCACCTGCGGCCCAGCCCTCTGCGGGCCTGACCGGCGGGCGGCGCTCTCAACAGCACGGCGCCCTTCGGCGGGGAGCCCGTGGCTGGGGTGCGGGTGTGCAGGACGCTTGGGACGTCTCCCCTCCGCCCTCCCCACACGGTCCTGAGGCTGCTCTGCTGTCCCTGCGGCGCCGTCGGGGAAGGAAGGCCCGGGGCGAGGTGGCAGCCCGGCCAGGGAGACGTGGCGAGCGGCTGGCGCTGAGGGGCACCCCGCTGGCCCGGCCCCCGTGTCCATGTGCTCACGCTGCTTCAGCAGCAAGAAGACCCTTCTCCTCTCCAGACCCCTCGCGAGTGCCCAGCCCCTGGCGCTATTCCTGGAAGATGCGATCGGAGACCCCTTGTTTTGCACAAGGCACAGGGCTCTGGGCCTGGGGAGAAGGGCCCCCCGCGGCCATGGCTAAGTCAGGCTTGGAGAGAACCCTGGGCTTAGGCAATCAGGAAGGACTTCTTGGAGGCGGTGTCCCAGGCCCCGGACCCCTTCAAAGATCGGCTTCCCGAACCTGCAGCGCCGGTCGCGAAGGATGCCGACATCGTTGACGGTTTAAAAAAGGAAAGGTCTGGTTTTGTTTCGGCTTTTCGCTCACGTGGAGGCTGTTCTTGGGACGGCCCGTGGCCCGTTTTTAGAAACGTGACCGAGCCTTTCATGTCATCCCTTAAATTCCCCGCGGCCGGCCTTGGCTGCCGTCGTCGGTTTCTCTCATGGTATCGTCGGGTTTCTCGTCGGCGCCTGAAACGGCGGCTTCTCTCCTCAGAGGCCCGGTGCCAAGCGAATCTTCCTTCTTAAAACAAACGCGGAATCACAGCGGCTGCGTGTGACCCGCACTCGGGCACTTGCAGTGACGCCCGCAGTAGAGCAGAGAACGCGGCCTCGTGCCGGCGAGCGGTTTCCCTGTCGGGGCCGGGGCGCGGGCGGGACCCCGTCAGGTCAGGGGCTTTATGAAGCCACAGAGCCTGCCAGAAACAGCGCAGCCGTCTCCGCACCCCAGGGCTGCACCTGCCGGGCCTCCGGGCCTCCGCTGCTGTCCCCCGCCCCGGGCAGGTGGAGCGGCGGGGTGTCAGGGCGCCGCGGGCTGGGGTGAGGGCTCTGGTGCGCTTCCCTCCCGGACACACTGCGCGTCGGCCCCGGGAGCAGGTGATGCAGGGGTGGGAAGGGGGTGCCCCTTTGCGCGTGGGGTGGCCTGGGCGCGTGCAGGGACCACCTGTTACTAGGCGGACCCACATGCACCCGGAGCCACTTGGCCCATCTGTCCCGGCGTGAGGTGTGCGCGAGCGTGAAGTGTGAGTGAGCGTGAAGTGTGAGCAAGCGTGAGGTGTGGGTGAACATGAGGTGTGAGCGAGGCAGGTCGCCCGACCCGGGGAGCACGAGGGGCGCAGGGAGAGACCTGCTCCTCGTCCTCCTGCCGTGCTCCCGTCCCGACTGGAGCCACGGGCTCCGAGACCCAGGCTGGGGCGGCCAAGCCCCCGGGCCACGCGTGCGGCGACGGGCCCAGCCCGCGGTCGGGCAGGACGCCTCACCTGCTTGGTTTTCTGTTCTGATCGTTGACAGAGAGGAACGACCAGACCGAGCAGGAAGAACGACGAGAAATCAAGCAGAGGTTGACGCGGAAGGTACCGCCCCTTGTCACTTAGGCATGGCTTCCGGCGGGGGGGTTGGGGGGCTCCCACAGCCCTCGGGCAGCTGTGCGGACGGCGCTGCCATCGCCGCGACCCACAGGGCATGCTGGGCCCTCACCAGGCTCAGGGAGGGTGCGCGGCACTGCCAGGCTTCGGAAGGGCGCTGGCAAGAGGGCCTGGCCCTGCCCAGCCCTGGGCTGCCCGGAAGCCGGGGTGGACCAGGCAGTCTCCTCATTGACTTGGATCCCCCCAGGCTGCCTGGGAAGAGTCCCTGGATCTGGGGGCCCAGGGCCACCTTCAGCTGGCCTCGCGGCTTCCAGCGCAGAGACTGTATCGGCCTCCAGGGTTTGCGGGTTGGGACGCGAGTCGTTAAACTTCCCTCTGGCCTGCTCAGGGGCGCGTCCATAAGCTGCCCTGCCTGCACCCCGGGGGCTGTGGCGGTGCCCCTTCTCCGCCGGCTCCTCCTGGTCATCCGCAAAGCCTGTCCCGCTTGGAGCTGTGGGGATGCGCCAGCCTCCCTGAGCCCGCCGGGGCGCACGGCCTCCCCGGCAGCTGCTCCTTCGGGGAAGCCCATGTGGTGACGATGGAGAAGCCACAGCCGCTGCTCTGCGCCCCTTCCTGGCGCCTGCGCTGGGCTGTGCGGGCTGGGGGTGTGAGCCCCGAAGCCACGAGCGCGGGGGGCCGGGAGACGCCAGCCTCTGGCCCCGTCTCGGGCCGCGGAGCCCACCTGCGCTGGTGGAGACGCGCCTTGTCCTCACCCCAAGCCCTTCTGTTTCAGCTCAACCAGAGACCCACCGTGGATGAGCTCAGAGACAGGAAGATCCTGATCCGATTCAGCGACTACGTGGAAGTGGCCAAGGCGCAGGACTACGACCGGCGGGCGGACAAGCCCTGGACCAGGCTGTCGGCGGCAGACAAGGTACTGGCGCGCCGGGGCGGACGGCAGCCGGGCAGAGCGGGGGCGCCTGCCGGGGGCTGGCCTGGTCGGGTGATCGGCTCAGCGTGAGGCTGAGGTTTGGCCAGTGGGCAGCTGCTTCGTGGCAGGACCTTGGCACTGTCTGGAGACGTTTGTGGTTGGGGCGACTGGGGTGTCGCTGGCATCTGTCGCGGAGACCAGGGACCTGCTGGGCCTCTCTGTGTGCAGGCCAGACGCCCTCAGCGGGGATCCTGCCCCGGGTGTGGGGATGCGGGAGCCGAGTGCCCCGGGGCTCAAGCCAGCAGCACAGAGACGCGATGTCGGGGCTCAGGCGCAGGAGCCACAGGGCTGCCGGGAGGAGAGGGTCAGACCTGGGGGCCTGGAGAGGCAGGGAGAGAGCGGGGGGTGGGCCCAGGCTTCCCTGTGCAGCTACTCTGCGTCCTACTGGACCAGCTGCAGGGCCACGCGGCCACCAGGCAGTCCCGGGGGAGGATCCGCGCACCTCTGAGTGCTCGGCTTGGAGAGCTCTGGTGGGGTCAGGTCTCGCCCACGGTCAGTCGGGTCTTGTCCACGGTCGGTCAGTTCTTGTTCTTGGTCATTTGGGTCAGGTCCTGTCCACGGTTGACCTGGTCAGGTCTTGTCCATGGTCGGTTGGTTCTTGTTCTTGGTCAGTCGGGTCGGGTCTCGTCCACGGTCGGTCGGGTCTCGTCCACAGTCGGGTCTTGTCCACGATTGGTCAGTTCTTGTTCTTGGTCATTTGGGTCAGGTCCTGTCCACGGTTGGCCTGGTCGGGTCTTGTCCATGGTCGGTTGGTTCTTGTTCTTGGTCAGTCGGGTCGGGTCTCGTCCATGGTCGGTCGGGTCTCGTCCACAGTCGGGTCTTGTCCACGATTGGTCAGTTCTCGTTCTTGGTCATTTGGGTCAGGTCCTGTCCACGGTTGGCTTGGTCAGGTCTTGTCCATGGTCGGTTGGTTCTCGTTCTCAGTCGGGTCGGGTCTCGTCCACGATCTGTCAGGTCTCGTCCACAGTCACTCGGGTCTTGTCCACAGTCGGTTCTTGTTCTCGGTCAGTTGGGTCAGGGCAGGTCCTGTCCACGGTCAGTCGGATCTTGTCCACAGTCGGTCAGTTCTTGTTTTTGGTCGTTTGGGTCAGGTCCTGTCCACGGTTGGCTTGGTCAGGTCTTGTCCATGGTTGGTTGGTTCTCGTTCTCGGTCAGTCGGGTCAGGTCTCGACCATGGTCGGTCAGGTCTCGTCCACGGTCTGTCCAGTCAGATCTCATCCACGTTCTGTCAGGTCTCGTCCACAGTCAGTCGGGTCTTGTCCACGGTTGGTCGGTTCTCGTTCTCAGTCATTCGGGTCAGGTCAGGTCCTGTCCACGGTCGGTCCGGTCAAGTCTCGTCCATGGTCGGTCCGGTCAAGTCTCGTCCACGGTTGGTCAGTTCTTGTTCTCGGTCAGTTGGGTCAGGTCAGGTCCTGTCCATGGTTGCTCCGGTCAGGTCTCGTCCACGGTTGGTCAGTTCTTGTTCTCGGTCAGTTGGGTCAGGTCAGGTCCTGTCCATGGTTGCTCCGGTCAGGTCTCGTCCACAGTCAGTCGGGTCTTGTCCATGGTCAGTCGGATCTCATCCATGGTTGGATGTTACCGCCCGGCAGGGTGTAACCCCAGGGGTCTCTCTGCGGAGTTCCATGCCATACGGTCCTGCCTCTGGTGACTTTCTGGGCTCTCAAATTCTCCAGAAAGAGGAGCTGGACATCCGGTCGCCCACGAGCGGGCTGGCGTTGCCGTGTCCTCACTCTTCGTGTGCCGAGTGTGAGGGAGAGGAGCGGCCCTGGGCAGGTGGTGTACCTGGGGGTGCAGGTGCGCGGCTGGACCAGCTCGACGGTGACCCGCATGTGCGTGCTCAGGGGTGATGATGGTGGCGGGGGGCGCGTCTCCGGGCAGACCTGTTTGAGTGGGGGGTGCCACTCCCCTGAAAGTCTCGACTGAACTCTGCAGGAGCCTGGGATGCCGTTTACTCTGCGCCGGGGAGGGGCTCTTAGTGCAGCCAAAACCCGGGAGTCGGCAGTTGTCGGGAACGGTGGTTCCCCGGAGGTTCCCCCCATGTCCCACCCGCGCGCTGTTGCTGATGTCGTGGAAAACAACGTGTTTGTTAAAATTCCAGGCGGCCATCCGCAAGGAGCTCAATGAATACAAAAGTAACGAGATGGAGGTGCACGCGTCCAGCAAGCACTTGACAAGGTCAGATTTCAGTCTGTTTCCCGCCACCAACCGGGTCTTCAGGCCAGAAAAGCGCCAGCAGAGCTCCGTGTCCAGGACGGCGCCGTCGCCTCTGCGGAGCACTGTGCTGGCGGCGCCTCCCGGGAGCCCTGGCGCGGCCCCGCTGGGCTGCGTGTGCGGCTGATGCTGATTTACGGAAACCCGCCTCCGCGCCCCGGGCCGTGCATTTAGCTTCTGTGATGCTCAGAGCTTGCCGCGTTTCTAGACCTTCCTGAGTCCACGTCTAGGATCGCGCTGCAGTCTGTCCCTCTCGACCTCACATTCTCTCTCACTTAAACCTTAAACCTGGGTTAAGTGGACTGGAGGTCACGTAAACCTCCGCATCTCACAAGCCAATGCTCCCCCCAAAGCTCCCCCATAGCTCAGCACATTTGTTTCCTCAGCAGCTGTTTGGGTCCCCACTGTGCCCGCGTGCCCACTGCATGCCTGTGCCCCCAGGAACGCGGGGTGAATGAGGCGCAGGAGGCCCGTCCTCGCGAGCTGCCTCTGGGGGATGCCGCAGCCCTTCTGTCCCCAGAGACAGCCTGTCCCGGCGCCAGGGTCTCAGCTGCCCCGGAGCCCACGCGGGCTTGCTGGCGTGGAGTGGGGCCACATGTCTCTGCTCGGGGCCCTGGCAGGGCCCACGAGGAGTGGCCGCTTGACATCCTCACGCACCCGGCCTCACGGGAGGGACGGTGGTGGCGGCCCAAAGCGGCCGTCCTTCCTCACGGCTCGCTAGGCCCCGAGGTGCTCAAGCTCAGGAAGCAGGGGACGCCCTGTCAGTGCCGGCGCCCGGCCTAGCACGGAGGGCCGTTTGCACCGCGGCCTCCACAGCTGTCACGTAAAAGGCCGGCTCCGCGGGCCCAGAGAGCCGTGAGCAGAGAGCAGCTCCCTGCGCAGCTTCGGGGGCGCATCAGCGGGGAGAGGGAGCTTGGAAGGTCCCCCCCCCGACGGCAAAGTGCGGGCAGGACGGGGTCATGCGCTGTAGGGGTGTCCCGTCACTCGGGAAGGGAGCGAGCTCGGGTACAACGTCCAAAATGCCTCGTGAGGCCAGCGCTGTCCGCAACGGCCGGGAGCCCCCCACTCCGCGCGGGGCGCCCGACTCCACCCCGCGGCTCGCCCAGGGCCTCCCTGCGCCGCCTCCGAGCCCGGCGGCCTCCTGAGGAGACACAATTCCAAGAGTGATCCCGAAACGTGGCCCTCGGGGCAGCGATAGGTTCTCGCCCCGCAGTGGGCCAGGTCGCGTCAGCTTCCACAGCTCGGAACACTTTGGCTCTAACGTGTAACCCAGCGCAGTCCCCTCGCCGGGGCCTCCCGTCGTCCCCTCACTGACTCCCAAACCCACCCCGGGCCTCGCGGGGGCTGGGCGGCCTGGCTCCTCGCCCGGGTCCCGGGTCGGTCCGGGGCTCCCGCCTCCGCACCGGGCTCCAGGCGGGCTTGGGTCGTCGGCAGGTTGGGGTCGAGAGGGGCCCCACGGGGGAGCCCCCCGAGGCTTTAACCCCGGCAGGGCCACCTTCCGCCTGCCACGTCGCGCCCCTCGGCAGCCTCTCAGCGGCGAGCAGTTTGCGTGTGGGCTCGGCCCCGCCCCAGACACCGTCCCCGCAGCCGCTGTCTCTTGTGCTTTCCAGGTTCCACAGGCCATAGCGATTTTCTTCTGAGAAGAATTTGTGTTTAATTTTTGATACCAACACTGAACACTCATCAGGGAACTTTCCTGAAGTTCAGCTCAAGACGACCTGCCGTGTGCGAGAGGAGCAGGTCCCACCCCCAGGTGACATCTCGGGGCCCACGCGGAGAAGCCAGAGGACGCCCCCCCTCCGGGCGCGCGGCGCGGGGACTGCCGGGGGCGGCGGCGGCCCGGGGACTCCCGCGGGGCCACGCGCCCGCCCTGGTGGGTGTCGGGGCGTCCCCGCCGAGGGGCCCCGCGGCCCTCCAGGCCTCCACGCGAGGGCAGGGACGCAGGGCCACGTTGAAAAGACATTTTTATTCTGATCACAGTTCATTTGAAAACCCTTTAAGTTCACGTTACACGAAATGATTTCCTGTATTATACTTTCTCTTTTTTTATATAATGTCTAACAAATACAGCTGCAGCATTTTGATTCCTGTTAATTTGTCCCTTGATTAAATGACGACTCACTGCAGGACATCCGCCCGGGCCTCGCACTTTCTTGGCTTGTGACGAGGCCGTGGCGGAGCAGGGCCAGGAGGCAAGTCTGGGTGTAAGATCTCAGCCCCAGCACACGCGGGGGTTCTGGCTTTGGGGGTTTCGCGGACGGGGGCATGTGGTCGCGCCCTGGACAGTCATTACCCTTCCGAGTCACCGTGCCCGTGAGTAACCAACTGAGAAGCAACTTGTTGAAAAATTCTCTCAAGATGGAAACAGCGGCCTCTCCCAGGGCATGTTTCAGTTCACGTTCGCAGACACGATCGACAGCTCCCCGCGAGACGGCAGCTCAGAGGCTGTGCAGGGAGAAGGAAAAGGCGTTTGCCTTGGCACGAAGGTAAAAATTCACCTTGGCACAAAGGGGACACGTTCCCTCAATGCCCCTGAAGGTTCTTTTCGCCCTGCCCGGGGAGCCCGCCCCTCCCAGTGCCCGGGACGCGGCTCCTCAGGGCCGGCAGAGCAGCCAGGGGCCGGGTCCCCGTAGGAAGGCCCGCGAGCCCGATGCCCACGCCACGCCGCTGGCGGCAGACGCGAGACGGGGCCGGGCGCGGGCCGTCCCAGCACAGGGAGCCGCCGGCGTCCCGGCCACACCTGGCCGCCCGGCTCGCCGTACCCTCCCCGGCCTGCTCTCGGACGGTGGGGTCGGGCGCCACGGAAGCGGCTGGACCCGTGGGGTGGTGCTGCCTCCTAAAGGACCGTGGCCGCTCCCGCCGGCCAGACCCCGCTAGCTGGACTGGCCGTGGCCGCACGGCGGACACACCCTGGCATCCCTTACTGCCGCGTGGCCCTCGTCGGCCCTTGACTCCTCCGGGCCGCGGGGTGTCCTCGTCCCTGAACCGAGATGGTGCCCGCACGCCTGTGGGCGGAAAGGCAGCTCCTTCAGCCAGGCGTCCCTGCGGGTGCGCGCGCCAGCTCGTCCTGCTCCGGGGGCCATCTCCAGCTCTTTTCCTGTTTGAAGCCATATATTAGCAGCTCCCTCTTTTATGTTTTATTCAGTTTTAAATATGAATTGGAGCAAATATGGAAAACCGAGCTCCCAGTCTCCCCCGCAGAGCTGCTCCACGCACTAAGGTGGAGAAAGTGCCGGCTTTCCGGGAGCCCCGGCCCCGCAGCAGAGGGTGGGGATTGCTTGGACCCGCGGTGCGATGGCGAGGCCCCCGGTGACAGGTGGCCTCGTGGATGGGACACGTTCAGGTTCTTTTCCCAACTAACATCCTGCAACTAGTGAGAAAGTTAGAAATGAAGAGAAAGTGCAGGAAGCCCAAAGGAGGGTGTTGTTGGCCCAGACTAGAGGATTCTAAGATCTCGTACGAGCAGAGGATGCTTCCACCGTGAGCAAACTCTTTAGCAATAACATCTAACTTACACCACTGCATTTTCATTCACCATAAAAGCCTCGCTAAACTGCATTTCCATATTTCATGTTCTTTTCGGGTCTTGTGGCAGTTAAGAGAAAAACTAAAACTTGGGGTGCACGTATTCTGCATTACCTGGAGTGCGACTGGGCACCTCAAACCCCCATCATACTTCGTTGGAGGGAAAAAAATTGAAAATTCGTAAATTACATGATACTGAAGATATACATGTTTATAAATTTACATGTTTCATAAATGTGGAAGAGCTTTATATACTTAAGAGTATAAAGACTTTGGGGGAAAAACCTCTTATTCAATAGTCATCACAGTATCTGAATTTTCAGAATTTTTCACTACTAGTATGAGGTTTTTGTGCTTTGATTTTACAAGTTATTCTTATTTTCACAAAACAAAATATGATTACTAAAATAACACTATTAAGACATTAAAGAATTGTCTTTAAGGAATTTAAAGCATTTTTTAAAAAATCTTGGCGATTTTGAGAATATCAAATCACTTCTAGAAGAACCTATTAAATTTTAAGCCAGTCTGATAAGAGGACTAGTATGATTAAAGTACCTTTTTTGTATTTAAAGGGACTTTGAAATTCTGTGATTTTTGACCATTGGACTATTTTAAGAAAACACCAGAATGCCTAGCGCCGAGAGGGCCACCTTGTGGGGAGGCGTGGTAATGACAAGCCCGAGCTTACTGCTCTCCTCCGGGTCCGGGTTTCAAGCCCCGTGGCCCCAGTTCCTCAACAGCAAATTCAAGCAGAGAGATGCAAAGTTCTAATGGTGCTGTTCCAAGTGCTGCTTATGCCCAGTTACCCAGTTTTGTTTTTCATATGAAAGAAACAGAAGCTGTGCGAAAGCAAGTGAACATGTTTAAAGTCAAGCTGAACATACGAAAATGTCTTGAAACAAGTAAGGTTTTCTATGAACTTATTGCCAGCACTAGGACCATGTCGCGCGTGCAAGTCTAGACAAAAGTGTTTGTTAGAATGAGTGATGGGAAGCTGCCAATGATCAGGTCCAGGAGAACAAAGATATTTTGTGTTCAGGATAAAGAACCTTGGCGCGGGAAGTGTAGGGACTCTGGATGTGGAAACGTGCTCAGAACGGTTGGAGCTGGAAACATGGCTGCTGTTCACGCGTGTCTTCACTTTCTAAATGCAACTGAGCCCCCTTTTCAGAGATGTGCATCCCCTGCACAAGTATGCCCTGAGCGGGGCCCACCCAGCCCCTCCCCAGAGTGCCTCTGGGCTTTAGAGCTGACTCCCCGTGGGGCACAGGTTGGGAACCACCAGCATCCTGTCCCAGCTTTTACATTCCAACGTGTAACAGGCTTCCTTGTTGCTGTTACTTCCTGGTAAGTTACTTTACTCAGTTCTGCTTCAGTTGCTTACGCATAGCGTTTACGATTCCCTGCATGCCGACCCATTTCAGCTCTTAGCTATGTCAGGGGACCTTGCCATGAGTATTATGTACAACTGTGACTGGGCAGACTGTTAATAGGGGTTGGTGACTGGCAGGCCAGCGGACTCAGCAACTGTGGCACTTCACACCAGGAGCCGAGGGCAGCTGCACGCCTTGCCGCTGTTGGCTGCCATCTGAGTGTGGGATCCAGTCAGTGCTAGATGAGACACAAGGTCTCCTCCCCGCTGACAGCACCTGCTGGCCGCACGCTGTCGGGACTGGGGGCACTGAGGTCCATACAGGTGAGCACATAAGCTTCTGCTCTGCTACACTAATGCTGCAAATTTTTCTCTTTCATGTTCTTTCCCATGAGATCTTCTGGAAAAAGTTACCACTTCACAGCTCAATTTAATTAAGGAAGTCTGGTACACCTACATGAACATAGTGGTAAATTCAATCCAGGTAAGAAGTGTAAGTCATTAGCCGCAATGATTATTTAATGTGTCTAAAATAGAGAAATCAAGGAGCTTTACCTAAATGAGTTAATTAGCATAATCATTAGCTTCTGCTAGTACAAAACTGATTTAAATCACTGGTTAAATAGTAAGATAACAGGAATTATTTTATAATAGAGAATGGAGATCTGATCTGTAAAATTTTCTTCTAAACTAGGGGTCTTGCAGACTGTAGCGCACACACCAAACCTAGCCTGCCAGTCCCACCTGCCTCTTGATGGCCCGTCAGGTAAGGATGGCTTTTACATTTGTAAATGGTTACGTCTGACATGATTATGGAAGGACCAACATTATAGTCTCAAAATTATCTTGCAGCCCACAAAGCCTGAAACATTTACTGCTTTAAGGTAGTTTGCCAACTCCCTTAAAATTTAAAAAAAATTATATTGTAGAAAGGTTAAAAACTACACAGAACTCAGCTAAATTGTTTCTAAGCTTAAAAGTTTTTAGCATCAGACCTATTTCAAATTCCAACTCTCATTGTAAACTCATACTAGTAAGTTATTTGACTTGTAGAAAATGCACATCTAATTAGGTAAATAATAAAGGTGATATGGATATTAAAGCCGTTTCATTAGTATGGCAACTCACTGCACAAACCAGTTATACAAAGTTCAAGATAGTACAACACAGAGATCTCATTTAACACACCTGTATTGTAGGAAAAATAACTTTTCCTCTAGATTTTAGAGGAAAATATTTCAGAGTATTTCCATGGACCTTTTTTTTTTAAAGATTTATTTATGCACACAAGAACTGGGGTACAGGCCAGAGGTGTGTGTGTGAGGAGGGAGAGGATTCCCCAGACAGGGGAGGAGAACAGGCAGATTGACTGGAATCCACTGCTGAGGGGAGCAGCGGGGAGACAGGAGGGGTCTGCCGCGCCATGTGGCGGGCTCCCTGGCAGGCTGGGGATCAAACTCGTGCTGCAGAGGCGGCAGACAGCGTCACAGCGCTGTGCTTAACCCCTTGCACCACCTTTGGACCTCATGGGACAATACACACGCACACACAAGGCCAACTACTACAAATGCCGTTCTCTTAGATGACGCAGTTGCTGTGTTCCTCCAGAGGGCCAGAGAAAGAGACCCATGGCTGTGCATGACAACTTCAAAAACACACGTCTGCTTTTAGCCACAAGGGGGTTCCTTACTCTCCCTGTCTAGAGCTGAGCACAGCACATGCCATGCAACACTCAGCTGACTGCTAGTACTTTGCTAGCAACAGCAATGAGAATCCACGCTGTACAGGGTTTGAGAAGCTGAGTTTAGAAGGCACCTCCTTCAAAAATTTATTCCTTTTACTATGCTGCTGGACTTAGTTTGCTAGTATTTCGTTGAAGATTTTTACATGTATATTCCTACGCGACACTGGTCTGTAACTTTCTTGTGATGTCTTCGTCTGGCTTCAGTAAGATGAGGCTGGTCTCAGAGTGAATTAGGAGCATTCCCTCTTTTCTGGAAGAGTGTGAGAAGGACTGGTGTTAATTCTTTCGGTGTTTGATAGAATTCTTCACTGGGTGGCTTTTAATTTATGAGTCAATCTATTATAGATCTGTTCATGTTTTCTGTTTCTTCTCAAGTCAGTTTTGGTAGCTTGTGTTTCTAGGAATTCATTGCATTATCTCAATTGTTGGCAATGCTGTTGTTCATAGATGTCTCTTATAATCCTTTTCATTTTTGTAAGGTGGGTAGTGATGTCCCCAATTTTCACTTATGATTTTGGTAGCGTTAGCTTCCTGCCTGTCACTCAAACTAATGGCTTATCGATTTCATTAAATCTTTTCAAAGAACCAACTTTTACTTTCATTGACTTTCTCTATTTTTTTAATCTTCATTCTGGTCTTTATTATTTCTTTCCTTCTGATAACTTTAGGTATAGTTTGCACCTCTTTCTATTCCCTAGTTAAGTTCTTCATCTGTAATGTATATAAACTCACATCAGTGACTTTTCCTGTGCCCTGCTTTCACCAAAGTGCTTTCAAATTTCCCTTGTGGGCCTCCCTGGTGGTGCAGCAGGTTGAGCACAGCGCTGTGAAGCTGACTGCAGCCTCTGCAGCACCGGTTCAATTCCCAGCCAGCCAGGGAGATACCCACATGGCGGGGCAGCCCTCTCCTGTCTTTCCTGCTGCTCCCCTCAGCAGTGTACTTTGTTCCATCTGCCTGTTCTGCTCTGTCTCTGATGAATCTTCTCACCCTCCTGCACCTCTAGCCCGTACCCCAGTTCTTGTATAAAAATAAATCTTAAAAAAAAACAAAAAAACAAAAACCAAAAACAAATTTCCCTTGTGATTTACTCCTTGACCAACTGGTTGTTTAGAGTGTTGTCACTGGAGTTTTGGGTATGGTAGTGATATGGTATGATTGATGGCTTAGCAAGAACAGGCTGGCTGCTAAATGAATAAAAGATTGTGGAAAGGCAACTATGAATGCTGGAAAGCTATTTAGGAGGCTGTTGCAATGGTCTCTGTGAGAAATTATGTTGATAGAGACAGTGGAAGTGACTTGTGGAACATTATCCTGGCAGTAAAATCTGTAGGACTTACTGATCAATTAACCAGAAAGATAAATGGGTAATTTTAGGTTTTTGCTTGGATAGCTGAGTGGATAAAAATCACATTCATGAGGTGGACAAGGTTTATTCTTTCTCTTTGGTAGTGAGAAGAATGCTGAGGGAGAGAAATGGAGTTGTTTTGAGAGTTGTCAACAAAGCTGTATGTATTTGACATGATGCCTGAATGTGTAAAGTTTATAGCTTTGGGACATTTGGAAGTCATTAACATAAAGATGGTTATTACATGGAATAGCTGAAGTCACCTACGAGGAAATTATAAATCAAAGCGCCCCATACTGAAAGAGAGGAAGTGGAAAATACATGCCAGCCAAAGGTTTTGCTAATGAAATGACACTGAGAAGCTGAGTAAGAAGATACTGATTAGGGTTGGCAAAATAAATCACTAGTGATTGATATAAGCAGTTCAGTGAAAGAGTAAAGACAGAAGCTGGACTGAGCAAATAGTAACTACAGAAAATTCTTTTGTTATTTTCTCTGTCCAGGTGAGTAGAAAATTACATAGGAGAGACAGCAGTTAGGTGGGAACTTGTTATCAAAGGAGGCTTCTTTTTAAAATAAGAAAATGTGGGCAACGTAAACCTGTAGAGAGAAAAGTCCAGGACAGGAGGATTCTGAGCACTATTGGGGGGCTACCCTTAGACAAAGGAGTGACTCTGCCATTGGAACATGGAGAAGATGCTGATACTAATGCAGTTAACATGTCAGATCTTAGAAAAGTAGGAGGTGAGGTCATCAGCTGAAACGGAAAGAACTAAGCAGACAGGAATTGAGATGCAGTGATACTCTAGAAATGTGTGAATGTCCAACAGGGCAGAGTCAAGATCGAGATTTTCCTCTGGGGATGTTCAGGCTGAGGAATGAGGGGTAGGAATTAGTAAGAGAATGAGTAAGGAAGAACAAGAGGGGTAATTAAGCATGAGCAAAAAAAAGTTGAAGTTGGGAAGAAAAAGGTTTGGGCGATGATTGGAAAGTGAAACTCAGGGGCACAGCAGATGGGTCTGGAAGAGCAGCGAGGAGACGGGCACTTGGGCGAGACGGTATGTGGTAAGAAGTACAACGATTTAGGCGTCTTGGAAGAGGTCAAATGGGGAGGTCTGCCATTACAGGGTTAGTTCTACCGTCTCACAGGGCGACACGGACTCTACGTGAGTAGTAACAGCAGAGATGCCACTTTCTTAGGCTAGTGGGGATTCTATTTCCAATCAATAAATCTTGTTCAACTTCTATTATAGCACCAGCTTAGATACAAAGGGTCTTCTTTTGCTTACCTAGACCACTGTGAGCCCACGAGGCTGCTTGAATTACACATCAGATGTTTGGCCCAATGTTGACAAAATAAGGAAAATAACTTCTTAAAAAATATACTTGTCAAAACTTCTTAGAACACAGATATTTAGATAGTATAGTGCAATAGAGTATTCCATGCCATCTGATACATTAGAGGCGTAACTGAAAAATATAATCTCCAATAGCTTCAAGAACCAAGTTACACTCAGGAAAACATTTTAAATCATATTTCAGTGTGTGGCTAAATTTTATTTAGTCTAAACTGTATTCATTTGTAATACATTTTTCTCTAACAAAATAGCATAGTTTAGTTTTGGGCACAGTATAGTTATGTGTTTATCTTTGTATCACACACTGAGATTTCTTTCATGAGTCAAGAATAATGACATCAGTCCTCTGCGTACATTAAGAAGCTCCTCTTCTTGCTAGGATCAAGGGGGAAAAAAAAAAACCTTAAAAGTTGAATGGTCAGTGGAAACATCAAGCTACTAGGTACCCAATCTTAGCAACGCCACCCATAGAGATACTGCACACCAATGCTCATGCCACCCAGTCGCCTGCGGTGGGTGTCTACGGAACTCTGACAGCCGCTGAGACTATGCTAAGGAAGTGAGAAAGGAGCACCCATCCTTAAATCCCAAATTAATGAAACTCGAAGAAAAGTTTGCATTAAGTATATAAATTACCTTTATAAAAGACTAGTACTGAAGGAGATGTTTAAGCACCATCTTGGAGGAAACGTGAGAGACACGCTCACCCCGAGACCACCCCCCAGAATGCGGCTCTGGCTACTAGCCCTTTGGAAAGGCAGCTATTCTGACCCCTGCTGCTGACGAAGTCTTGAGGAGACAACAGTTCCTCCTGGGCAGCCCTGTCCTGACACTGCTGCTTCAGAAAACGTGCCAGGACAGAGTCGGCTACAGTGCTTGCATCATTCTAACAGGTGTGACTGTTGAAATCACCCCTATTATTTAGTGTGAATCCGCTACTTTAAAGAACTATAAGAACTAAAGTTAAAGAACTATAAGTTTCCAGGCTAAAACTACCACTCTAATTTCCACAAAGAAAAATCTGTAAAAGAACTTCCCATTAGACGATACAAAAGCAGGATTGATTAATCGACTTGAGAAGCACAAACCCAGCAGCTGACCTACCATTTCCTTGAGAAATTTGTCTTGCAGCATTTTCATATCTTTTTTCATCAAACACATCTGTAAATAAACATATTTCCCTCATGAAAGTTACTGGAAAAATTCACAGCAAAAAAACAAGTTAGAATAACCAATATTGAGATTATATAAACATAACATTTATACCTCAGATGTAAAAATAGTTTCTTCATAATCAGTGTTATAGAAGACATTTTTCTCCAATGAAGCTTTCAAAAGGTGCAGCCTAACAAGTCAAATAATGAAAGTTACATTTGTGTTTACCAGGAATTAAATTGCTACTATATATAATTTAAAATATAAAGTAACTGTTAATTAACAAACTCATTTTAAACTTATTCTAGAAATTCTATTCATACTCACCTCTGCTGGTCACCTTTTTGATAAATTTTGAACTTCTGAAATATCTTTTCCCAGAGGTCCTAAATTTTAAAATACAAACTAGTTAAACATGGGGTTACTGTATTTATGCAATTCCAGTATTACATAAACCAGCTGGCTATCTGCTAAGAATAGGTATTATATATTCTTTTCTGTTAAACTGAATGTTGGGCCTTCCTGGTGGGGCAGGGGTTAAAGACACATTATCAAGCTATCGGCAGCTACTGCAACACACATTCAATCCCCAGCCAGGGAGCTGAACCCACATGACCTCTCCTGTCTCACCCACTGCTCCCCCCAGCAGTGGAACCGCCTGTTCTGCTTACCACTCTGACCCTGGGGAGTCCTCTCACCCCCCCGCACCTCTGGCTTGCACCCTAGTTCTTGTGTGCATAAATAACATGCAATTTTTTTTAAAGATTTATTTAAACTTCAGTCTTTCTCCCATATGGTGTGTTCTAAAAGCAGAAGGTTAACCAAAGTTTTTTCTAAGTGTCTTTAAAAGCAAGGCTGTGAGAGCACCAACCACAAACTCCTTTTCCAGATCTCTCAAGGACTGTGAATCTCGTTCAAAATTCTCCAGCTCCTCTATAATAGTGAATTGGAATTTATCAAGTTTTTTAATCCTATTAAAGAAATGAAATGAGATAAAAAAATTATAGCACTTAGAGTATATACAATTCAGATATACAATTCAGATTTCCATTACAGACCTATGCTCCTGAATTTGATGGTTCACTGTTTTCACATGATGGTAAAGCGTTTTCCAAGAGTGCTTAGAGAAATACTCCATTATCGTCTGGCGGTTCTAGAAAAACACTCATTTTAAACTCAAAAAATTTTTACAAAATGATCTAACAAACACTATAGTCAGAGCAAAAACTTTTCCATGGAATGCAAATAACACATCTTCAGTTCTAAATTCCTGGTTAACACATAATTTCAGAAGGCGTGACTGAGGTTACCCTGTGATGGTGTTCACTCTACATTGCTGACAAACAGGCTAGTGGTGATAACTCTTAAGGAACACAGCTAAAAGTCACATTATTTTTCACAAAAACATGTATAATCTTAATTTCAAACTTCATCCCTGAATAGAAGAAAAAGGCAAGTGCAGAAAAATATCAACTGGATAACAGAGAGAACCCTAAGTGCAGACATGGGAGATGGGTAGAAAAAAATCACTGAGTTTCAATTACCAAGGCACCTAAGTGCACACGGGATTTCTGACTGCAGCTGTTCATATACTATCTCCTTATCTGGCGCTCATACCGAACTACACTCTCCTCACTAATGGTCACCATTGGGAGAGAAAAACAATGAGGCATGAAAAGAAAATAACAATCATCAAAAATGTTAAATAGGTAAGACTCAGCAACAGCAGAATATGGTCAATGCATAGATTTTAGAAGAGAAACATGGCCCCCAAGAGAATACTTTTCACCCACGAACCATTCTGTCTTTCACCAGCACGTGAGGAAAGCCGCGTTCGTGAGCGGGGGTTTTGTTGTCCAGCACTAAGTGCGGCACGTCATGTTTTAAAGAGTGGTAACTCACACTACATTTTCTCTGAAATTCAGTATTGATCTTCTCACATATCGTTCCTACATCTGAAATTTGACTTCCCCACTTCTCCACAGGAGTAGAAAAATCATTTACTGATAATGGAGATATACTTTCAGACACTAGAAAAGGAAGAAAATCAGCTAAAGTTAAGGTATGCAACATTACAAATCGTCTTGAAGTTCAGAGCAAAATATAATTTAAGTTCTATTTGTAATGTAAGGATTATGATCAAATGCAGACCTAATTTTATGTAAAAACCCTTTTGGCATGTGGGCATTAAGGCAAAAATAACAACTTTAAAATAGTATTCAGTGACACACTAATCTATGAGTAAATTCATATTCCTGTAAAAGTTACAGTGTGGTCATCAATAATAGGATCAGAAGGAGACCTATGAGCACATGAGATCCTCACTGCATCATTCTTCATGTAAAGGGAAGCTCGTGATAGAGCATCACCCTTCCAGACTTATCCAGAGTGCTCAAGGGAAGGGAAAGGGATTTGTTTTGTGGATGGAATTATTCACATCTAAGAAAATACTTTCCAAAATAATTATTACATTTGACACAAACAATTCACGTACTTTTGTCAGTGTGAAGGTCTGCATCTTTGGTTTTAGACAGTTTTTTGGGAAGCAAATTTATTCTCTTTACCTCTTCCAAATCTACTTCATCAGAATTACTTAGATTGTCTTCTGTGTACATTCGTTTGCGACTAAGATGCTGTGCGGGACCTTAGAAGCAGTTAAGAGATGAATAACAGTATTATAATATTGATGGAAAACACCTAATATCTTCTTGCTTTTATATAAAAAGTCTGTTTCAGTTAATTATTGCATGTTTTAAACAAGCAGGTATTAAGTTTTTCCTGGTTTACTTTTCATTTCCACATTAGCTAAATTGAATAATGGCACAACAAATGTCACAGTATTTACCTAACACATGAGCAGTGTCACAGAGCATGCCACACCGTGTTCTCTCTGTTCCATCACTAGACACGGATAATGCAGATGGTGAATGACTTTCCTAAAATATATATCAGAAATTAGAAAAAATTACTGTATATACTGTTGATCATCTTTCTGAAACCCAAAGCCAGCATGTTGCAAATTCTTTTTTTCAGATTGCTGTTTTTTATTGTTGACTTTTAAATTCTTATCAAGATTTGGATTTAAGTCAGGAAATGGGGAGCCATAGAAAATAAAAATGAGGACCCCTTTCACGCTATATATTTTTTTTTTTTTTTTTTTTTTTTTTTTTTTTTAATTTTTTTTTTTTTTTTTTATAGAGGCATGTTTTATTTATTTATTTGTTTGTTTGTTTTGTTTATACATGCACTGGGTACAGTCAGAAGCGTCGGAGGGTGAGAGAATTCACCAGAGCCAGAGCGGGGTGCAGAGCAGGCAGAAGGACCGAAGTACACTGCTGAGGGGAGCAGCGGGCGGCAGGAGAGGTCTGCGCGCCATGTGGGACCCTCCTCCGGTGGCCGGGGAGCAGCCGGGGATTGAACCGGCCCGCAGAGGCCGCGGGCAGCTTCGCAACCCAGCGCTCAACCGCTGCGCCACCGGGGAGGCCCCACGCTATATATTTAAGCCAGGTCTTTATCATCTTATGCTTTACCGTTTCAGTATAAATGTGTCTCCATTCCAGCCAAATTAGTTTTCTATTTCATGAAAATGCATGTCCCTCTCCAGCCCCTTCCTTTCAGCCACTGTTCTACATCAGATAGTCTGTAAAGATCTATCCGTTTAGGTCTGGGTCAAATCCCATCCTTGTCCAAAATTCCATCTTTTTATATTTTACAGGGTATAATTTTGTCAATGATCAAAGTACAACCAAATGCCTGTTTAATCATGAAAGCAGAAAGAGCTAATTACAAGTATGTACATCAGCAGATGTATCTTCCCTAGTTAAGATCTTACGTTTCCCTTTGTAAAAGTTTCAACTTCTTTTGTGATCATACCATCCTACATACTTTATTTTTTTTTTTAAATAGAGGCATGCTTATTTATTTATTTGTTTTGTTTGTTTTGTTTTTTTGTTTATACATGCACTGGGTACAGTCAGAATCGCGGGAGGGTGAGAGAATTCACCAGAGCCAGAGCGGGGAGCAGAGCAGGCAGAAGGACCGAAGGACACTGCTGAGGGGAGCGGCGGGCGGCAGGAGAGGTCTGCGCGCCATGTGGGACCCTCCTCCGGTGGCCGGGGAGCAGCCGGGGGATCGAACCGGCGCCGCAGACGCTGCGGGCAGCTTGGGCAGCTTCGCCAGCTTCGCAACCCAGCGCTCAACCGCTGCGCCACCGGGGAGGCCCCATCCTACATACTTTAAAACAGTAATTCTTTACCGATAACAATTTGTTAAATTAAGATGCTTCTTAAAAGAACCAGACGTTCAGTGGCTCTACTGCCACATTTACCTGTCTTTTGCATTCTGTGGTTTTGTTTGCCTTGGGGATTTTTGCAGAGGGAGGCTGAATAGTCTAGGGTTGAGACTGCTTTAACAGGACAGTGCTATTTTTACTTGATTGATACATTGGAGGTTTTGTTTGAAAAATGTGCTTTTCGAAGATCATTGGCCTAAAATAATCTTAGAACCTTTTAGAAATAAAAACATTCTGTTCAAAAAAGTAGTGAAGATGGCTGGTTTTAAGGGAAGTTTTAAGTTTGGCTACAGATATGTTAAATGGTCACTCTTCAATTCTGTATACAGAGGTGAGCACAGATCAAGAGAATATGATGCTTGAGTCTCTGCTAACAGTATTATGCTTGTGAAAAGGGAGGCGCAGCAGTAGGCGCTGACCTACGAGATGTCACCCCCTAGCAGATAGCAGGGCCGGGATTTAAACTGAATTCTGTCTGACTCAAAACACTCTTTGAGCTCTACTCAGCCACAGCGAGCACTGTGAGCACACTGACAACACTGCAGTTTGTCACTACTTCCCAATCCTCCACTGAAGCCATCCGTCACGGAGACCACAAAGAGGGGTGGAGGTGAGGGAGGGTTTGTAAACTGGTACCAAAGTATCCATGACTTAAATATAAAACTACTCCTGGCAGACATTAAATTTTTAACTACCTCCTGTTTTATTAAGAAACAAATAGTGTATCTAACAATACATCATATTAAATTTGTTAATCTTAATACACATTAAAATGTACATCATTTACCTACTAGTTTTAAAGCAAATGTTAGAGTCATACCATTTCCAACTAGATTCTTGCCATCTTGCGATTTAGTAACTAAAGGTTCATGCTTTGAATTATGGTGAAATCTGAAAAATGTTCGTGTGTTGCAGAAACAAGCCTATCAAATCTAGGGAACAAACTGTAGTTCTGATGGAAAGACAAGCAGGCAGCACCTCTCTGTGTAAGACAAGCAAGCAGCACCTCGGTGGTCTTTTTGAATGTGCAATTCTTAGCAGCTTCCCACTCCACCACATTCTGCCCTTATCGGGCTGTAAATATCACTGAGGTCATTTAACTTACCAGTAAGTTTCCGTCTCGCTTCCAGACCAAACCCAAAACCTAAGTAGATAAGCAGTGTATATTTGATTAAGACTGAAGGCAAACGATTGGATTTACCTCCTTCAAATAGAAGAAAAACAATGTGTACGCTTACCAGAAAGTATGACTGTGGAGTTGGCAAGGTGCTTTCCCGGGTACATACATTTCTCTCACTGCTGTTGGATGAGTTTACTGGCTCTCCTACTCCATATTTACTGTTCAAGGATTCAGGTGAAGTTTTTGAACAAGGTGATAAGGATCTTGCTATACAGTCAGAATCCTGACTTAGATCTTTTTCTGTTGTTTTCTGTATACCTATATTGCTCCATGAAACACAAAGATGACAGGTATTATCATTGATGTCTGTTTTTAAAATAGCATGATTAAATTCTAAGAATAATTTGCCAAATCCTCAAATTCTTATGGCTGGATTTAAAATGTAGTTGTAACCATAAAGAACTTACAAAACATTTTCAAGCAAAAATCTCTGCAGTATGAGTTGACTACAATGATCCACTAAGGATTATCTTGAGTATTCTGACATCACAGCAATTAGTATTATAAAGTCACAGAGCTTTATGGATGGAAATGGCTTGGGAAACCATCTGGTCTAAATCCTTCATATACAGATGAGAAAATTCAAGACTGAACTAGTCTAAGTGCTTCTCAGACAATTTTCAGATCAGGGCATGCGCATCTGTCCTCTGAGTATGTGCTTAGCTAAGATGACAGTGGTCCTGAGCATTAGGATAATACTCTAGAAAAAATATAAACAGCTATCTTAGAAGAGGCATATTTTAACTGAAATGACAGACACTTAGAAATGTTTTTAAATGTCCTTAAAAGGAACTGAAACAACATCAAAGGTATAAGCTTATTCTTACAGTAACTATACCAGAAAAGTAGGCATATGCCAGAGCACCAAAGGATATAGGTTTTCTTGGCCAATTATTTTAAAATAAAAACAAAATCTCAATTTCTTAAGAAGAGTGTCCACAGACTAACCATGCTATTCCTTGCGGACTTGTCAATGAAATGTAAAAAAGAAAAAAATAGAAATCCCCATAATTATCAAGCTTTCACATTAAAATTTCTAAAAACAAGTATTTTCCACATTCAAGTATTTAGTATTTAACTTCCTGACATAAAAATCTTCAGGTACAGTAACACTGTTCCGCAGTCTACTTAACAAAGATGAAGCTACTGGTGTTAACTAAAGATGACATTTTGAGACTTATAATCTTAAAAACACCTCAAAATCAGCTTTCAGATGATGTTTTCACTTAGGTGCAATAGAAAATTATTATTGAACATTCAACTAAAGAAGAAAAAATGATACTGACATCTCATCACTTCTACGGACGATGGACTCCCAGATAAAGACACAGGAGACAAGTCCAGGCACTGATCACAAACAGAGGAGCTGTTCCATTCTGCTGCTTCCTTTTGTGTTTCCACAGAAAAGGCATTCTGTTGTTTCTCTGGCAGTTTCCTGGTGCTGCTTCTGGAGTGGTTGTTCTCCTGAATGTATGGATAACTTTAAGTGGATTTGTGCTTGCACATATAAATAAGTTAATGTCATTAGCACATACAGGGGTAACAGGGGCCTCCACATGACCTTTGGAAGACCTAATATACAATAAGACGCAAGATAAATTCACAGGAAAATAAACACAGACTATAATAAATATAATGTAGAGATACAAATAAAATGCAATAAGGAGTCAAAGAAGTTGTTCAGGGCAACCAGGAACACTTTCTAGATCTCACAGGACCTGACATGCGCAGAGGCAAGGAAGGCACCGAGGACGGGGAGGAGGCCGGCTCACCAAGGGAGGAGGCCGCTCAGGTCTTGTTGGGGAGTCACAGGTTATTCTATGTAGCCCTGACAGCTCTGCGTATGTAATGGGGAAGCGGGGAAACGAGCTCAGAAGATATTCTGATGCTTTGAAAGTCTGACTCCAGGAAGATTTCCAGGGTTTTTCTTTGACAAGAGGTAAGATGAGAGGTGGCATGAGGGGCTGATGAGATGTGGAGGTCAGTTATAATGTCCTTAAAAATCTTCCAGGTAAGAGGCAGTAAGGGGAGATGGAGGTTCAATAATTTAAAATAAGCACAGTGTAAAGGTCAGGCCAAGTCTCTGCTCTCCCTAGCTGTGGGCCCCTCAGTGAGTTTTGTCTCTGAGCCTTACTATTCCCATTTGTAAAAGGGGATCTCAGGAACAGTGCTAGTCCCAGTGGTGCTTGAGAGATTCTAACAAATCTGTAGAGTACTTAGAATAGCACCTGGGCCATTGTACTTCTTTGTTGTTGCCTTAATCAAAATATATTGAAAAGGAAAAGGGCTTCTTATTAAAGGATAAAAATTATTGTCATCTGGATCCTGTACTTCAAAATACTAAGCTCAGAGACGGGCAGTGAGGCAGTGTATGACAGGCCTTATACCAAATGCTTTAGAATTCATTCAAGAAAAAGGCTATACTTCTCAATCAAAGCATTTTCTTAAGGTTAGAATTCTACTCGCATCAAACAGCTGTTTTGTAACATTAATGCCAACTTATTACAAATGTTGACACTATTTTGCCTAAGGATATATTTTTAGAACTATTTTAAGTATTCTCATATGCAAAGTTAAATCCAAAAAAGTAACAAGATAAATATGATACATTTACAAAAATAATTCTATAGCTAAAAGTGAGACTTCTAGAAATGATTATAATCTGATTTGTAGTGTTTTACCTTCACTAGCAATTTCTTCTTAAATGAATGTGAAAATTCTGGCTCACTCTCTGATTCCGAATTGGAGAGATCTTTATAATTTTTTCTGGTTTTGGTAGCTCTTCGTGGAAGTCTGGTTCTCCCATCTGGAACTGTCTCATCTATCTTTTTGATGACATTTTCCCTGCATGTCTTTAAGAGAAAAAAATCCTGAGCAGTAGTATTAGATCAATACTAGAAATAATTAGCTCAATACTAGAAATACAGTTATTTGTTATAAAATTGACTCTGTGCTAAGACATACACAAAGTATTTACATGAATGGATCCCTGACTGATTTTTTTAAATGACTGGATTTTTTTTTTTTCATTCCAACTTTCTTCTAGAGAGCAAGAGATCAAAAATATCTGCATTCATAAAGCCATGTTCAACATGATTCGGAAAGGAGGGGGAATTGTACAAAAGCTGAAACAATTATGGAAAACAAATAACTGATAACATGGGTAAAGGTGAGATGGCAACTGAATTTTTGCTGCACAACAAGAAATAATCACTTTAAAGGGATGTTCAACACAAATCTTTGGTTTTACCATTTTTAATTTTGGTTGTCTTTCCAAGGATGAGCCTGCAATTCAAGAAAAAAAAAGGGTGGTAATTTCCATATAGATAAGAACTGGCATTAAAACTAGATTATTTCTTTAAATTCATTCAAAATTTAAATTTCAAAACTACTTAAGACTAAGCCAGCAACTTACTGCAGTGTTTGTATAATGTAAATTATCATTTTTTCCCTTTATTTTATATTAAACTTTTTAAATGTACAAGAAAACATAATGTAAGTTGTAAAGTTAACACCCATGGGTCTACCATTCAAATAAGAACTAGAACGTATCTACTTATGTAGATTCTTACTCTTATATGATCACCCTTCCCCACTGTCAAAAGGCAATCACCACCCTGAAATCCGTTTCTCATTTTCTTGCTCCTAAAAAGACCCCTTGACTTCACAAATATGTATCCCTAAACAAGTTAATGCATTTTGTAATGGCATCATTTCATAGTGAAGTCTCATACTTGCCTTTCTAAGCATAGAAGGGATCACCTTTCTAAGCACAAGCAGTGGGCTCACCCACACCGAAGCAGCAAGGTCCTTTCGGAAGGCAGGTCCTCCGGCCCTGACAGTGAGCCCCCTGCACACACTGACCTGCAGACTGTTTTCCAGAAATACACTTTGAAAGTATTTACAGTATTCTAGCCTTTAATGCTGCTCCAAGGTTGCCAATCACCTATCTCGCTATAGATGTCTCCAGGCACACGACTTGGCACTAGCCAGTAGGCTCCGTGAGCATGCACCTCTCGGTGGTTACAACACACGGCCTCCGAGCCCAGGCCTCCAACTAGATTGGGAGCATCTTTCATTCTTTCCCAAGTCAGATCTATAGCCCCACCACTCCATGCTGCCTTCCCTGAGTGTATGATACCTCTTGCTTCTCTGTCTTGTGCTTCCCTTCTTCGGGTGTATGATTGGTTTTTAAAATTCATTGTCATTTCTAAACCCATACCAAAATTCATTTTCATCTCCTTTTACTTTTTAAGCTATCGTCCCGTCCCCTCTGTATACATAGGTTATTTCTACTACCAAACACTACCTGTTATTTCTACCCTGTAATAAAATGAAAGTGGATTCCCTTAAAAAAAAAAACCAAAACAAAAACAAAAAAAAAAAAACAGCTGAGTTATGTTTAAACATGGACTATATAATTTTTTCGTAGCACTGATACTGATGTTTAGCTATAGAAAATTGTCATTATATTAGCTAAGAACCAATACCTCAAACTACCTGAAGAAAAGGCAAGAGTTATATGAAAACTTTTCTTTCACTGTATTTTTATTGCATATACATGAATTCCTAAAATGTATGTGTGCTGGGTGTGGCAGGGAATGAGACTTTCAAACTTGGGTTGTTTTCCTTGATTGCAGGCTATGAACAGACAAATAATGAGAGTATAACATAAGTTCAAGATACTATTGAAAAAATTTAAATTCATATTACCAAAACAATAAACCACCATTCTAGTATTTTGATGTATCTGCTTGCACTCCTTTTTCATATTTATAAGGGTACTTTTTTCCATTCAAAGGCATATTTCCCAACCACCAAAGCATTTTGTCATTAAAAATGGTAAAATCATTTGCAACATTTCTTTGAAAAGTGATTTCTTACTTGATTTCCTAGTTTTATGTTTCGTCACCTTTTTATTTCTGCTATAGTCTACTAGCTGTGGTTTTGATTTTGATTCTCTGAGCCAGCTAATATCAGTCTTGCTGTCATCACCAATGTATTCTGTATCAGTATCACTAAAGAGATTTTTCTTCTGTTGATTTGTTATAATCTATAAGAAAAAGAATCCTTGTAATACATGAAGAAATATATCTTATATGTCATGCAAGATAAGTTAAACAAGACAAAAACCAAAGTCAGATCCAAAGAAAACAAACACTTCCCATTTTTTAAGTACACTCATATCTCCTGCATTAAGGACCTATCCAAAGAAAGTCATTCAAATTTGTACCTTGTCAGTGGTGGTGGTGTTAACGAAGTCTTCCCTAAAAACCACTTACTTCCCTAGAGACATAATCTAATATCATCCAAGAAAGTGAAGCTGTCATTATCTGCTACTAGGTGATCACAACAGCTCCGAGACCATATGAAAAAGCATAACAGAAACATGGACAATCCCATAGAGAAAAAAATAACATTTTTGTTTTGCAGTTCTGTGATAATCTTTGGCATTAGGAAAATAGTGAGTTTTAAACACATTAGGATATTATTATAACTTACTTTTTTATCTTTTGTCTTGGGATAAGGTTCAGCTTCATAATTTCTTAAACCTACCCTTAAACAAAAAATGCATTGACTTTAATTACTTGTTTTCTTAAGGCAGCATGCACTGGAGAAGCACACATGGGCCCCCAGTGTATTAATTCACTACATTTCCCCTCTAACCTCAGTTAATTACAAGGTAATGAGTTAAGGGCCTTTTGAGTCCTTCCATTTAAGATGTGCACAGTATCTGATTATAAATTTTAGAAGTGCTCAAAATAGGGAGTAATAATGGCAGCAACATTATTTCCTCATGTTATAAAGCAGTCAAAGACAACTGAGGTTGTGTTCTCATCTGACCCATCTGGTAACAAAAGATACCTACAATTTTACTGAATTATCCGTGCAGGCTTCTGTAGCTGTAGCTTGAAATTCCTGAATCTATATCATAAATAAGCATTAAAAAAGACTTAGTGTCAAAATAAGGTGGAAAAAAAGGAAAAGAAATAAAATCTAGTTTCTATCACTTCACATAATATTTGGAAATACTAAAAACATTTTAGGAAGAAATCTAGTATTATAAAACATTTTGATCTATAGTAAAAACAGTATCAGTAAGTGATCTGATTTCTTGATGGAGCAGTCTGAGCCCTTATATATCCCACTTACTTATTTTTCTCTACTTAAGTTAAAAAGATTTGAAAGGAAACTAAATATAGCTAGAGTGGTTACCAAAGAAATTTTTTAGGTATTCAAATATTTTAAAGCATATTTATGAGAGGATAGAAATAAAAATATATCCTAATAACATGCAAAATAACAAATTTCTAGCTTACTCCAAGTTTTATAGTAGGCTCATCAGCTCCATTCACATTAAAATTGTACACATCATCCCTGTAAAAGTCAAGAGTAATATTAACTCCGTTATGCAATATATATACATTTTATCACTAAAACTGCAATTTATAGACTACTACTTACAATGGGCATTCAGAAGTAACGTTAACAAAAGTAGTCTTCAGTTGTCTATAACTTTTTTTCTGAACCTTTTCCTAAATACAAAAGTTTACATATAAGTAGGCAATTAATTTTTTAGTGCTTCTAATATAAAAATCTTATATTTGCAACATTTTGCTTACTATGATATAAATACAATTGTGAAATATAAAGTTTTATAACAAATACAAAATAATTTACTGACATTATATATAGGAAAATAAGGTGAAAGGAATAACATAAAGGCGATTGCAATTAGGGATTGTAAAGGGATTAGAAATTACAATTCAAACTAGGAAAACAGGATTTGACATAGGGAATAAAGGAAGAATTCAAGAGGAATTTATAGGAGGTAAATCTCAAAACCTGAAATGAAGTGGAAAGAGAAAATAATTATAAGGAATAAATCAAAGATAAGTGACATAGTAAACCTTAACGAACAGTAAATGTTTTAACAAATACAGAGACAAGGATCTTATTGTCAGGAGAAAGAGGATTAGCTAAGACAAAATGGAGACCAAGATATATTGGATTATATAGCAAAGTTCATCTAAAAGATGTGAACAGAAGGGTAGGGTCTACTTTGAGTATTTGCCACTAATCTTGTCATTTGTCTTCACCAATTATTAATTTGCTACCCTACTACTATTCTATTTCAGTGCTTACAGTTAAATATCATGTGGAGTTTGGCTATATATTTGGTGTAATTAAATCAAACCCACCTTACTAAGGTGTAGATCAGACTTGTTTGAAAAACCACTGTAAAAGATTGTCAGAATTAAAAAAGCAATTAAAAATCCGTAGAGTGTTTTTCATAAGAGCCATCTCATATAAAATGTATGTTCAATATCCTATAAATAACTGAAACATGACACCACAGCTACTTTTGTGCTGGTTGGCACTACTCAGAAATGTTTGCAACTGCATCCATAGTAAACAGTGACTATAACAATGAGTTCTAAGGCGGCTCATTCATGCAGTAGGCAGTATCACACAATTAAAAATGAATGGTTTCTAAAAACTTTCTTCATGCTGTATATAAAGTCAGGATTAATTTAAACTTGAATTAACCTAGCAACCTATAAGGAGATATTCTGTAATAAGAATTAACCTTCATAAAGACTGCACAAAGGGAATGCACACTTTATATAAAAGCAACGCGTATGAGCTCATAAAATTCATATTTCGTAAAACAATATATTTACATCATGCACTTAGTGTTACTCATCACTAAGCTCAATAACAAAACCCTAATTGTTTATATTCTAAACATCTACTTAGGTATGCTGCACTGATAGGGTATTCCAGATACTTTATAAAATGTAATGAGGCATTAGAATGGCTAATTTAAAATTTAGTTACTGTCTTGCATAATCTGAATAGCTACTGCTGTTAAAAAGAACTGTTTTCTACTAGAAGGTTAGGTTATTTAACATGTTTAAAACGGTATAAAATAATCTAGATGTGCTTTCAGAGAAATTCTTACGGTCTAAAACTGAAGAACATACCCATCAATCAAAGTCTCCTTTAACTTTTTTGTAGACTTGATGTCATCCTTTGGTTTGTATCTGTTATTAATCTGTTTTATCAGGGAATCTGCTGCGCCAGTAAATCCTTTCCCTTTTGACTTTTCTCTCTGAAACAATTGATAAGTTATTTAAAAATTCCACCAGTTAATCTTCAAAAGAAATATAGACTGAAAAGAAAACTTTCAGAAATCTGGTTCTATGCTTAACTGAAAGACAAAAAGGGACTCAGAAATTATTTAAGCTAGGGCATTGTTCGGCATTAAAACAACTCAGGACAAATCCTTCAATATACAAAACTATGCAGCATGTTCTACAGAGATTAAAATTTCCCATTCCTGGATAAACAAATCATAAAAACTAAAAACTGAAGGAAACTAAAAGCTGGTTCATTGGAAAGATCAATAAAATTGATAAACTTCTAGTCAGGTTAGCTAAAAATATACAGAAATTACTAAAATCAAAAATGAAAGAGAGGCTATCACATGGACAACAGGAAAATTATGAACAAATCTATGCCTACAAACATGATATTAAATGGACCAATTCCTTGAAAGACATTTTGCCAAAACTCACACATAGAATTAGATCACCTGGACAGGCCAGTATCAAGTAAAGAAACTGAATCAATCAATAAATAACCTGTCAAAACAGAACACGTTAGGCTCAGATATACTAACTGATGAATTCTATAAAATATTTAGAGAATTATGCCAATTTTCTACACTCTTTCAGAAAACAGAATCAGAGAAATACTTTTAGAGTCATTCTATGAGGCCAAAATCACTCTCACATTACTATCAAAGACATTACAAAAAAGTAAAAACTATATACCATATCATGTGCATATATGCAAAAGTCCTCAGGTAAATACTGACAAATTGAACTCAGTAATGTATAAAAAAAAATTACGTACCACATCCAAGTGAAATTTATTCTAGTCCTATGCAAGGCTGATTCAACATTTTAAAATCAGTTCATGTACTACATCCTATCAACAGACACACAAATGCATTTGACAAAATCCAAAACCCATTCATAACAACTTTTGCAAACAAGGAATAAAGGGCAACATCCTCAACTTGATAAAAAAGACAATTATAGCTAACACACTTCCTGGAGAGAAAGAACATGCTTTCCACTCAGATCAGAAACAAGGAAGTAAGGTCTGCTCTCCCTGTTCCTATTCAACATACTGGAAGTTCTACTAATGCAACAAGGACGAGACGAGTGAATAAGTGATATGTAGGTTGGGAAGGAAGAACTAAGAACTGTTTGCTCAATGACTTCATTGTCTTTGCAGAAAATACCAAAAACTGAACTAAAAAGCAATCACAGTTGAAAGATATAAGGTTAATAACAAACAAGTGGGATTTGAGAAGAGCTGCCTGGCATGTGAACGGTGGGAAATTCTGTGTAATCACAGAGGAGGGACCATAGGAAAGACTGAAGAGAATTTCTGAATATAGGGAGTTGAGCTTTTAAAAATTTGAGCACAACTTAGAAGAGCTGATCAAGTTTTCATGTTCCCAGGAAAAAAGGGATGACCACCTCAGTGAAATGCTGTGGAAAGATTTCCACTCTCCAAAGAAAACAGTTTAAAATTAAAACTGAGAGATCAGTCAGTGTTCCGTCAACAAGAATCCTGTTAAGCCTAGTTCTGAAGGAATTAAATAGCAATGAAAACTAGAAAGAATAGCAGCATACTAAGAATTAAGGAAAGTGACCCAAAAATATATGGCTAAAGAAAAAAGTAGTCAAATTAGGCACAAAAAGTTGTAGGTTAAAAACAAAACAAAGAGAAGACTGGTCAAGACAGAATGTTCAATTATATAAAACAACTGCAAATCATCTATCAAATGTTTTATGTGCCCACAAAGATACTCTAATAAATGAACATTTTGCACTGACTCTAGAAAATCTGCTGCCAGATATTAACAATACTCTGGATGATAAATGAAAATAAGAACCTACATGATCTGGATCCTCTTAGCATGGAAATATATTCTCATTAAAAGGTTTTCTCAAGCTACATCTTAGTAGCAACGGCCCCATTCTACCGCCCCATCTCCCCCACCCCCCCAAAAAAAGAAGATATAAGATAACTGCTACAGAGCTAAACTTTTAGTCTCAAAGTATGGTATAACCCTAAAACCATCCTGGGATTTCTAGTAAAAGATGAAAAAGAGGGACCAGCAAGAGTTACAGTAGAAGACCATCTTCTCCACTCCACTTAGGTCCTTTCTTGTCAAAGTTTAACACTGTAACCCCAGAAATGTTTCAGATACATAAACCTGTGCTAGACCATGCAGGAAAACACACATTCTTACACTGTAATAGGTTAAAACCGAAACACACACACACACAATAACCATTCATTTAAAAGAAAGGTAAGCGTAAGAGAGGTAGTTTTACATGCACATTCAAAAGAATCTGAGGGACAGTGGGTGGGACTCAAAAGAGGAGGCCAGGAACTTGAAGGCTCGTTTCTGCTATGTCACTGTCACAGCCCGTGCAGACAGGCGGGCACGCGCCTTCTCCTAGGACCTGGGAAAGTGGGAGGAGGGCGAGGGGTTCAGGAGAGACTCACTCAGAGTCTGAGAGAGAATCAGAGAACCAAGTGTCAGAAGTGTTAAATCTGCAGCAATAAATCAAGCTTCTTTTGCTTTCTTATGTTAGTAAATATGCATAAATAAAACACACTGAAAGCTCACCTTCTTCTTTTGTCTCAAATCCCAGGAATTAGTTTCGGATATTGAGGTTTTCCTTGATTTTCGATTATCTTTTGCATTTTTTTTAGAAGAACTTTTATCACAAGTAGCAGTATTTATATCTTTTGACAATATGTATTTTTTCCTATAGATCAGAGATTCTTCTACTGTCTTATTGAGGAGAACTGACTTAAAGGTAGTTTCAGATTCCATATGCCAATCATTCTGTTTGGTACTTTCAGCATTTTTCTGCTGTTGGTGGTTTCTTTTGCAAACTTCTACTTTATCTATTTCCTTATGCTGCATTATTTCTTTCTTACATGGCACCTTCTCAATTTCTTCAGAATTGTCAGATATTGAAGAAGATGATATTTGTTTAGTTGTTTTTTTGTTGATATCTAGCAGAAAAAGATAAATTAATCCTTATTAAACAAAGAAGCTGTTAATATATAAAATTTGTTAAAACTAAAGCTATTTCTTAGATATTTTAGAAAATGAATTATTTCCCTGAGCTAGTATTACATGCAGACAGAACTATGTTTCACCTTGATTAAATGTGATTCCTGATGAAGTACTTGCTTGCTGATTACATAGTTTAATATTTGTTACGGGTGTCCAACATGCCAATTTTGTGTTCATTTTATTTCCAGAGAGGTTGTCTAAAACACCAGGTAACCTGGAAAATAAATTTGATTGCCTAGTATATTATAAAATATGATTCCATCATACTGACATAAGACCTTAGCTTTTTATCTTTTTTAATCAAAGCTTATTGATAGCAAATATTTTTGTAAGTCAGGAAAACAGTTAAAATTTACTATGTAACTGATAAAAATACAGATATTACAAAAGAAGTTCCATTATTGCTACTATTTTGTTATCTACTTACACATATCTTACCTGTTCTACTGTGCATTTAAATTAGGCTAAATTTCTTTACACTTATACTTTATTGTTTAAAAAAAACTCATTTACATCCTACACAAAAATTAACTCAAGATAGATTAAAGATGTGGATATAAGACCCCAAACCACAAAATACAATGAAGAAGATATAGACAAGATACTTCACAACACTGACTTCAGTGATGTCTTTGTGAATTTGTCTCCAATGGCAAGAGAAAGAAAAGGGAATATAAACAAATGGGACAACATCAAACCAAAAAGGTTCTGCACAGCAAAAGAAGCTATCACTAAAACAAAGACACCCTGTTGAAGACGGGAAAATATTTATTCATCAGATAGCTGACAAGAGGTAGCTATGGAATAGCCATAAAAAACTCATACAACTCAAGAAGAAGAAATTAAGCCAATCAAAAAATGGGCAAACAAGCTAAACAGAAACTTCTCTGAAGAAGGCATACAGATGGCCAACAGGCACAAGAAGAAATTTTTATCATTTATCACAAATACAAATCAAAACTACAATGTGATGCCATCTCACCCCTGGAGAATGGCCCAGATCAAAAAGGCCAGAAACAACAGGTTCTGGTGCGGCTATGGAGGAAAAGTAATGCTGAGTGAAAGAAGTCAGCAGAAAAGCAACCCGTGGCTTCAAGGATACATTGAATATACAGAAACAAAACAAAGGGTCAGGAAAAATTTCAATCTAATCACACACATTAGAAATTACTCTGTAGAACTAAGGTTACCAACAGCAGAGAGCAAAGTGTGGAGGGGCCCATGGACTATGGCGGAGGACACTGGGCACCTTGGTGGTGGGAGTGGTGTTGGGACATGCATCTGAGGAGGTGTGATCTTACACCCCTGGAACACATAGTGTTGTAAACTAGTGTTACCTCAAAAAAAAGTACAAAAGAACTTCATTTTATGACTCAATTTAAAGAGTTACTGGCTGATCTCGAAAACGTGTATAATCATTCCTCTTTATGGTATCATAGTAATACTTGAGAATTAATACTGTAATTCTGGGCCTCCCCGGTGGCGCAGCGGTTGAGCACTGGGCTGCGAAGCTGCCCGCAGCCTCTGCAGCGCCGGTTCAATCCCCGGCTGCTCCCCGGCCACCGGAGGAGGGTCCCACATGGCGCGCAGACCTCTCCTGCCGCCCGCTGCTCCCCTCAGCAGTGTACTTCGGTCCTTCTGCCTGCTCTGCTCCCCGCTCTGGTGAATTCTCTCACCCTCCCACGCTTCTGACTGTACCCAGGGCTTATATAAATAAATAAATAAATAAATCTTTAAAAAAAAAATTGTAATTCTAAGAGTATAAAGACCTTTTCCTTTAAATCTAGTCATTCATATAAAAGTAAAATTAACATACACTAAATAATCAGATGAATTTTCTCATACTTACACACGTTTATCTGTTTTTCCCATTGCCTGTGAATCAGGAACACTCCCTCGGAGTTCATCTAGAAAAAACAAAAGGCATGATACAGTCATTACTTCTGTGCAGGTGGCAGTTAGGAAAAGATTCAGTCAAGGTTCTCACACTGGGATGGAGGGATAGGCCCACCTCATCTTATCCTATCAGACCTAAAATTCTTGGAAACAGAGACTGACTTGCACTTCCTTGTAACTCTAAGTTCCTTGCACAAAATCCAATATAGTCATTATAAATTACTCCTTTGCAAATCAGTGAAAGCTAGTGGGGTTAAAGGATAGAGGAAAAGATACGCATTTTTATAGGAGCTACTAAAATTAAACCCAATAGTACTTACTGAAATTTTGACTTGGGCATTCTTTGTCCTTATTTTCTGTCTTTTCTACAATTTGGGCAGTTTTGACATGCTATAAATACAGGAAATAGTTAATGTAAACTTGAATTAAGCAATATAGGGAAATATTTTTAAAAGTCAGAGTATTAAAGTTTAAAACTTTTAAAATTAAGCTATTAAAAGTCAGATAGACTATCCATTTCATACAGGTTATGCCCATTCTAGAATATTGTCCATCCTAAAACACAAGAAAGTAACTTTCATTGCAGGTAAAGAGGCAGAAGATCCTATAATATTTCTGATCTCATCCACTGCTAGTTTAATTCAACATTCATCTGTAAGTGAACATTTCTAGAACTTCAATCGCACATCTACTACTGCTATTGATCTCATCGCCTGCATTGATCTTTTCACTAACATGTTAAAAAGTCAGAAATTATGAAATATTAACTGATTTTGTAAATTTTTGGCCAGTGTACAGATAACTTCTTTCCTGTAGTAAGTCCCCCCTTTACCACAGCCACAGATACACATAACCCAAATCAAATAATAACCTGCCCTCAACACCAGAAAAATACCCTCTCCCGTCTTATTTTGCCTCTGCCAGCTATATTCCCTAGCGAACCCGCCAGTACTGCCCCATACTGGAGGAGGGCTTGTACAAAACCCCGCAGGTGTTGCTGCCGCAAAGACAGAGGGCCTCTGGGGCCACGCCACAGCACGGAACCACAGTGCTCCTACTAAGAAACACTAATGTGATGATTTCAGCCATGACTCTCGCTATTTCCTCACATCTTCAGCTCTTCCACTATCTTTCTGCTACATATCCATTGAAAAGTTTTAAAAATCCACCACCTATTCTTTCACTGTAACACCAGAGCTGCTAAGTCTCATCAGAAAATCACACATTCTAAACAAATGCCATGATAAAATTCAGTCTTAAATTGAAACTGGGCCCTTAATATTACCTAACACTTGCACTTAGTCCTCTCCAAATCTTTACATGTCCCTGAGTCCTCTGCTGCAACAAATCCCCATGAGACACTCGATGTCCTTGCCCTTCAGAGACAATAGAAGCTTTTAAGTGTTCCTCATCTACAGCCTTACCTGCAGCTCTGATCGCTGCCCATTTCTCCAAAAAGCACCTTTCTCTTAGGCACTGCCTGCTCTGTCCCTTTACCTGTCAGTGTTCATCTGACTAAACTTTGCAGCCCCTCCAAAAATCAACTCTCTCCATCTCCTGAAAAGCATGTCCCGATCTCTACCCTCCCAACCATTTCTAGGGTCAAGCACTCGCCCCCTCCATTAGGTTGCTACTGTGTCCTATGTATGAAACTGTAAGTACCTCACTAATCTCTCTAAACTCCATGGTAGACTTTAAGATATCGAGTCCATTTGGATCTTACATTTCTTTATTAGAATCTTCCTTGTAAAAGATGCTAATTTGTATAATGAAGAATGATGACAAAGCCATTTCTCCTACCAAATGTGTAGATCAGAGCTAAACTGAACAGATAGTTCTAAATTTTATTGTTAGCACAGTAAATGAGTGAGATGCCAGAAGGACCTTCCCTTTAAGGACAATAAATTGTAGCTATGGAAAAAAGGAACGCTTCAAACAAAACAAGACACTCTCACTGCCAAGCAAGTTAATAATTTCTATAATAACTTGATAAAAATTTATTTTATAAAATGCTTTCAAAGCAGTTACTTTGTCTGTATTATCTCCTTTATTTCTTCCTTCAGAAGGCCGAGATTTAAGGGACACAACATTATCCACTTTATTTTTCACTGTCTTAGGAGCACCAGGTTGTTCTGTTGAACTCCTCATTGGCAGTGATGGTTTAATTCTTCCTCTTCGTGGTGTTGCTAAAAATTAGGAGGACAAAGGACTGCTAAATTTGCAGTTTTCTTTTTTTAATTACATACTGTGATTGCAGTACTTTTCAGATGAGGAGGGCAACAAGGGAGCTTCTAGAATGTTTCCTGGGCTTTTGGTTCAAATGAATAAGTAAATATGGACGCTATTTACCCAGGTAAGAAATGGAGAAAAAAACGGTAGGGAAAGTACAGGAGATGAGTTCATTTGGACCGACTAAGTCCCACGTACCTGTTCGACATTAGACGCTGCCAAGGAGGCATGTGGGTATCTGGAACATCAGGCTATTGTTCAACTGTCATGAAGATCAACTAGACTGTATTTATGGCAACTAGTGTTCAGCATCAATTTCATTGTAACTTAGTTCTTAAAATAGAGGAGGCACTGTCTAAATACTTCCCAATGTTCCCTGTTGAATGATTTCAATCTTATAAGCAACTGGATGATATACACATGTCTGTCCCATTTTAGAGAAAGGAAACTGGTTCTAAACTCAGCCAGGGGATGATGTTCTTTACAAAGAACACACCTGGGAGTGGAAAACATGCCCATGCAGCCTGATTAAGTCAACATTTCCATCATGTCCCCTGTCTCCGGCTTTAAGTTATAATAAATGATGAAGTCCTGATGTCAATATTTTGAATAATGTTTATATGTCAATACCAAATATACCTTTCTTCCAACTGTTAAGACATTTGTAGTTTATATTCTGCCCATTTTTATATCCCCAATTTTTCCTCCAGGTAAATTATATCCAGAATATACCTGAATTTTAAAATGCCTGCTTTAAATATAATACTTGTAAGAATGTTTGAGGACTATAAAACTTACATGTGTTGATTAAAAGTACTGGACTTCTCACAGTGTATCTGTCTGAACCAGGAACAATCATGGATGCTTCAGACATTTTTCTTTTGTTAGGAGTAACCTAAATCACGTGAAACAACCACAATAAAATATACATTCACTTTTGAAATTAAATATCCAGCATTTTATTCATAACATTTTACCTTGACTCTACCCAAAAGACAGGGTGTTTTATAAAATACATGGTGTTCAGAAATTTGTTTTATCTTAATGTTTGATTTTAAGTGGGTAGCCAAAACAATGTAGTTTTAAAGAATACAGAATGTAGTTTTAAATACAGATGTAGTTTTAAAGAATACAGAATCTCCAGACTTATGAAATGCAGTACCTTTATAAATAGTTGAGAACAGTTTACTAATATTGATTTAACTAGTTGACTAGTGGCTCACAATTTCCAATCCATTTCATGTGGATGATTCTGGAGTAATAAGTTGCTACAGGAATTCAGAGACTCAGTGGCACACAAACTATTGGTTCCAACAGAGGTTTCCATTTTAGAGCTTCATGTAAGTAAGAGGAAGTCTAACTAGAATGACTGAAAAGAGTAATGGTAATAGATAAGCAGAGGCAGGGACTAAGGGACCAGGAGTTTCAGAGGTACCATGTAATTAAATGAGTAGATGACAACAAACTACAGAGAGGCATTGGAGAGTGATTTTTAAAAGAGAGAGAGAAAAAATAAAACTCCGATGGAGCTGTAAGTAGATGCACACATGGGGCATGGAAGAAAGGTGGGGAGGACAGGAGAAAAGGGAATATTAAGATTAACCAGAAAACAAGGCACTAAGCAGATTATTTTTAATGAAATTACAGTTCCTAGCAATATAGTGAGAGAAAGCTATTAAGTTACTTATTCATATAAATGCTTCAAACAGTTCATCCTTACAGAAATCATACTGTGTATTTAATAATACAATTTTTTCCCAAACTTCAATGTGCTTAAGATATTTCCCTGAGCTTAAGATTCAATAGGTTTTAAAGTAAGATTTTGTGTTATAAATAAGTACTCAAGTTATGATTTTGACATGAATACATAAAAGATCTATTCATTTAAGAGAAATATGACACTAGTCTTATGACATAAGTCTAAAGAGAAAAAATAATAAGAAACAAACTTGCCAAAATGCATGGGAGAGTGTGATTACAGTCACCTATTGAAAGGTCGATGCAGGGGCCAGCCGCACCAAACCTTTCACCTGTGATCAGAAAAAACTCCACAAAGTAGTAAATATGCATCAAGGCTGGCAGTTATGAGCACACTTTAGATGAATAAAGGGCATACGGAATAATCGACATGAATGAAAAGGCACACTGGCAAGAATGGACATGACAAAAGTAGATGGTAAGACAAACTTACTAAAGTGGAAAATATTTGGACAGACTAAAATTAAATTATAGAAGGTCTCAGAACTGAGTAAAAATTTAGATTCCGTGGAATAAGCACAGAGTTTACAAAGCTTTCTGGGCTGAAGAATGCTATGAGAATACTGGCATTCAGAAAAATCAGTGGTATTTCATACAGGGTAGCTCAAAGGTCAATTAGGAGGTGTCTGCACTGACCTAAGTGTGCTAAGATGAGTCACGGTAGAGGGGTAAGAAAGGATGCAGATACACTATGAACGGTGATCACGGGCACACTGGTTCCAAATACAGGGAAGAAGAGGCTGAAATTAAGGATATCGTCAGAAAAATGAAAGGTAGAATTACTGAAGTATGGCAGCAGATGCAAGTTTGAGGCAAAAGATAATGGCAAAAGATAAGAGACGTGACTTCAGAGCTGTGAAGACCCTGCACGTGAAGGAAGGCTCTAAGGGAGAGGCCTGGAGGGACCCAGAAGGCTGAGCGTCAAGGTTTCAGAGCATATGTACATTCAGGAGGTAGGGAGAGAATGTTATCTCTGATGGAGAAATAGAAGCAGAAAGAGAATTAAAATGCTAACACAGAGGTCAAAGGAGGAGAGAACATTCAGAGAGGGCTATTATTGATGTCAAGTGTCAGAGCAAGAGACAGAAGGCTGAGAAGTGGTCCTGCTGGAGACCCTCAATGGTGCAGGAGGAAGAGGAAAAAGAATCTAACATTTTGTTTCCTCATGCGAATAAAAAGATTATAAATTTGTATTCTACATGATAGTCACATGCAAAGATCAAAAAGCAAAGAGTGAAAAGTGGTAGTTACTTTGCTATGTATCTCTAATTTGGCATGTAAAACACTATCTTTTGCATTTGAAAAAGGCACCTAAAAGTACTCTGAAATGTCACTGATGAAAGTCATTAATCTGTAAATTCTAGATGCTTTTTTCTGTAACTACACACATCAATGATTTAAGCCATATTGTTTTACAAATGACTGTTTTTGGCACCACAGTTACCTCGAGTGAATTATTTTTTCTGTCCCCTTGATTACTCCTTTTGCTGTATTTTGGGGGTGCAGCTATTTCCTTTTGGGTGTTAGGTTTTTCTTTTACACTAAAGAGTTCTTCGTCTGGTGAGATTTGACTTTCTGGCACTAAAATCTGTTGGAGAATACAGAAAAGTATTTAAAACTTCAAACCATAGGAGGCTCTCAAAAATCACCGATGTCTTTAATATAAAGTTCCTGTTCACCTTACACTTACAACCCTTCTATTATAATTTTCAGTCCCATAAAGTGACCTAACAAAAAGCATCCACTTTTCTCAAAAATCAATCATCATAAAACAAAGCTTTGGCATTACTGGAAGGACATATACTTCTAATTAGTAAAGTAACCAAAATTGGTTATTAATAACAACCTTCTGCACTAAAATAAGTCACCAATGTTTTAAAATCATACATTGTGTTATATAGCACTCTGAGATAATTTATTTTTTAGACGTTTACTCTCCAACATCAATTTTATCACTCTGCTTTTATTAGGGTAAATTTAACCCAATGATAAATCATCTAAGTTAGACACATACCTGTGACCCACTTGCATCAAAAAGTATATGCACAGATGTCTTGGCTACTGAAATACCTTGTTTTGGGGTAAATTCCTAAAATGAAATTAATTCAAAGTGATATTATTTTCTTAGTCTTTCCATTTTAATGTAATTATTTTCTATTTTCTCCCCACATTACCAAATTATCTCAAATCATTATTTTGGATACAAACACACATAGAGTATTTCTGTGACTTCCCACTAGCCATCCTTTCTGTACCCCCAAAATTCATGGTGAACTGGTACTGTAGGTGGGGGCCTGTGAGAGGTGTAAGTCATGAAGGCAGGCCCTGTGAAGGAAGACCGGTGCCCTGTGAAGCCCAGAGGCTAACCCTTCCACCATCTGAGGACAGATAAAAAGGTCAACACTGCACCAGGCAGCAGACCCTCACCAGTCACCAATTCTTCTAGCACCTGGATCTTAGGCTTTCTAGACTCCAGAACTATGAGAAACAAGTGTTTGTTGTTGAAGCTACCCAGAATAGGGAATTTTTATCATTGCAGCCCAAACAGACTGAGTCATCCAACTTGTCAATTGAGTATCTCCTCCGAACAAAATGTGAACTGTCACTTGTATTCCCAGTTCAACAAGAGGGAACGAGCATCTTCCACCGTCCTGGGAAGCCACTCATCTAAATGTCAGCCATTAACTGCAAAGGCCATTTCAAGTCCCAGTTCTACAATCTTTCCTTCAAGTCTGACTGAATGAGCATTCTTTCCCTCAATGTCTTCCTTTTCCCAGTGCCACTCATGAGTTCTCCTGAGGGATCATTCTATAATCCTCAGTGTTTAATATCTTGAAAAGAGGGGGTTATCTCATCTCACTTTTTAAACAGTTGGCAGGAATTCATGATACATTTCGAGTAGCTGCTGCTAATTTGGTCATCTGAGATTCTTTCAACGAGGTATCATTTCAAATGAGCTATTCCACAATACACATTTAAAAAACCAAAGATCTACATGTGATTTTAAGAGTTCTTGGGGAAAAAAAAAATCAATGAAACTTATAGCCCCAAATAACTGAGAGTTCTCAGAATTATGAAAGTAAACATGTAATTAAAAAGAATTTAAACACTTACCCTGTATTTATTTGCACCAAAAACTTTTTGAGCCACATTAGTGATTTCTAATGATGCATCAAAATACAAAAGCAATTCTTTCCCTTCTCTTTTACTAATTTTTACTATGTTTTTCAGAATGACCGTCAGTAGCTTCTTTGATTCTCTCACTGTACACAAACAAATCAGATTAGTTTGTATTTATTTCTGATGCCACTCTATAGTTACACTATAAATTTAAAAAGCTGTAGCATATTACTTTAAATGAATTGAAAAAAATTAACTTTAACTATTTAATCAATTCTGGTTCTCACTACCTATATAAACAAATTAAGTCAATTAGAATTTTCATTTCTTGATCTATAAAATACAGGGTAATCCATTAACCAATGAGTTAAAGTCTCAAATACATTCTGCACATTGACAGGTTCCTAGTATTCTTAGAACACATATGAGAAAACTATTTTCTTATTTTAAAAGAGGCAACCAAAGAAATAACTTTAATTCCATAAATAAGCATATTTCTAGGTATAGGCATCTATTCAAAAATTCCTATTAAATCTCAATTGTTATAAATATATCAATAAACAACATCTGATAAATATTTGAGTACCTGGAAATTGTGAGGTAAGATGGATACTGTCCTTACCACAATGAACTTACCAATCTAGTAGAGAAAAATATACTCTAAGTGCCAGTTTATAAGCAGTGTTCACCAGCTTTCCCCCCAAAAAATTACCCCCAAATTACCTGGCACCCCACTGATGTGCCTGTATTGTGAACTAAAGGCCACTATGCTCCTGCACCATCTCTCTGGGGTTCCTGCACCATCTCAGTCCTGATGGTGCCCGAGAGCTCTCCACACCCGCCTCCAGGGTGTACTTTTGGGCAGGAGGAAAATATCCTGAGGAAGAAGTCCCATACCAAGTAGACAAATTTGAATCTGTATCAGGAAAACCTCTGCTGGTCACACCATGACCTACCCTAAATATATTGTTTACTTTTACAATTATGTGAAACTTCCACAGTAATATTCTTTGATGATACTGGCAATTATTAATTGCCTGAAGGTTGTGGTGACATAATATCTAAATGCCAGTGGCTTTTTGGGGATAGAAAAGATAGTAATGCATTTTAATAGTAGTAAGTTTTCAGGCTTCTGAAATGAAAGTTAGGTGGCACTGAGGAGGATAACGCTCCCAATTTTGGTGATGAAGATTAGAGCACTTATAATGCTTTTGGATACTTCTGCCAATGGTTATAGTCCTCTGAAGTGCATTTGCTCTTTTCCTGCAGCTGGCTATGAACTTACAATAAATGCACTTATGTCAGTAGTCATTTGATTTTCAACAAGAGGACCAATTAAATTCATTTGGGGAAAGAAAAACCTATTCAGCAAAAATTCAGGAATAACTGCATATCATTAAAAAAACTCAATTCCTATGTCACATCATAACCAAGTTTTAATTTAAGATGCATCATAATCCTAAATATGAAGTTTTTCTAGAGAAACAGGGGAATACCTGGTCATTGACAAACAATAGGTAAGACAAAGCAATAACCATAAAAGGAAAAAAAAATGATCGTGGACTTCAAATCTAAATGTCTCTTCTTTCAAGACACCAACAAGAAAAAGAATAAGCAAGAAACAGACTGGGAGAAAACAGATACAGGACTGGTATCCAGAATATTTTATAAAAACTCAGTAATAAACACAGTCCAGTATGTTCCAGCTACCCCCATTTTTTAAAGGTCTTTCTCATAAATGGATGTTGAATCTTATCGAATGCTTTCTTAGCATCTACTGTTATATGGTTTTTAGTTTTTGTTTTGTGAGATGGTGAATTGTGTTGGCTGATTTTGGATACTGAACCATCCCTGTGTCCCTGGAATAAGCCCCATTTGGTCATGGTGTAGGATTGCCTTGATGCATTGTCAAATATGGTTTGCTAAGATTTTGTTGAGGATTTTTGCATCTGTGTTCACCAGGAAAGTAAGATAAAATACTTAAACAGATACTTCAGAAAGGAATATAAGTGGCTACTAAGCACACGAAAAAGTGCTGAACATTACTGGTCACTAGGAAAATGCAAATGAACTATTAAAAGACACCTCCGCATGCCCACTAAAGTGGCTAAAGTGTCTCGCTCCGTGAATCTGGGTGGCAGCATTCTGCCTGGTGCTTCTGTCCAGCAGCGTTATGCAAGTTCCAACTCCAGAAGTGGATAAACGAGGTTTGAATTTAATCAAACAACTAGCTTGAAACGGCAAGAGTCTTGGCAGGCTCGTGACTGCCCACGGGCCGGACTAGCTAGGGAAGGAAGCAAGTACAGGAGAAAGGTGGGGCTTTAGGGAAGAGAGGAGGGGCCAGGGAATTTGATTGTACTGAGCCATCAAATGAGTGTGAACATATGAAAATGCTTTTGGCTTTCAGGAATCCATTTTGTTATCCCAGAGAGAAGGCAACTCCTACTTCATATGCCAGGAATGAGAAGAGAATAACAGAAAACAGGTCTTATACCTTCAATGCTGTATACTTGTACTTTGTCCTCAGGCACAGTGACTGCTTCCCACTGATGATCCTTAAATTTAAAAACAGGTTTTGACCATAAATAATAATGTATTTCTGATTTGAAGCTTTATTAAACACTATGTCCTAAGTTATACGAATAATTAGGCTATAATTCACCAAAAATCAGTGAGTTTCTTGACTCCATCAGCTGACCAACATCATGCATGTCACATTCACTCTGTCTGCTCACACTTAAAAAAGCATGATGGTATTGATTCATTTTATGGTCTCCTATTCTTGGCCAAAAGAATAACTATCCACTAATATTTATTAGAAGATACCCTTTTTTAAAATTTTACCAAATCCTGTCATTTCTTTCTTCAAGTCGTTCTGTGAAATCATTCATTTCTTAATCCCCACTCGCTGATGGACTTTAGAGTGATACACTGAATGGTCATGGATAACAACCTAAAATGTTTTTCCTTCCAAGCATTTCATGAAAGTCTGCATAACTGAACAGTACTGAATTCACAAAAAATAACAGCAAAAATTAGATACCCATTTCTATGAGATGGAACCAGTAATCTTGTCAGCAAAATAAATCAAATTCTTTTAAGATCTCATTCATTCCACAGAAATTCCACTAAATCCTCAATTTCTAGCAACTCCCTCCTCTGCTTCGCCTTAAGTGAAAGCAGGCAATCAATCATTCCCCCCCCCCACCACGGCCCCCGTCCTTACAGCACTAATTCTCCCACACCTTACACCTTGGGGTCGGGAGCAAAAAGCTGGTGTCCTTTCCTCTCCTGAAGATTTAAGCAGCTGCCTATTTCTCCACATATAAAAACCAGCTCCTCCGAGTCACACGCCCGCCAGCACATACACTCTCCCTACTAACTGCCGTCATCTATTCACTTTCAAGTGATTCTTCCTCACGTTCGGAGGAAGCCACCTTCCTTTATACAAAACAACGTTGTGGAAACTTTCAAAAGGCTTTTTTAAAACTAGAAATCACAGCATGAGGAGCTCAAAGGAAGCCCTGACCCAGCTTCAATATTTACCAACATATGGAGTGTTCACATCTCTGCGCACCTTCACCCTGACTCTCCCTTCTGTACACACTCTTCCTAGTGACCCCCTTAGTGTTTTCCCAATGTCTCCATCACCCCATCCATTTTAAAAGCTCTTATCCTTAAAACAAAATACCTAATTAAAGCTCTCCCTGGAATCTATGTCTCACTTTAGCTACTACTGTGCTTTCTTGGAATGTGACGTCTGTACTTTGTGCTGAAACCCTCGTCATGCCAGTGAAACTACTTTTCATGGATGGCCAGTTTTTATTTTATTTAGCATCTGTGTTGACAATGTCAGTGATTTCCTTTCATAAAAACACCCTTTCCTCACCTTCCGTAACATGATACCCGTTCCATTTGTCCTCTTTTAGCTAATTCTTCAGGTATCCTTCAGGGCAGAACCTCTTCTGCCGATCCTTAGTCTGCTTGAATCTCCCTCCTCTCAAGTTTTTCTAAAATCCATCCATTTCCATCCATCCTCCTTGTCACTTCCCAAGTCACACCACCATGACTTCTCACCTGGATTGCTGCAAAGTCTAACTGTCTCTGGTCTTGTCCCACTTTAACCCATTTTCCCCACTAAGAGAAGTTCTGCCATGAACATGCTCCTCAGTGCCTAGCCTATATCCAGCACAGACTGAGTTCTCAAATAATTATTCATTGAATTGATGTCACCTGCTACTTATAAACCTTTTTTGGCTCCCCACTGCCTTATTTCTTTCTAATATCTTTTGCACTCCTCGTACTAACCATACTACGTATCTCTCAATTTTTTGACTATTTATTCATTCTTCCAATAAACATGCACCTATAAATAACTATAAATGAGAAAAGACAGGCCCCTGATTTTATGAATCTTACATATGATGGAGGGAGCAGCAGACAACAAAATAATTTTAAATAGCAATAACTACTACAAAGGAAATGAAAGAGAACATAGTGAATAATGTAGTTGGGAAGCTACTGTAGGCTGAGTGACCAAAGTAGCTCCTTATATAAGGAGGTATGATCTGTACTGAAATCTAAATGGGCAAGAAATAAGATACAAAGATCTGGAGGAAGTTTCTAAGCAGAAGAGCCAGCAATTTGAAAGATCTGAGATGAGTAAGACCTGTGTTAGAGGAACAGAAAAAAAGAATGTGGAACATAATAAGCGTAGTTGATGGTCTGAGGTGTCAGAGAAACAGGTAGGGGAGGGATCATAAAGATACTTCTGTGTCATGTTAAAGAATTAAGAGAAGGGTTTTAGCAGTTATTTTATGGAGAATGGCTTCTAGAGTAAAAGAAAATACAGGGAGAGTGTACTATACGTCTATAAAAACCCAGAGGAGAAAGAATTCTAAATATATTTTTGGGAAGAAGAATCTCCCAGCTCTAGATCAGTGTTTGGAACATAACATACATTTAGTATTTATAAACACTGTCCCTAATATACATGTACTATAATTCTTTCTTTTCTTCTCTAACATATTCATTAGACTTAGCTGAATACAGGCAGGAACTACATCAATCCTACTCTATACTCTTCTCCCCAAATTAAAGTCTAGTTCCTGAAGAAAATTCAATCAAAAACTCTGCTACAAACTTTGCATGAATATATAAAGTAACAAAAGCAGTCAGGGTCCCTGAGAAATAACTGCTGATATTTGGAATTCAATTTTAATGAAACAGTCAATTTTAATGAAACAATTTTAGGTATTCTAAAATAAAAAGAAATAAAAGCATGGGAAAATCCTAAGAGACATTTAGTTAACATTCCTTTCTAAAGCAATTACCTGGAACAAAAAGAAAAAAAAAATAGAAAAAATAAAAGCGTCATCACTAGTCACATCAGCTAGTGAATGCAGATCAATTCTTACTTAGATTTTGGTGACATGACCACATACAGTTTGAACTAGAAGTATACCAGGCAACAAGTAGGAAGTGGAGCTATTTGGAAACAATGGTTCAAGAGTTTTCCTCAGGTTAAAAGAGGTCAGTAGAAAATATGCCACCTGTTTGGAACACTTAAACATACAATATAGCAAAGAAAAAACGAAAATTCACTCTCTACTACTAGCAGGAGAATCAATCCTATTTTCAACAGATTTTGAAAATAAGACCACTTGTCATTACATGTTAATGTAATTTTTAACTGAGTATCTCTGTATTTGAGTAACTGTTGTCCCTTCTGGATTTAATTCATGTTCCTTTTTTTCAATTCACCTTCCTTTTCTTAAAATTTATTATTCATTGAACCTAACACTGGTTTATAACACTCTATATGACTCAGAGATAGAGGTTTACTTTGTTTGTATGTTAAATTTTATGTCACTGAAATGTAGTTTATTTCTGGAAAACTTGTTAAAAAACTAGTATTAAAAATTCTGCATGTAATTTTTCTGTTGTAATAAACATCAGACATAATTTTTAAGAAACGTGATTGGTTACCATGCTAATCAAAACTACGAGAGCTAACACTGAGAAATGTGAAAATAGCCAGAAAATAAAGAAATCCATATTCTTAAAATGAACTAAAACATTCTTATATATGCATATACATACATATAGTATAATAGAGTGAATAAAGCTTACATCATTATCTCCAGCAATGTAGAATGAAAGAGTCTGGCTCCCAAGATTAAAATCTATCCAAAAATCCTCCAGTTTCTCATCTGATGGTATTTGCAGCTAGTAAAATACACACATAAAACTATGTTTTTAAAAATGACAATAGAAAAGTATGATGTTATATACCTGGCTCAATTTCTTTATAAAGAACAGAAGTATAGCTAGAAGGTGAGGGAAGATAAAGAGATGAATACAACATTTAAACTTACTGAGAAACAAAAGAACTGTTGCTTTAATATTTTTCATAGAAATGAGCTAGCTCTAAGAAATCACAAACATTCCAAGTGCAAATAGCAGTTAAATATTAGTTTGACTTCATAAATGAATGACAAATCAATATAAAGTTGATAAGGAAAATGTGAAGAAGTGTGGACTTTATATTTCAGTTACCACTGGTTACTTGGGAAATGGAATGTTCCATTTCATAAGATGTCTCTTAGATATAAATACTAACCAGCCAGATGTGATCTAATTATGAAGATCTTTATAGCTTTTTGTTAACTAATAACCTGTAATTCGCTTGAATATTGAGCATCAAACTTCATTCAATGAAGACAATGTCTGCTAAATTTAAACTTTACCTCATATTTATCAAGAAATGCTGATAAACAAGGAAATGTAAAGACCCTGAAATAAAAAGTAGTTTCAGTTAGAGAAAAAATTATAAGCCTTGCAGCATAATCTTGACTAGCCATAGAGCCATGCTGGTAGTCAAAGGAAATCAGGTGGTGGAAATAATTTAAATATTTCCTTCTTTATTACTTTTTAAAGTAGAGCGTAATGGAAATTTGTTTCTGTAAAACACATTACTATGATGATATTCTCAACACAAATTACCAAATTTTTGTGCTGTCATCTATGAGCAGCGATTCCTAGTTTAGTTTATATTATTAATGAATAGATGTTTCCATAGGATTTAGATGGGAAAAGAAAAGTGACTAATACTGCTAATAAAAGTGGCTGAATTCACTAAATGCTTTCGTGGCCTAATACTATTAATAAGCACTTAGCATACAATCATCTCATTCAATCTTCACAACAAACATGAGACAGGTATTAGCATTCTTATTTTACAGCAGAGGAAATGGAGGCAACCGAGGTTAAATAACTTGCCCAAGTTAGAACAGGCAGAGGGGACGCTGATTTAAATCCAAGTGGAATGACTCCTTTACATAACTCATCCTATCTTTCATCCTTAGCAAGTAAAAGTGAACTCATGAACATCTGTAAGATGCCAGGGAATGTTCTGCAAATTCTCTATTCTTCTGTGTTATCAAGAGTGATACAAATTTACCAATCCTTTCATGCCATTCCTGAAGTTAAATAATCTCAGAAAGAACATTCTTGCAGTAAACATTCTTGATAATAGAAGATGACTTATGCTTCTTATATTTGGGTCAGGGAGGTAGCTCAAGTAATATACCTAGATTTTTGGGCCTCCTCTGGTGGCGCAGCGGTTGAGCGCTGGGCTGCGAGGCTGCCCGTGGCCTCTGCAGCACCGGTTCGATCCCCGGCCACCGGTGAGGATCCTATATGGTGCGCAGACCTCTCCTGCCACGCCCACTGTTCCCCTCAGCAGTGTGTTTCGTCAGTCTGCCTGTTCTGTTCCCCGCTCTGGCTCTGGTGAATCCTCTCACCCTCCCGCGCTTCTGACTATACCCAGTGCTTGTATAAATAAATCTTTAAAAAAAAAATCTTAAAAAAAAAAGCAATATACCTAGATGTTTATGATTCCTCAAATACAAAGCTTATATGATAATGTATATACAATTCTGAAATATAGCAAACCAATTTTAGACATGCAAAGTTATTAACATTAAAATAAAAATGCATTTTCCTCTAAAAACTAAAACAAAGACGAACAGGATTATTTCAGTCTGTCAGTACAGCAGTTTACTAAATGAGGTTACAGTGTGGTACTGTAAGGTATCTTTAAATATCCACCCACATTTTATACTCCAACTGAACAGGACAAAGTTAAATCTTTACGCTTCAACACTGTGTCCCCCTTCTTGCATTAAGTTTACCTTCTCTTGTCTCCAAGCATGCCATTTACAAGGTTGAGAAATATCCTGCAATCCTAATTTTAAAAAGAAAAACTTTTAAAAAGCATAGTAATTTTTGAAAACTGTTATAATGTTATTTTTTATATTACTTACTGTTTCAAATTCAAAGTCTTTAATTCCTTTAAATGCATCAGCAATAAAATCCATTGAAAACCACTGACATGCCAGTTCTTGTCTTTGTTTTTCTGTGGTCATTCTACATAAAGCTTCTACTATACCTACTTGTAAGTCATAATCTTTAAAAAAAAAAAAGTCAATGTATTATTTAAAATTATGTAAACTGAGAGTTTATAAAACTCAATATTAGACAAGCAAGAGAAATAAGGAAAATATTAGTGTAATTTACCATCTTTTGCCTTTTCCTTTGTATGAATTAGAAAGGCTCATCGTAAATATAGCCCAAAGAACAAGTTTATTAATAGGAGGGAAAAGGATATTCCCCTCCCCCAGGAAAAGGATATTTTAAAGGAAACCCTTAAAATACTCAAAGACTGCCATTCCATTATTATTAGAGTTGGAAATAGTAAAATAACATACAAAAGTCTATAAATCGCAGTCTTTGTCTTCTTTTTGTATAATAGGATACTTGTGGTTAACTCAAAGTACTTTAAGACAGTGGTTCATTCTATCTGTAAGTAACTACTAAATTACTTATCATATGAACTTCTCATATGAAACATAAGAATTTTAAGATCTTTTAATAAATGCCATTCTCTAAAAACAAATATTATCAATCCCAAGAACATTTAATCTTCTTAATTTCATAATGTACTATTTGAGGAATTTCTTAGCAAGAGTAATTTACATCTGGACAATGTGGTTATTGGAAAATTAAGTTATATTAATAAGTCTATCAATTAGGCACAAATTACATTAGACAACAGCTAATTCATACTAAATTATTATTTTGGTCCCAAAGAAGTTCATCATTAACATAAAATTGCTCAATTATACATAAATAGTTTATAATTCCTTCATATACCCTCCCTATATTACAATGTTATTGCTTTGATTAGAGATATGATATTTCATTAATAAATCTAGAATACTTTTAAATATAAACATTTTGAAAAGACATACTTACCTCCAGCTTCTAAAATCCTTTCTCCCATATTACTCCTGTGAATCAAAATAACAGCTCATATACCAGACTAGTATTGATTAAATAGAAATCCCCCATGTTTGTGGGGAAAACCTAAAATTTACTTTTGGCTAGTATCACAGACTTTTGCAGAAAAATATATTCTTAAGTTATAAACCTGTATTAGTTTAAATTATTAATGCAACTAGTAGTTGCCTTATGTAATATTCTTCAAATTTTCTTGGCTTGAGTCACAAAAAAACAACATGGTAAAAATTATTACATGAGTATTAACATTTCTTGGTTGGAGAGTATTTTCCTGGCCTCTTGAGGCATTTTGTCAAGCATAGCATTCATTTTCTTCAGTGTCTAGAAAGAAAAAAAGAATCCATTAACTTTGTATCTTCAATGGAATAATAACTATTTAGAAAAATATTCTAGGTACATAACCTTAGAAGCCTATTTTTCCTTAAAAAGCATATATACAAGAATGGAGAAGGGTGGATGAAAGAATATAAAGTAGAAAATAATGAAAACAAAAAAGCTACAGGATAGCAAAAGTAGATCATACCATGACTCCAGTATTTAAATCATTTATATTCTTTGCGGTATGTTTATTAGTGCTCTATTACAAAAATTAAGGAAACAAAAATATATACCTTAATATATTTTTGTTTTAATACATACACACACACTTATATACACAAATACAGGTTCTTCTTAGCATTTACTTACAAATTCCTAATATCTTAATGTAATTCATTTTCATTGAGTTATAAATAATACATAAACCCATATAATTAAGAATTTTCAAAAAAAATTTAAGGAATGTATTCATTATGTTAGTAAGGCATGAATTAAGGCCACAGAAATGCACTAATAATTCAGATAATCATTCAATTAGAAGAACAGCTACAAAATTTTCTTGCCTTTCTCATTTTTAGTTTTAAAAGAAAATCCAATTACTTTACCTCCTGCTGAATACAAATATTCACTCTTGAGTCAATAACCAGGGCACAAATTCGAGGTATAAAACTTTCTGCTACTTGTCTTTTACCTGAATAAAAATGTCAAATTATTAGTGTGTATTTTAAATTACTTTAAATGGTAACATTTTCTAATATGAGTTAATGGGAAGGATGTACTAGTTCAGTTCAGAAGAAAGCCCAGTGGCCTGGATATCAGGAGACATGAAGTTCTGTCCTGGTTCTGAATTTCTAACTAGCTATGTGACTCTAAAAAAAGTCCGCATGTCACTGATTGTGACTCTGGCAAGGAATAAAGGCAGATCCAGCATTTTCTTTCAAATACATGACACAGTACTACTTTTGAATGAAATACATACAGTTCAAAAAGTGAAACTTGTATTTTGAGTTCTATAAAAATTGGCTTCATTAAAGTCATACAGCAAAATTTCCATAAGGGCCACCAACACCTCTCAGTCGCATGATCTAAATAACTTGAGCTACTTTTGAAAGTTAACCCTGTTCTCAAAAAATGAGTTTTTATCAGTATTAATGTTTAGCAGAATCACATTATATTATAATGCAAATTTTAAAGATAATTTTAAACAGCTATATTGCAATAGATACTGGAAAAAAAAACCACTCAATTAGGTGAAAAGATGTGATGTACTGTTAAAACCTGAGCTGGATCACTTTATAATCATCGGTATGTGACCATTTTGGCCCTCCTTAAGTATCCAAACCAAGTATTTAGACCAGATTACTATGTTAATTGCAAAGAAATCAATGAAAAAACTGCATCATTAACTATTAAAAAATAGCAATTGATATTTTAAAACATTTTGGCTACAGATACGGGAAACAGCTTTTCCTTTCCTAATAAACAATTTACCAGCCTCAATCCCCAATCCTAGGCAACAGAGATAAAATAACTTGAATCTGATTGCCTGGCACAAAAACCTGGCTCAGGATAAGTGCAAGGATGGTCGATAGCATGTTCTCCATTTACTACTGCAAATTCTGTTCCATCAGAAGTCGGGAAATTCTGGCCCAGAAACAAAACGTGAGCCACTGTCAAGTTTTATATAGCAAATGCTTTGTAGAAGTATCCGAATCCACCACCTCTTTTGAATAGTGTCTAGGTGAGTGTCCTCCACTTCCATAAACTGAGCCAACATCAGTTACATGAATTTTTGAGGGAAGCAGAGGCTAAATATGATCTCCTGACTTACCTCTCATAAAGCAGTTCTATTACTTACTTAGCAGTAGTAATGTTTTGTTACCTTTCAAACTCAGGGCTAAGACCAAAATTTTTCTGAACAAGAACTGCCCTCCACCATTATTATCAAACACTGAATGATTTGGGTAATTAATGTGGGTTGTGAACTGAGCATATTCCTTAATGAATTCAACCAAAACGTAGAAGGCAAAATAGTGCTTATGAGAAACTTGTACTGTGTAAAGTCATTTCTATGGAACTAATGCTATCCGAGTCATGTGTAATGTGACTCGTTATGTGTAACGTGTTGCTTCATACATTTCTCAGGCTGTCAAAAGTTAAAATAAAATGTGACATCTTTATTCCCACACAAATTTGCAGAAGATATAAGTTTCCAAGCTCCAGCTATAGTTCCTGCAGAATTTTGAACTTTGATGTAAGCACAAAAGAAATTTACATATTTCAAAATCCATTTAATATGCAGTTGAAGAACTTTCTCCACTTCCTCTACCCTTCAATGAAAAGCAATTAATATGCATGCAATTATATTCTAAAAGGCAAATATTAAGAAGTTAATATTCTACAAATGCTTTCCCTGTGATGACTATGCTAAATTAAAAATCATGCTCAGGGATTGATTTTGGTATTTGACATTATCTGAGTGAAAGGACATTTTCTAATGCAATATACACAAAAGCTCATTACAGAGAAGCATGAACAAACAACTGCCATCAGTTCTGGTAACAATGAACACTAACTTTGAACCTTAAGTGAAATGCCATCCCCCAAAGGCTATTCTCCATTCCTCCTTAGCAGATCGGAATTACAAAAATATATATATTTTGAACTGCATCAATAAAACATTTGTGGAAATTTCTCTCCTTTCCTATTATGGAAGTGCCTACATAATATCCTTGATTTCTTTCCTTGGTCCATGAAACCTAAAATATTAATAAAATATTTCCTACCTAGTCTTTTACAGAAAATGTCAATCCCTGGATACTATTAGGACGATGCTACAAAAATTATAAAATTATACTAAAACTCTAATAGCAAATTATTGCTCCATTAGAAGTTAAATGTTTAGGGCCTCCCCTGGTGGCGCAGCAGTTGAGCGCTGGGCTGCAAAGCTGCCTGCAGCCTCTGCAGCGCCGGTTCCATCCCCGGCCACTGGCGAGGGTCCCACATGGGGCGCAAACCTCTCCTGCCACCCGCTGCTCCCCTCAGCAGTGTATTTCGTCCATCTGCTTGTTCTGCTCCCTGCTCTGGCTCTGGTGAATCCTCTCACCCTCCCGCGCTTCTGACTGTACCCAGTGCTTGTATAAATAAATAAATCTTTGGGGAAAAAAAAAGAAGTTAAATGTTTATTATACCTTCATCACTGACGTCGTGTACGACCTGAAAAGAAAGTGAATACCTATAATTTGCTATCTTTTATACTATATACTAGTACAAATATTATTTAAAAATAACAGCCAACATTTGAACTCACCACATAATTATCTAACTTTTATTTATGATTTAACAATTTAATCATATTAATTTGGATAAATACTTTATACAATTTGAACAGACTAATCCAACCAAGTCACTAACCAATTTTCTAATGACATCTAGGCTTGGGACATGTAGAACACAACGTCCTTTTTAAAAATAAACCCATATTTTATAACATCAGTTAATCAATGTGATTTTTACCATCAAAAGATCAAATAAGTCTTCTACCATGTTTATAACAGTTTCATCTTTTGAATTTCCTTGACTCAGAATAATCTCCTTGGATTTTTCAAACCAGGTAACCATGTGAAAAAAGAAATGTACAAATGAGTTAACTTGGATTTAACTTTTATAATTTTAAGAATGTACTTATCTTTGTATAGAAGTAAACTTGGGAACAAAAAAAATCAAAAATTGCAACATATCAAACTTAGTTTATGCTTTTAAACATCTTTGTTGTTTTTATTGTTTGGTAACTCACTATAATTTCCTGTATTTTATATAGGACTGAAGTTAATCCTAATTGCAGGTGGATCTTTATTTCCTCCTTTAAATTCCTATTTCAGGTATATTTATATAACAGATGAAAATAAACTGCCATAGCATCTCATTTTTGCAGTGTTAGTATCTGAAAGTTTGGTATTATTATACTTTATTCAGATTATTTACATGCATTATCAGGTTTCAGGAACTGTTCTATGCACTGGGTATACAGCAATGAATGTAACAAACAAAGTCAATAGCCCAGCTTCTAGCATGGGAGACAGACAGTAAACAACACAGAAAGATAAAGACAGCGGCTAAGATGAACCAAATTCACATAAATGAAAGAAATTCACATAAAGGAGCCTATATACAGTTTCCCTGTGATCTTTGTAGCGTATCGCACGTTATAAAAATACTTTGTTTTAAAGTATTATATAAAATGTCCACTTTTTTTTAACAGTTTGGATATTTCTAATTTTATTTTAAACCATACTTTTTACCATATTTTCACTACTCAAATATGTTACATATGCTATACTTATCTTCTGGACTAGTCCTTGTTTTATCATGGCTAGAAGACCAGCTTGCCCCAAAATGCTGATATTTTTGCCATATCTCCCAACAGAAATCAAAATGGTGGCAACAGTTCGGACATCCTTTTTACTAAGCTCCTGAAACAAAAAGCATACACTTAAATATCTGTAAGCCCAAAAAAAGTATGCGCTGTGATAGGAATTTTATAATCCTCACAAATTCCAAAAGTCATCCATCCTCATATTCTCCATATTGTAACGGATGAAAGTGTGGTTTTAAGAAGCAATTGCTAAAGCCAACTACCGAGGAAGGATAAACATGCAGGACAAAATATACATCTGTAAAAATTCAAGAAAATTTAGGCTACGATAGAATGAATCAGTTACCCTCCATTCTAGAAGGTTCCATGTATTTAACTAATGGATGTAAGAAATCTAACCCTTTTTGATTTACAGTAAATCTCGGAGTAGAGTATCAAAAATCAGCTCTCATGTATAACAATGCTTCATATACAAGAAATCAAGTCCAAGGTTTTGGGGTGATTTTTTGCTTGTTCTTTTGTTTCTTTTTTGCCAGCATTAAGCATTGTCTCTATAACATGAAGAATATGCTAAAAAGTTTTGAAACAGATCATGTTGTTTGAAAATCAAGGAGGTAAACTTAATTTTCCTCAATTTAAGTAATAGTTAACAATGTTAACACCATGTTACAGAAACATGAAGAAACACAGCTTTCTGTGTATTTTATTCAGAAAACCAAAGTACAGTATGTTATTTGGGACTGTTCAAAAAAAAAAAAAATGCCGTGGTGAAATAAGCACTTGTTTCTGAAAGTGAGCATGCTGAACAAGCAACGGCCAGCATTCATTCGTTTGTTTCCTCTAACAGCATATTTCTTTCTGGACAGAGAGTGCTATCTAATAATTTTAATAATCATTCAGCAAAAATGAATAATTACCCTGCATACTAGGTCATCCAACTTGTGGAAAAATTGTTTGCTGCACTTAACTTTCACATCTTCACAAGTATCAATTTGTAGAAGAGCCTTCAAAGGTTTGAAATCATTTTTTCTTAAAGCATCATCAATGCATTTTTCGAACTGCTAAAGAAATAAGTTAATGACATAAACACTGAATCAAAGTCAATTAGTTAACTTACGCAATCTAATAATTAGAGAATTCACATAAAAATTCTCAAAGGAGTTTACAGAGTATTAATTCAGTTATTAAGAAAACCTATCTATTATTAAATTTGGAGCAACAGAGATAAAGTTTCAATAATAACAAGACTTTATATTTTAAAAAAGCTTAATAACTTTCCATTTCATTATCTTTTATTGGAAAGTCATTACGTTGAACTCAACAAAACCTGTTAATAGAAGAAAATCAAATTTATATAGTAACTAATAATACCATGGACAAAAGTCTACATATCTATCAACTTCTTAATGAGGTTTAGTTTTCAAAAATTTTAAAGATGGCTAAAATCAACTAATTAATCATAACACAGATACATACAAACACATTCAAAAATATCCACATACACACACAGGGTGATTCTTCATTTAAGGTAACAGATAAGGTTCTGAGAAACTCACTTTAAGCAAACCAATGACACCAAAGGAAAGCAGGTACTCACTAAGGTAATTTCTTTCAACATAGGCTAGGGTTTTTTTTTTCCCTCATGAAGGTTATAACAACATGACATTGAATGAAATGTTATGGAGGACTTGCTGTGGTGTGTGTATTTATTTACCTATGCATTTATTTATGATATTATATATTTATAGCCTTTACAAAATCTGCCTTCCTGCAACATAAAGAATTTTCATACCACAATCCAATGTCCAAACTTGGTGGTAAATTGTATACATGTTACACAGGTATATTAAAACTTACTCTTTACTTAAATGGAAGTATAATTTTAAAATGTAATATAAAAATATGTAGGCATAAGTTATGTTTATCAATGTACAATTCATTTCATTAAAAAGTATATATAAATAACCAGCATCCTTAATTGTAAATATTAATACAACTTAGGAAAATAAATCGTTTGAAAAATGGAAGAACAACATTTTCATTGAAATTATTCTATTCTGACATTTCATAAACAAGTAAGTTTTGTCTTTTCTAAAACAAGGCACTTAATACCTATAAAAAATGATTTTAGGAATTAAGACAAAATATTTTCTTTTGATTTAGGACTACATACCTGGAGATCTGGTCTTATTGGCATTTTGACTTAATTTAAAACAGCAGGACAAAACAAACACCTATAAAAGAAAACATACTTTATGTATCTTACAATCTACTCTATACATTTACTGTTTTAAAATATTAATACACATAAATCAGCAAATACTGTTTCTTCAAGTTCCTCACTGGACATTTTTCATACCTGTCTATGAAATTAATCGTTTGAATCTGGCCAAAGAAGTTTCTGGAGGAAACTTTACTTAAGATCATTTACTTTACTGAAGATCCTTTACTTAAGCCTTCTCTTTTTATAGGTTACTTAAATGTCAAAAGTCCTGCCAAAAGGTCACAAAGCTAGTTAGTAAAAGAATACAAACCTGGCTGGATCTTCCTTACCAGAGATTGCTGCTACATTTGCTCCAACTTTGGAAACAAGAAAAGTAATATTTTGAATTAAATTGTAAATGAAATTGGAGCCAGTAATAAAAATATTTAAGGAGGGAAGAATATGTAAGTATTATTACCAAAGAACAAGCTATATGAGATTATAGAAATACACAATGAAAGGAGAAAAGACAACCTAAGCACATTTTCGCTTCCTAGGGGAATAAAAACAGGAAACAACAGGATTGCATTAGGAACCATTTGCCCCTAGAGGAGAAATTAAATTTGTCCCAAAATTAACAATGGTGTAATAAAAAACAAACGAAAGACCCACATAGTCCATTTTAACAAAAGCATCGAACACCTCCAAATGCCATCCGAAGGTATCTCTATAAAGGAAAAGAAAGAATGCCATCCTTTCTAGACATCATAACCAGGACAACTGAAAAATAGCTTAAACTATGTAGAGTGTTGTAACAGAATCTTCAGGAAATCTAATACACAGAGAAAATGAATTAACCCAAGAGTTATACAGGACCGGGCATCTGCTGGGAAGTGGGACGGGTAAGACAGGACAAATCAAAGATTCAAAGTTTTTTTCCCCAAAGTTCTCTGTGAGGTTTTAATAAACCAGGGTGGTATGAAAGCAAGCAATGCTGATTTTCTTTACTGATCTACATGAGCACGTGCCAACCTCGCCAACCTCAGCTTCATAAAGGCTAGGTTTCTGTACCTCTTTCCCCCCTGTTTGGTCAGACCCCAAGAACAAAGAGGGGGGTGTTTACTGGAGGCCCTCTGAGACTCCGGTGAGGTTCAATATAAAAACCTACATGTCCCTTTATATCGGAAATAATCAGGCAATGGAATTTTCTTAAACAAAACTAAAAAGAACAAATCTAGTGACAACAAAAATAAGATCTCCAAGACAATAATATACTAAGCACCTTAATAAAAAAGACACGCACACAGTTATTCCTGATCATTAGTGAGAAGACTGAACATGACACCACCAGCAAGTCTCCTCTACAATAATTTCCAAATTTCAAAACAATTCCAATAAAAACCACAAAAACATATTTTGAGCAACTTGGATAATTCTTTCAATTTATATGGAAAAACATTGCTACCCTGATAACTAAAAGTTAGAAAAATCAGAGAATACTATTTGATATTAAAACATATTGCAAAGTGACAATTACTACAAAGCAGTGTTAAAAATAGGAAATAGACGAATCAATAAAACAAAACAAAATCCAAATGCACATCCAAGCGCACACTGGAAGTTCATATATGAGTAAAAACATTTTACAAATCAGAAAGGATATGGTAAAATAGTTGATTAATTAGTAGTGGGAAAATTGACTTATGAAAAAACAAAAGTAGAGCTCTATCTCCTGCCAGTCACAAAAACAGGCTCTAGGTAATCAAACTGCCTAAACATAAAATGTCAATGTTTAAAAACTACTGGAAGGAAATGCAGGGCAATAGGCTACAATTCTGCCATAGGGAAAGATTTAAGGCATCGGAAAACACAAAGCATGAAAATAGATGCGAACGTTCTGCACAGGCTGGCCTATGAATAAGTCATCACACTAGAAAAAAATCACAATGGAGCAAGAGACAAAGGATTAGCATAATTTTTTTTATGCAATAGCTGGGGTACGGGCCAGAGGTGGGGAGGTGGGGGTGAGAGGGCGCCCCAGAGACAGAGGGGGGAGCAGAGCAGGCCGATCTACTGAAGTGCACTGCTGCGGGGAGCAGCGGGGAGACGGGAGGGGTCTGCCGCGCCCTGTGGGCAGCTCCCTGGCCGGGGGTCGACCTCGCGCTGCAGAGGCTGCCGACAGCTTCACAGAGCTGCCCTCAACCCGCGGCGCCAGCGGGGAGGCCCCAGGATCCCCCTAATTATTAGGAAGACTAGCACACCAACAGAAAAGGCAGCCGCCCTGCAGGAAAGTGGACCAGGACGTCCCTTTCCGAACGAACACGCGCTCAGGAGAGAGGCCGCCCGCGGTCATGGGAAACGCTGACGAAGCGCCAGCACACCCTGCCGCCGGGCTGGACGGGGCGGGGGCGCCGCTCCCCGCAGGGCCCGCGGGCTGAAAGGGCAAACGTGCTCGGCTCGCGGGCCCCGCCCTCACCTCACGCCCTGGGAGCGTCAAAAGCGCATCTAGCTGGCGCGGGCAGGGGGGAGGCGCGGGCAGGGGCAGGAGGCAGCGGGGGAGCGGCGGGTCCCCCCCACCCACCGGGGCGCTCCAGCTCGGAACACCCGGGCACAGAGAAGCTGCCGGGTGGGGGGGGGGGGGGGGGGGAACCCTGGGGTTGAAGCCAATGCCGCGGGGGGGGGGGGGGGCGGGCCGCGCAGCCTGGGGCGGGGGATAAAAGGGACAAGGAGGGGAAAGGCAACCCCCGCAAAAGGAGGCTTTCTAGGGGGGCACGGCGGGGTCCCGCGACGGCGCTGTACCGAGACAGACCAAATTACTCGGGTTACGTCGCTGAAAGCTCAGCCCTCCACGCCCGGCCCGGGCCCAGGCGGACGGGTCGGCGGCGCCGGCTGCTCTCGCGCCCACGCCGCGCTCTCCGCGGGCCCCACGGGCCCCAAGCGCCGGAGCCGCGCGGCCCCTCACCGCGCACGCCCCGCGGCCCGAGGGCCATCCCGGCCTGCGCCGCCGGCCCAGAGCGACCGCGATGCCCGGCGCCCAGTGCGCCCTGCGGCGGGAAGGCCCCGGGCCTGGGCGCCGCACCCGCCCCGCCGCAGCAAAGGACGGCAGCCGAGCAGCCCGCAGCGCCCCGCCCGCCCGCCCGCCCGCCCGCAACGGCCTCGCCAGGCGGGCGCGCCCGAGGGAGCCGGAGCCCGAGGCCCCCGCCATGGCTCCGGGCACCCGCACCGCGACGGCGCGAGGCGCGACGGCCCCGCCGGCCCGGCCCGGCCAGCAGCGGGCGGCGCGAGGCCCCGCCCCAGGCGCGTTTCCGTCAGCGCAGCCCCGGCCGGTGCCCGCGAGAACGCCGCCCCCCCCAGCCCCGGCCCGCAGGACCCGCCCGCCCTCCCCGGGCGCCCCAACGGCAGCGGCCAGCACCGGGGTCCGCTGGCCGGGAGGGGGCGACCAGCCCGTCCTGGGCCCCGGGGCCGCCTCCCCGCGCCGGGGTCCGCCCTTCGCGGGCTCCGCGTCCCCTCAGCCGCCCGCCGGCCCCGCGCCCAGGCCCGGCCGCCCGACGGCGCGAGGCCGCCCGCCGTTTTCACAACGGCTCCGCGTCAGCCGTTGGGGGCCCGCCGCCCGCCCCAGCCGGGCCCGAGGCCGCCCCCCGCGCCGGCGCCCGGAGCCCGCCCAGCCCCGGGATCCACCTGGCGGCCGGAGGCGCCTCCGAGGAGCCTCCGCGTCGACGCCGCCCGCGGCCGCTGCCCAGGCTCGTCTCCGCGCCTCAGCGACCGCGCGGGCGCCAGGAGGCGCCGGCCGGAGGGCGGGAAGCGGTTGGCCAATCGGCGCCGCGGCCGGAGCGCCGCGGCCAATCAGCGCCGCCCGCCGGCCAGGCCCCGCCCCCAGAGCGGCCGTCAGCGCGACGGCCGGAGGCCGGAGCCCCCCGCCCTGCCCAGCGCCGCCGCGGGGCCAGGCCGCCGGGGGGTGCGCTCGCCGCGCGGGCCGGGCGCTGGAAGGGGCAGAGAGAGGCCGCCGGCGGCCCACGGAGCCCGGGAGCCCCACTCTTCGCCCGGGAAGGCCGGGCGGAGCGCGGAGACGCGGGGCGGCCGCCTAACCTGCCAGGCCCGACTCCGGGAGACGCCGCGCCGCGCGCCGCCAGGGGGCGGCAGGAGACCGCAGAGCGGCGCGGGGACGGCCCGCCCCCGTCGCCTGGACGCCCCGCCCCCTGCCGGCTGCTCCCCGCCCCGCCCCGCCGCCGGCCACGCCCAGGGCCTTGCGGCAGCAGCAGCCCCGCCCCCTGCCGGATATGCCCCGCCCCCTACCGGATATGCCCCGCCCCGGGCGACCGCGCCCCGCCCCGCCCCCTCCGCAAGGCCGTGGCTGGGCCGCCCCGCGCAGAGCGGGGATGGGGCCGCCGCCCCCATCAGCCAGACCCCAGACAGCTGCGGGCAACAGGCAGCGCCCATCCTAGGCTTGCTGCTCAACAGCCAGCAGTGCTGGCTTAGGGTTTCTAGGACGTCCCCACTTAAAAGATCAGTTTAAATGGTGACGGCGGGGCCACGTCCGGTGGAAGACCCAGTGCAGAAAAGGGTGTCGCAGACACGACCTCCGCCGGCCTCAGCCAGTTGTTTCTCGCCCCAACACTCTTAGCAAGGAAAATGGCAGAGCCTTTTTTACGTTTACTTTTTTTTTTCTCCAGAAAGCATAGGGATTAGTCACGCTCAGTAAACTACCACATGGGTGGCGGGAAAGCCCACCGTTCCTTTTCACGTTATTGGAATTGCTTCTAAGTAGGATGTTGGATTTTGATGTTAGTTGAAAAACTTAATCAAAACGGCGCACTCAGTTAAATTGAACAAGTGCTTACCGGGACCCTCATCACGTGGGGAGGAAGCATGGTACGCGTGGGCTTGAATGTGACCCTGCTGCTTACCAGCTGTGGGACTTGAGACAGATTATTACCTAAACCTCTTAATTTCATTCTCTTCAGCTAAGGAAAGGGGATTTATTATTTAACGGCTAGTGTAATTTGCAAAATTACATGAATGAAATATGGCATCTAGCACTGTGAGCAAGCAAGAGAGGGTGCGATAAATACGTTATCTCCCATGTGCAAAACTGATCCCAATTAGTCCATAGGTAGGTGTAGGGTAAAGAAAATGTCAGGCTTTTCTGCCCTTCCGCCATCAGGATAGATGATGGATCCTTGTCCTGAGTGCATGCCTGATGGCGGGCACCTGGAATAGGGTGTGGGCATAGGTAGATGGGATTCAGCTGAGCTAAGACTGTGCTTTTTAAGGGCGGCATCACGGGGACGCCAGCAGCAGCAGTAGAAGCCGAAGCAGAAGCCGAGAAGCAGCAGAACGAACGCCAGAGAGCCCAGATAGAGTGAAGACTTGCTGGGGGCTGGGAGGCCTGCCAGCCTCCCAGCCCCCCAGCCAGCACCCCTGCCTGCCATATGCCTGGTGAACCCCAATAAAAAACCTGCAAAACCACTGAGGACTCTGACTCCTCCTTTACCCAGTCTGCATGGGATCAGAAAACCTGCACTGTGTCTTGTCCTGCCCTTACAGTAGGGCTTAATAAGCATTGTAACTTACACGCTATCCCATTCCCTATATTTCCTTAGAATTTATTCACATGCTATACAGATCTGAGAGAAGAGACTGTATTTCTGTTTCTCAAAGTCATCCACAACCCTGCTACTGAAATGACATATAATCCCACACTCTTGGGGGGAGGGCAAGGCATTAAATTTAAGTGTTTGCAAAAGGATCAAAGTTATGTGTGAAATGACTTAAACAATCAAGAAGTTTCTAAAAATCCTGGTGTCTGTAATTAGATCACAAGAAAAACACTTCAGCTAGCAGCTTGTGCACATACACTTTAATATTCAGGCTTGAGTGAAACCATCTTAAATGACAGGCATAAATATGTTTGGAGAGACCACCCAGTAATTGTACAATAGCTACAGAATTTTAACACCTAGGCAATATAACTGTTTTAGGGTGTGACAGTTTTTAAGCGATTCCACAGCTTCTGTAAAATTCAGCTTTTCGGTTTCAAATGTTGGTCTTTTGCAAAAGGCACGTTGAGGTTCTCTTAGTATTGAAGCTAGAACACTTACTTCAGAGTCCATGACCAGAACCTTGTTAGCACATGACTTCACCTGGAGTCTCGACATGCCTTTCCACTGCAGAACATCTGGCAGCTCAAACTCTCGTACCTGAACACTCAGGACATTCTGGGCTGGGTCGAGGGCCCAACCGCCCAGGCCCTCCAGCTCGCTGACCTAATTGGACCATTTGCTGAACAGCAGGAAGTGCAACCAGGCTTCTCGGGCTCTTGCATGTCAATGTAGTACCCGCTGCTAGTGGCCAAATTGTTCCCTTTGATCACAGTATTTCCAATCAAAATGCATTGTCTTAGATCAGCAGATACCCAAGAAAACCATCCTATTCATAGTTTTAAAAACACAGGCGTTGCAATTAAGAAAAAGAAAGCCAAACTGGTTAAAAGGCAAAACACATCCTTAAAATCTTGAATTGACAAATGTCAATACGCATTTCAAAATTGCTCACTGGGAACCGTTATCACAAAATGGACCCCACGGTTTCAGCTACAAATCAACTTCACAGGTTGGGGACCGTGTCCTTCTCGGCTGGGTTTTCATACCTCAGTGCTAGCACCTTCCTCAGAGAGATCACCGCACAGCACCAGACGAAATCGCCAGTCCCTTGCTGGAGTTTTTAGTCACTGCTGTGCCCTGCAGGGACAATGGCCTTGAGTGCTTGGCTCTAGAAAGGAAGAAAAGCATTTAACACTTTAAGACTGGAAAACCAGTCCAGAGAATGTTAAAAACTCTCCTATCTGAAGGCACAGGGAATGAAAGTTGGCAGGAGACTGATAAAACAGGGCAATCAACCATCAACACAATTAAAACAAAAAGTCTCTGTGAATTATTTTTCCTGCAGCACTCTGGCTATTGCTGAGGACACCTGCTTCTTCCGCTTGCTAGTAACGCCTCAGAGATGACAGCTGGACCCTTCTGACATAAAAGAGTCAACTTGATCACCCAAAAGGTAATTGCAAAAGGCCCTTGTGGCCTGAAGTTGCCTGAACACAATGCAATTAAGGCAGAATTTCTTGACATGTTTAGGTAGGTTCAACCTAAACCAAGGCCTGCGCTGCAGATGCGTGACTGTCAAACAGGTACAAGAGGTACATGGTGAAGAGAGGTCGCAGAGGGAGTTGCTCTTGCTGGTTTGAAAGTAGGAGGCATCTCCTTTCTGGCTGTTGCTGTGGGAGTCGCCCCCCGCGCCCCAGGGCCGCTGGACTCCGCAGCCGCTGGGGCCGGCCTCCTGCCCACGAGTCGTCTCCCAGTGGCAGTCCCCAGACTCAGGCACACGCGCACGGGCTCAGCTCTCCCGGCCGGGGCAGGACGGCCTCCAGCGACCACGACGGGGCCGCGCCGCACGTGGTTTACAATCGGGACAAACACACAAGACGGGTTTTCTCAGCTCATTAAACACAGAATGTTCCTGAGGAGGCCCCACCTGGGCAGCGGGCCCGACATCACGACGCTTACAACAAGGAACAGCCATCTTCACAGAGGCGCATGCAGGGCACATGCAACGCCCGCGCCCTCTCCCACCAGGCAGGCGCAGGCCTCCCCCCGGCCTGCCCGGGCACCCTCGCCCGACCCACGCGCCCAGACGCGCCCCCCACTGCACACTCGGCCTCCCGGCCGCCTGAGGTCCACGGAGACCGAGCGACGCGGGCATTTCAAGTAGAAGATGGGACGGGGGGGAGGCGGGAGGCGAGGTCAGGGCGCAAGGCGCGGGGGGCCGGGCCGGGCTCAGATGAAGTGGATCCAGCTCTCCTCGCACTCGCCGCGCGGCATGCGCAGCGCGTGGTCGCGGCAGGTGAGGCTGTAGTCGCGGCCCAGGTTGTTGTCCCAGTACTCGGCGCCCGCCACGCGGTAGCGCAGCGCGAAGTGCACGCGGGAGCCGAGCGCGCGCAGGAAGGGCGGCACCGGGAAGCCGAAGGCGAACACGTCCTCCGCGCCGCCCGCGCCCGCCGGCCCGCGCCAGCGCGCCGCCGCCTCGTGCTCGCTGCGCCAGCCGGAGAAGGTGTAGCGCACGGCCACCTGCTTCTCGAAGGCCACGTTGCACACGCGCACCGAGCCGCGCACGCCCAGGTCCGAGCAGGTGACGCGCTCCAGGCACACGAGCTGCCGCCGCAGGCGCTCGGCGAAGTCCGGGGCCTCGACGGGCGGCGGGAAGTCGGGCACGAGGCAGCGCAGGGTGAACTCCGCGTCCTGGCGGCCGCAGCACAGGTCCGCGCCGACGGCGAGGCGCGACAGCACGTGCAGCGGCACGGCCGGGTCGTCGCCCGCGTGGAACACCCGCACCTGCGCCAGCTCCAGGCCCAGCGCGTCGGCGAAGCGCACGCGGAGCTGCCGGCTGCACCCCGGCCGGCACGCACTGCCCGGCGCGCGGGGGCCCTGCTGGCGGCGCTCGGGCGAGCTGGGCAGCGAGCGCGCCCGCCGCTGGAGGCTGGGCCGCAGGCCGGGCTCGCCGCCCGGGCTCTCGGGGCGCCGGCAGGGCCGCGGCTCCCCCCGCGCGCCGCCGTCCAGGTCCGAGAGGCAGCTGAGGCTCCGCGGGGCGGGCTTGCGGGGCCCCGGGGCGGGGCGCGGGGCCGCGGGGCGCGGGGCTGCGGACATGGCCTCGGGCGGGCGGGGCGCGGGGCGACGAAGGGGCGCGCGCTGCCCGGACGCCGCGAGCCCGAGCGGCCTCCAGGAGCCCCGGCCCGCCCGGCCGCCGCCGCCTCTCGCGGCCCCGCCCGGGCCTTCCGCTTCCTGGGGCGCGCGGGGGTGTCGGGGCGGCCCTTCTGGGGACGCTCCTCCGCCGGCCGCTCCGCGCGCGGGCCGGCGCCTCCTCTCGGCTGCGGGAGGCGGCGCGGGGGCCCCTCCCACGCGCGCGCCCCGCTCCGCTGGCTCCGCGGCTCGGGCGGCGCGACTCCGCCCGCGCGCGTGACGCCGCCCCCGGCCCGCAGCCCAGCCCCGGCCCGGCCCGCCCGGCCCGGCCCGACCCGACCCGCCCGGCTGCGTCACGTGTGCTCGGATGGGAACCAGGTCTGGCCCACTCCCGCCCGCGCGCCGCCGGCCGGACCGCGTCCGCACAGCGCGGGGCGCCCCCACCGCTGGGCCAATGGGGGGGCAGCCCGGCCTTTCCAGGAGCGGGGCGCTCGCCCGCGGCCCCGCACCCCTCCCCGACCCGGGGAGCCTCCCGCGGGGGACGCGTCCCGCCCGCCGCCCCCTCATGCGGGGGGGGGGGGTGGGGGCAGCCGGTCGCGCGGGGTGGGGGGCGCGGAGCCGCGCGGGGGGGGGGGGTGCGGGGCCGCGGGGAGCCCCCAGGGCTGGTGCCGGGTCGGCCGCTGCGGCGCGGGTCGTCTCTGCAGCCACAGCTCGAGCCTCGCTCGGCGGCCGGCGGGGCCCGGGGGCGCCGGGCTGGTCTGCACGAGGCCCCGGGCGGCCGGGGCGGGGAAGGTGGACGCTGCGAGGGAGCTGCGGGGCGCGTCCTGCTGCCGAGGGGAGGGGAGGGCGCCGCGGGGGGGGGGGGAGGCCGCGCCCCGCCGCAGCCCAGAGCCAGCCCGCCCTGCGGCCACAGCGAGGCCCCGCTTGTCCTGGGAAAGCGCAGCGGCGCTTCAGACGCGCGCCTCCCCGCGCCGGCTCTCCTCGCCTGGTCAGCGCGCGCCGCCACGGGGTGGACTCCCCGGAGGGCCTGGGCAGCCGCCCCTGGGGCCGGAGCAGGCAGTGCTGGGGGGGCCGGCGCCCCCAGGTTCCCGGGCGCCCTGTGGGAGCAGCCGTGTGCCAGGGCAGGAGATTTGCGGGGCGTCGGGGCGGACGCAGGCGGGGCGGCCGTGGGGCGCTGCGGGACCAGGCCCGGCGACCGCCCCGCCAGCGCCCTCCTCGCCCCTCGCGGGTCAGGACGGGGTGTGAGCAGGTGCAGAGGGAGACTTTGAACAGCGCGCCCTCCCTGGCCCGCACCCTGGCAGGCCCGCAAGGGAAACAATAAGCCGTGCACGCGAGGGGCCCCCACCCCGTGTTTCATTACTTGCAGGTGTTTAGAAGCAGGTGCGCCCGCGCCCAGGGCTGGTGACGGGCTTTGCCATCACCGCGCGCTGCGCCCGGCCCGCCCAGGCCCGGCGGCGGGAAGCCCTTTCCAAATATAAGAGGAAGAAAGAAGCCACTTCCCCAGCTGTCGCCACCTCCTGACAGGTTGAGCAAGACTATTCCAGGCACCGCGGGGAAGGTGATGCAAACCTTGACTTAGAATTTTTTTGGTTGTTTTTTTGCTGTTGCTCTTCTTGGCTTGCTCCCGGCACTCACTCCTCGTGTCTGTTTTCCAGACGGCCGGTCAGGCCCCCGATGATGACCAGCCGGGTGCTTTTGTCAAGAAAGGGAATAGGGTGAAGGATTTCCGTCAGGAAAGCAGGTAAACAGCTTTGGCGAATGGTTTGCTCTCGTGAACCTCATGTCGCCTCGATTCTACACATTGAATATGTGTGGTTGGAAAAAAAATCTCCTGGTGTTTAAGAAAGATACGTCGGCTGTTTTTGTCTGGCAGCGATGGGCGGGCAGCGATTTCAGACATCACTGGCTGGTAACCTCCAGGGTCGTAGTTCTGATACCATCGGCAGAACCGACAATTTTGGGTGAACCCGTTTATCTGTTAGTTTCCCTTTCTGTAAAAAGGGGCGCAGGAATCACCTGGACGCCATGTGCACGCTGCAGCTGGGCGAGCAGAGGTCTTGGCTGTGCGGCTGATGACCTCTGCGCCCACTGGCCGCTGCCCTCACTCCCCTCGCTCGCTCACTCAGCGTCCCTGTCTCCTCGCTCCTGGCCACCGGAGAGGGGACCCGCTTGCACGTCATTACTTAGGGCGCTCGGGATCCCTGGGCGGACGGAGGCCTGAGGTTCCCAGCGAGCTTTTCCCAGCAGCTCCTTTTGCTCTGATCCACTTCGCAAGAAGTGTTGTTAGCTCTAGTCAAAGCCTCTGTTCTCCGTAAATAAGTGGAAAAGAAAAAGGATCTAGATCTGATGTGAGATCCTTTCTCAGAGTGAAAGACCCCAGAAAGAACCAGCTGCCTCCAAGTGACCCAGACAGTGCTGCACCCGCCTGGCCCTGACCCCGCCACCCGGTGTCCACCAGCCTTGCCTTGCTGGGGCCCCGCCATGCCGAGGGCGCCGGGGCTGTTTCCTCCCTTTGCAGCAGTCTTCCTGAGCGCGTTTCCTCTGTGAAAACACTACCAAGATGTTGGTTTGAGGTGTAGGGTGCATGTGCCGCCCTCAGCTCAGAGGCCCCAGGGTTAGATTCCGCGAACTTGTGCGTGGCCGCCTCTTTATGTCTAATGTAAAAGCGGCGCATCGCGGCGCTCGCCAGCACCGTGGAACTGTTTGCTGTGCAGGCGTCCGCGCGGGTATGCGCTGATACTTTCTAAACTACACACAATGGGCCTAAAATCACGATAGAAGCACTTTAAGAAGCACTGGCGCCTTCCTTCGCGCACAGATCTGACGTGAGGTCGAGCCCGCACACCCAGTCAGTGCCCAGGCCTCCCGGACAGCGCCGGCGGGAGAGCCTCCTGCCCCTTGCTCGGGGGGAGTCTGGGCCTCGGGCTAGAGTCTCCGCACGCGGGTGGCGGGTCCGCATGGCTCCGCTCTGCTCTAAGAGCTGGTCTCTCTCCGCAGCCCTGGGAATGCCGGCCCACCCCGGGGCAAAGCCCAGCGCTCGAGGGATCCTTCAGGGAAGGGGCAGAGTCAGCCCCCGGGCCCCCACGCTCCTCCCCAGCAGAAAAGCGGCCCGGTGGGTGCCCGCCCCTGGACGACTGGACTGAAAGAGAGCCTCTCCCCGGGGGGCGCCCCCCAGAGGGGTCGGCTCAGCCCCCGGTGCCAGGGGGCCGCAGGGAACAAGCTGTTTCTGGACTTCGAGTCGATGAAAATCATGCGGGAGCCGGAGGAGGACAGCGGCAGTGACCTCTCTGACTCCGAGCGGGTCCCCATCCCCCCGTCGCCGCTCACGCCGCCCGAGCTGAACCTTCGAGCTGAAGAAATCGACCCCATCTGCTTCGACCTGCATGCCGGCCCGGGCCAGGCCAAGCCTGAGGAGCGGTACCCCGATTTCCTGCCACCGCCTTTCAACTCCTGGGACCTGCAGGACATGGCCTCACTCCTGAACACCGGGGGCCAGGTGGCCGGCCCACCCCGCGTCGGGGGCCCCCTGGGGCGGTTCATCGACCGACTTCTGCAGCTCGAGCGGCTGCAGGTGCAGACGGTGCAGTGGGAGAAGGGGAGGGCGTCCAAAGCCAGGCCCCCCACAGCTGCCGGGGCCTCGGTGGCGCTGAAAAGCCCCAGGAGAAGCCAGCTCCTGGCCGGCGCTCTGTCCAGGCCGCCCCAGGACGGGCCTCTTAAGGTGGGCCCCGCACGGAAGAAGGACTGGCACCGGGAAAGCCATGCACCCTACTATGCTTCAGAGGTGTCCCCCAGACTGGTGGGTGTGCCGAGCAATGGCAGGGTTTCTGCTCCCAGGAGCACCCTGGAGGTGAGGACGGAGGAGAAGAGGAAGAAATCAAGCAGGAGCACCAAGCTGCAGCGGTGGGCCCTGTCCTGCGGGGAGGGCGGCGGCCTGAGGATGGAGAGCGATGGCAACATTCGCAGCCCCAGGCTGCCCTCGAGGACCCTGGACTCCCCCGACACCGGCGAGGGTCCCGGGACACAGGCACACGCCAACCTGAAGAAAAAGGGCCACTCCAGCAACGGTGGCCACGCCGCCCTATCCAGCGAAAAAAAACTCAAGATGAATGGAGCGAAGCAGACCCTCCCCAAGTCCAGCTGACGGGGAGGGGGGCACCGACCGCGGGAGCGGAGCAGCCGGGCTCCCCGGAGTCCTGTGCTGTGAGCCTGACATTGAAGTAGCTTGTTCGCCTGCCGGTCCGTCCCTACCAGTCATTTCAAAGCACCTTCGACGAGTCTGCCTCGGCACCGAAGTCTCAAGCAGCAAGAGCCTTTTGGTAAAGAGGGGCTGAGGTCAGTGCCCGGCAAGGAGCGGGAGACGGCGCCTCCGGGGAGTGGCCGGACCTCGGCAACAGCTGCCAGCCCGGCGAGGTGGGCGCCGCGTGGCCGCCGTCCAGCCCGCCCCAGCGGGGATGTGGAGAAGCTTTGGCTTTGGGCTCACTGGGAAACCAGACGGCCTCGCCCTGGCGCCACTGCCCAGTTCTGTCCACGTCCCCCGGAGGCCAGCTCTTCCCTCCAGGTGGGAGAGCCTGGAGCCAAGTGTTGACCACCAGGCTGCTTGCTCTGTGGAGACCACGGCACTTTCCGCGTGCCCCTGAGGTGGGTTGAGAAGAGAAGGCGCTTCATCGCCAGGTGGTCATGGGGTCCCCCTGAGTGCTCTCTGCACGGCGGCCCCAACAGGGGCGCCGGTGGGTTGGATCCTGGCTGTTGCTGTGGGCCGCCCCCCGGAGTTCCCACGCGTCTGGCCTGTCTGAAGAGGTGTCAGGAAAACAGCTCTCCGAAGGCTAAGTGAGCGCCTGTGCCAGGAGAGGAGCACCGCCAGGGGAGGGGTACCCCGCAGCAGCGGCCGGGCTTCAGCAGCAAGAGCAGGGGGTGTCCTGCGCTGAGGTGGGAGGGGCGAGCACAGGTCCTCGCCGGCCCGCGCCCCTCCCCTGACGCTTCTCTTGAGACTCGGTGGGAGGCGTCTGGCCAGGGTAGCTGTGCCACGGGGCTCCCGTGGCCACCGCTGATGTCCCGAGCTTGGGGGCTGGCTTCCCCGGGTGCAGGACTGTGGCTCGCTTTATCCCCGTAAACGATTATTCTGTTTGATTTTCACATGTTTCTATTTTTTCATCTCGTGGGCAAATGAAAAATTTGGCACTCTTCAACTGAAAACACGGAGTAGCTCGCAAACTGCGCCCCCAGCAGCCCGCCCCAAAGGCGCTTCTCCGCTCGTGAGTGTCAGGACCAGCGCTGGAGCCCGGGTGACAGGCAAAGGTCACATCCTGTGTCCCGCCTTAAAGACTGATCGTCATCCTATTAACTGACGTTGAGTTATTTGATGGTGATTTTTTCTTCCAAGGCTTTATTTCCAGAAGTTTACGGATCCCCGATGCCTCTCCCCGACCCTGCTGGAGAAAGCGTGCCCGCTGTGACCTTGAGGGCGGCTTCTGAGGCCCTCGCGACCCTGTAACTTTCTGCTGTCTCCATGTTGTGTTTTGAAACAGTGTGACTCATACTTTTCCCTTCTGGGGTCCTGCAAGGCACCCCACGTGTTGGCACCTACCAGACTTCACCCACCGGTGCCCCGTGGGGAGCCATGTGCAGCCACTGTGACCTTCAGGCTACTCCGTCTCCTCAGCGTGACGTGTGCTCACAGCTACCCCGCAGCAGCAGAGGGGTGCAGGCTGCGCAGAGCCTTCCCAGGAGCGCACCCGGAGACCTCCAGGGTCACAGGGAAGGGGCTTGCCCCTGGGCCTGGTGTGCGTCTGAGCTGAGGGCCTTCGTGAGGACAACTGCAGAGGAAGCGCCTCCCTGTCGCGTCTGTCTTGGTCTTCCATCGAAGTGGGTGGCCCAGGCCACGACGTCCTGCCTAAGACGGCTTGGAAGCCTGAAGGAGCGACGGTGCCCGTTCCCTGCACAGGCCCTGGTGGGTTCACCGGCAGGATCGGGGCTCAGAACAGGGACAGCTGTAAGTCGTGATCCCGACATGCGCGTGCCAGGGTCTGGAGCTCTGAGCGCCCGCGTGGGGCGCTGCTGCCGGCCAGGGGCAGGGGCGGGGGCTGGCCCCAGCGGCCTCTGCAGTCCCGCGCCAGCCACAGGGACGTGTTTTTTAAGAAGTGCCTCTCGTTTCTGGGGTGTTGTTTACATGCACGTAGCACTGAAACCAAGGAAAGCAGTCCGAGGTCAGAAGACTTAACCAAAAAGCATCGAGAATGTAAGAGCCACTTCAGGCGTAGACGTGTCAGTGGGACGAGCGCCCGAGTGAGCTACAAAAGCTGGTCAGTAGTAGCCACAGCTGCGCGGTGTGGGCCGCTGCTCAGACCTTTGGCCCGCGAGCCGGGGGGCTCTGCCTGATCTGGTGGGCCGGGGTCGGTGGCCCCGGAGCGGGAGCAGGCGGGTGACACCATGGTCTTATAGCAAAAGCACAAAGGACACGGGGTCCTCAGGCTGGTGAGGCTCCTTCCCAGGAGCAGGAGAATGTCTGCCCCGGGCAGGCTGCTGCCTCCCTCTGAGGCTTGTCTGCAGGAGCCCCGGCCCGGGCGCTGCGGGCAGCAGCGGCTTCATTGTTCCTGCAGGCCCAGGGTGGTCAGAATGGTCTGAAAACACATTTGTTACTTGCTGTTGTGATTGTCGTATGCTTGGTTTTGTATATAATAAAAGAATATGTGTCAGTTTTTGTGACTCTGGAGATCAATTAAAGAGCAGAAAAACACGCCCCGGTTTGGTCTTGTTGCTGTTCTCTTTGGGGGTCTTGTCTCTCCCATTGAGGCTCAGGGGACACGCGACTAGCTCTGTGGACACCTCGCTTCTCCAGCTGTGGAACAGAGGGGTGCAGCCAGTCTGGCCCCTCACCTGGCCCCAAGTGGGGGCTTGCTGGTGTCTGCTCCCAGGCACCCCCAAGAGAGAAGGGCCTGACCACGGTTTGCTCCCTCTTCTAGGCGGCTCCTGCGGGCTGGGGATTGAGAGGAGAGACACAGGGGAAAGCCCCGGGGTGGCCTGTCTCCGAGCCCACTGAGTTCACATGGCCTGTGGAGACAGCGCCCCAGTGTCCAGACAGGGACTGACCCACAGGAGAATTCTGCCCCTGCTCAGGCCCCGGAGGCAGGGCTGCCCACATGGCCTGGCCAGGAGAGCGGCCAGATCGGCCGGGTCCCCTCCACTCGGCCAGTGGGCAGGTATGGTCTGCCGGCAGCGCCCCCCATCCCCACCACCCACTGGAGAAATCCACGTGGATTCCCAAAGTGGAGAGAACACCCCTCCCCCAAAACCCCGCCCCCACCAGGAAGGCTGGTGTGGGAGGCACCAGGCCGTAGACACCCCCTCCCCTGGACTCTTCACACTGCCGAGGGGGTGGGGGGCAGTGGGTGAGCAGGGCGGGGTGACAGGATCAGCTGCCACACTCTGGGGGAGCCGCCCCCCACTGGGGGTTCTTTTCAGGAGGGGAACTGAACGCCGCCTGCGTCTCCGGGGCAGCTGGCTGGCCAGTTCCGAGAGCGGCTTTCCCCAGAGCGGTGGGTGACGAGCATGACCTCCAGGGCCTGAAGGCAGGACTCGGGCTGGCGCCTTGGCATCTGCCGGCAGGGATGACTCAGCCCCGCGGGTCCCTTCTCAGACGCGAGATAAGCACCGAGAGGCCAGCGGGGTCACCTCCGCAGCAGGGTGAGCCGTGGTGAGGTCAGCACCCCCCTTTCCTGAATCAGAAAGTAACTCAGCTCCTTCCTGTCTTCATCTGTCAGTTCACGGTGTGCTGGAAGCTGCCGCCTTGTGGCGGGCCAGCCTTGCTACACTTCCGCGGACAGGACGCCAGTTCCGCAGTCACAGGCCCCAGGGCAGAAGCTCCCCCCACCCCAGTTCAGACTCCCCGGGCCCTGCGGTGGCTGAGACCAGAGTCCCTGCCGAGCCAGACCCGCAGCCTGGCCGCGTGGGGTGTCTGGTGGGGAACTGACTTCTTGCTGAGCTACTTTTAAATGTCTGAGGATGTTGAAAACTTGGTGATCATGAGAATGCCAATGTCTTTCAAGTTGAAGCAGCTATCCAAGCGGCCCCTCGGCAGTATTGCGCCCCCAGATCTGTGGCGACTGGCGTGCTATTTGCTTGCTCAGTGTTACCACCTGCAGCGTCTCCCCGGCCCCAGGAAACCAGGCGTGACATCTCTTCCCACAAGCCTGCCCCGTGGTTTAGTGACCTGACCTATCAATTCTGAATTAATTTTCAATAGGCCACCTCGAAATAAAAGCCCCCAATTTAAACAAGAACAAAGTTGCACATTTGCTAATCATTCTTTCTCTTGACACCCAGGAGGTCTTAAAAGAGCATTTCTTACTCTTCAATAAGAAGCTGTTGTTTGGATGAACATAATACACTTATACTCGAACTAAACACCCCAAAATATTGCAATTTAAATGCTAAGTAGCATCTCATAGAGTCACGAAGGTACAGCAGGCAAGAACGTCAACTTGGCGCTGCATCCGCTGAGGAACAGCTGCCGGGAAGGTGTCAAACGCAGTAAGGCGGTGGCATGGTCACGTGTTAAGGTGGCACGGTCACGTGTTGAGGGTGATCAGGGCCTACGGAGCCCAGATTTAGCTGTAAGCCTGATGGCGATCCCTTCAGTGTGGGTGCACCGAGTCCCCCGTGCCCCCTCTCAGAATCCCAAAGCTACGAGCCGGGTTGGCGCAGAGATGCCGCCGGGCAGAAGCTCACCCTCTCTCTTCCCTCCTCCCATCAGCCCCAAGCCAGGGGGCCGCTTCCTCTCTGCTGAAAGGAGACCTTGGCAGAAGGTCTGCACAGCCCAAGCCCTGAGAGGAGGCGGGGCGGTGCGAAGCTCTCTCCTGCTCTGGAAAGTCAGAGGGTTTTTTTCTCCCTCAATAAAGCTTTTTTTTTTTTTAAGGAGTCCTGTCCCAGCTCTCTGGCTTCAAAGCCTGGTAGCTATAAGACACTCACTAGATCCCCTGGTGCACGAAGAGGACTTCATTTTAGAAAGTGCAAGGGCAGGAGGAAGCCAGCCCTCCCAGGGGCCCCTGGCCGCCTCTGCCTCAGCGCCCCAGGCCGGGCCCCCAGGAGTCGGCTGGCACACGGCCCTGGCGTCTGTTTGTCTCCACCCCCTCCTGGGAACTCTGCTTGCTGTTTATGGTGAGGTCAAAGGTTGAGGCGCCTTCCCTGCCAACCTCAAGGATGGCCAGCAAGGGGGGAGAAACGTGAGGCGGGAGCACTGGCGGCCGAGCGGCCCGCAAGGACAGGAGGAAACTCAGCGGTGCCGGCCCCACCGAGAACCCCAGCCAGGGCGGCTTGGCCGCTGGCCACGTGCGGCACCCCCACGTGGACGGGAGCCCCGGAGGCCTCGCCTCACTGCTGCCCATGCTGCAGGTGGGCCCCGGGGGACCCCAGCTCTGTGCTGGGCGGGCTGGCTCAGCCCCAGCAGGAGAAGCAGGGGCAGCTCGGGTCAGCGCCATCCTGCTGAGCCTGGAGTGTGGGGGCAGGGGCGCAGGCTGGAGACGCCGATGCAGAGACGGGGTCCAGACTGGACACAAAGGAACGGCTTCGTGTGACGAGCTGTGGGGAGGGGCGTCGTGCGACCCCGGGCTAAGGGGCCCACGAACCGGGCTCTTCGAGCACAGAGGCCCTTTGCTCCTCCAGGGAGCAGGCGCGTTCCCGGTTGAGGGCATGGCGGGTGGGAGCGGGCAGCAGGACCCCGTGTGACCTGTGTTTGGTGGAAGCAGCTTATAAAACTCCAGGGGATGCAGACACACGTCCCGAACGTGACCGAAGGGCACTCTGGCACCGTGGCGATTTGCTCCCCCACCTGGCGAGGCTGTGTGCCCAGCAGGCATGTTACATGACAAGCGGCCGTTCCCCTCTTTACCTGTCCCCCAAGTTGACGCTCCCCTCCTCGGGTCTCCGGGCCTGATGCTGCTCCTTGCCTCCTGGTGGGGGCTTTAGGCCACGGGTCCTTCTGAACCCTGCAGGCTGCTCTGTCGTTCTGACATGACCGGTGGGCCCCACGCTACCCTGCAGGCTTCCTCGTTTCAGACTCAACACCAGCCCTGCTGAGCCCCAGGAGAGGTGTCCTGCTCCCCGCTGTCACTTCCAGTCCCGAGAGTCCAGGGGCCCCCGGTCCTGGGTGTGGCCGAGCGCGGGGGCGGGTGTGTGTGTAAAAGAACGAGGCAGGACAACGAGCAAGTCGGCTGTTTCGTTGTGGCGTATGTTTGTCATCTGGGAAATTCCGAACTGAGTTAGCATTTAAAGAGGCTGCTATTGATTGCTGAGATGATGGGACTCGGGGTGCCCCTGGCTGGGTGGGAGCGCCCCCATGCATGACCTCTCTGGGGTGCTCGGCTGCCCCTCAGGCGGCTGCCCTGCCCCATTTCAGTGCCATCGTAGCTTCTGCGCGGAAAGGACCTTGGAGACACCCCACTTACAGACGGGGACACCGAGGCCCGCGCGGAGATGACGCTGCAGCGGAGTCCGGGTGAGTGGCCGAGCCACCTGCGAGTGCACCTGTCCCCACTCTGTCGCCAGAGCAGCATTTTCTCTGTTTTAAACACATGCGCCTGCGTGGGGCCTTAGCCGAAAATGATCAACATGAATCAGACAACACTTGTCTGGGTAAACTGGCGACTGAGATTTCGGAACTCAGGCTTCAGGAGCCCTTTCCTCGAGGTAAACGGAGGCCGGCGCCTGCAGACCCGACAACACACTCTCGCACGTGCACACGCATGTACACACCCCCGCGCCCCGCGCTGGCCCTGACACTCTGGGCGGGGCTCGTGTCTCCGCAGCCAGCTCAGCGCCTCTAGTTCTTTGGGGGAAGGGGAGGCCATGGGGCAGCATGTCTCTCGGTGACAATCACTCCCTAGTGACGAGCCCCCAGTTCTGTTATTTTATTGCTCGCGTAGGTAGTGTGTAAAAACAAGAAAAGTGATGCAGGGAAAGGCAGGAAGAGGCCATCTTGCCGCCCTGCGCCAGCTCATGCTCGACGCTTGCCCGCGCCTGGACGTGTGGATGCCTGGACGGGGTGTCTGGGCCACCACGTTGTTAACCAACACAACGGGAGCATTTTATGCCTTTGAATGTCTTTACCGCTGGGAATAACACATCAGATTTCACTTGGTGAGGCCCCCCAGAGTTCCAGGGAGGTGTCGAAAGTAAGGAATTGTATTTGTCAGAACTAAAGCGGTCCTTTCCTCCCCTTTCTAGCCCTGGAGGAACCGCGTGGCTGCCGGCCCTGTCGGGCTGACGCTGATAAGCCTATCCCCTGCTAATTAATGTCAGTTTTGTTTTCAAGGTCAACGTTGTCAACAGCTTCCCAGAAAACGCCGACCTTGCTAATCAAACAAAGGTGGGGCTGTGGAGCAGTTTCTTAATAATCCCAGTGGGACGGCACTTCTCTTAGAGATTAGATGACAATTTCGAGTTCTTTAGTGCCCTGTTGGAGTTCGGCGTGCAGAAAATAAATGAGGGACTAGATGTGGCCTTTCAGAATCTTGAGGGGCTGCCAGGGAGTGGTCGATGGTGCTTTCTGTCTAATTAGAATAATGAGCAATCCCTGCGCATCGGAAGCTGTTTCAGAAAGCCGGGGCTGGCTAGCGGGCGTCCCAGCGCCTTCCTGCATGTCTGGCTGTGGGCACAGCACGGGCGGTGCCAGGCGACGCTGTCAGGGGACAGCCAAAGACCCCAGGGTGGGGACAGCCAAAGACCCCAGAGTGGG